ATATGATTCGAGAATTAAAGGATATAATAATTAGTTTGATATTGTTGAAAAAAAAAAAACAAAACTATTTTTTCTGATTAAGGCTTGGCCCAATCTGAAACCAAATCCATTAGATTAAATCCAAAGTGCACCATGTTTCAAGGGGTCCCAACTCTATAGACTATATAGCCCAAAAGAAAAAAAAAAACCCACAATGAAACAAAGTACTTTCAAAAATACAAGAAAAAAGAAATATCCCTGATATGGCGGTGAAGCCATGGAGGCATTTGAATCACTGTTTTTCCATTTTAGTGATAGTGAAAACCCAAAAACAAATTTAATCTCTCAAAAGGCAGAAAAAATAAATTAAAAGTTGTGGAAAGGCAACAAATTAGTTGTTTTATTTTAATGCAAAACAAAAAAGGTTTTGTCGTCTCTTGCTTCATTGTGTTCTTAAACGCCACCTTGCCAAGACCCTTGGGTTTTTGGCGGCTACCCCTTCTCCACGCCTTCCCTTCCTTTTTTTTTTATGTCTTGCCTGCATTTCCCACCATTTACAGCTCTGGGTTTATTTTTGTTTTCATTTTGTTCTTCTTCTTCTCCTTCTTTCTCTATCTTTTACTTTCTGTCTGAGAATCTTTGATCATGGCCACCTCTGATCGTATCCTTGCTAACTTTACTCTTCTGGGTATGATCTGTTTTTGTAGATTTGTAGATACATGTTTTTCTTTTCTGTTTTTGTTGGTTTTTAGTATTTTCTTTTTAGTTCTTAAGGATTTGCTTGTAGTTTTGAGGTGCTAACTCGTTAATATTTGTTCTTTTGGAATAATCTTTAATGCGTTTTAGGGGGTTTATTCAAAGTTTATTTTTTATTGGTTTATGCTAAATTTCTTTTTTTTTTTTATGGATTTGGGTTTACGGTTTTTGAAGTTCATGAATTTGAATGCTTTGTTGTTGAAATCTTTATGTTTTATAGATTTGAGTATGATGGTCTTTGAAGTTATGAATTTGAATGTGTTTTATCTTTGAATCTTTGCTTGTTGCTATTTGGACATAGAGATAAATTTATCGGATGGTTTATATGATATTGATAGCTTGAAGCTATGGTTTTGCTGTTTCTTTAAATGATATGCTTTGGATATATTATCGGTTTTGTTTTTATCCTTTACTTATACAATCACAGAAGTTGCAGATTCGCTGGAGAACTTGTCTCTGGATTCACAAGCCAAGGCCACAAAAGTTCCTGAGCCTGTCAAGAAGGTAGTACTTATATTGTGAGATGTTCATTTCTTATTCTAGTCATTGATAAAAGTTTTACTTTTTATTAGTTAGATTAGTTGGTTATTGATTGTATCATATTCAGTGCAATTAGAGCTGTGAAATTCAAGTGCGCTGCTTGGTTACTTGTATAAACTGAGTTATTGCCATCAGCCTCTTTGTGTGGTTTAAGATGCACGCTATTATCCTACTGCATATCATTAACTTAAGATTATGATGTTGATAAGTGGTGATTAGGATTGTGCAAAGTCTTTGTAAGGTAAATAGATATCTGTTGTAGTGATTATCTCTGCTGATTTAGTCTAAAGGCTAATGCTTTCTTGAAGTTGTTTTGAAACATATCATTGACAATTTGGTTTTTGAATAATGGTCTGACTAACATTTAGGTCATATTGATTTTGTATAATGATCCTGCTAACATTTTCATTTTGATGGATTTCGGGTTTGGAATTTTTGCGGTGGTCTTGCTGTTATTTGGAAGAATAGAGACATGAGTTAGCATTTGAATTTGCTTTGGAGATGTATGCATGGAGAATTTTGGTTGCATGTTCTGGTTGAGTGTTGTATTTGATAAGCTTAATGTCTATTGACAGGATTTTTATGGGGATAATGGCTCTTACATGTACCAGCAAACTTATGGTTATATGCCATATAGGGCATATTCTGTGCCCAGATCACCTCTTCCTTCTCTGGGACATGATGGTCAGCTACGTGCGCTGCAAGAATACCTTTATCCAAGTCCTTATTACCAACCACTTCAACAAACTAGTCAAGCCAATGCTTCTCAAGTGGAGGTTTTGACTTCTGGTGTAGCTGGTCAAGCTTCCTCATCCATTGAAACAAATAAAGGAAATTTGAGCACTATAGCAAGTGGTGGGGTTTTGAGTGGTAATAATGGGTCAGGGTCATTAAAATCAACTTTCAAAACCTCCTCTCTAAATCCCAATGCTTCCTACAAAAGGGGAGGTTTGCCAACAGTTAATCTATCCCAAGGTTATCAGGATCCTAGATTTCGCTATGATGGGATTCAGCCAACAATTCCTAGTTTAGATATGTCCATGTCGTCTAATGGGCAATCCAGTCATGCTGCAAATACTGGATTCTCTTCATATACCAACAACCTTTCATCTGGGAGGAATCAGAACCCGCACTCCTTCCCTCATATCATGGTATGTTCAAACTGCTTTGTTACATAGATTTGAGTCCCTGCTTTATGGATATCTGAATCTAACCCACAAACATGGGCAAACAAAGATACAAAGGACATAAATAGACAGATAGATGTACTAGGTAGTTAAATATAAGATTTGCTTGTATCACTTCTTTCATTTCCAATTGAGCTAATTATTCTAACGATCTGAATGCAGAATTTGCACAATGCACGACCATCATCAGGTGTAGCCGAAGCATTTGGATACATGAATCACGTGTACCCTAACAACATGATCTATGGTCATTATGGAAACACCATCAGAGGTGGTTCTGGTTTTGGATCATATGGCTATGATGCTTGGAAGAAAGGACAAGGGTGGTATTCTATTGGTAACAACAACAAAGCTAGGGGTCATGGTTATGGAAAAGAGAATATAGATGGTTTAAGTGAGCTGAACAAAGGACCTAGAGTAAATGGGTATAAGAATCAGGCTGGTTCTGTACCTGCAACACTAGCTGCCAAAGATCTGAACCTTCCACTGACCGAGAGCAATAAGGAGAACAGTATTTCTCTTGTTCCAGATATGGAGCAGTATAATAAAGAAGATTTTCCTGAGAGTTATTCAGATTCAAAGTTTTTTGTCATTAAATCCTATACTGAGGATGATGTCCACAAAAGCATCAAATACAATGTGTGGGCCAGCACATCTAACGGCAACAAGAGACTTGATGCAGCATTCCGTGAGGCCAAGGAGAAGCCTGATGGCTGTCCTGTATTTCTATTGTTTTCGGTGAGTATGATTAATGTTGCTATATGATGTCTTGATTTAGTATATGATTTGCTTGATTTTTACTAAGTCTGCACCTTTTCCAGGTTAATACCAGTGGACAATTTGTTGGATTAGCAGAGATGATGGGCCCGGTGATTTTAACAAAACTTTAGAATACTGGCATCAAGACAAGTGGACTGGTTGCTTCCCTGTGAAGTGGCACATCATTAAGGATGTGCCAAACACTTCATTGAGGCACGTAACACTTGAGAACAATGAGAACAAGTCTGTCACTAATAGCAGGGACACCCAGGAGGTACTCTCTATTTCTCTCCGTATGTTTGTGTTATATCTCCTTTTCGTGATTTTCATCCTTCTCATTGTAAAATGGTTGGTGGCTGCTGTAGGTTAATTTTGAGCAGGGGATTCAAATTCTCAAAATCTTTAAGGATCATTCCAGTAAGACATGCATTCTCGATGATTTTGAATTCTATGAGGCTCGTCAAAAGATAATCCAGGAGAAAAAGGCTAAGCATCAGCTGTTACAAAAACATGTATGTCTGACTCTTGATTAAAACTTGTTCCTACATAGAATCTGATAGAAGTCTTGCATAAACTGTTAAAATATTAACTACTTTATATTCTTCTTCCTAAACAGGTTTCGAGTGGGGAGCCTAATGATGTTGTAACTGATAACAAAGAAAATACGGCAATTATAAAGGTGGCGTTAGAAAAATCTCTAGAGGCAGCCTTGATAGAAGAAGCAATGGTTGCATCGACTGCAGACGTGAAACCTGGATCAGCTGCTGCAACTGAAGATGGCCACACGAAATCAGTTTGTATCACCAGTGCTTGCTAATTGGCTTAGATTTAGAACAGTATTGTGCTTTTGGTTGGTTATTAACAAGTTATTCAATTCATATCAGCCGATTTTATTAGCTGTGACAGCACTTTTCAGGCTTTCCTTGCAGCAATTAGCAGCACGGTGAGACAGAATATGACTGCTCAATAGCCACTGAGTTGTTCTTTTGGTTATATCATTTTCATCTGTTTTCCTTTGTTTTTTCTTGATGAAAAGAGTTGGAGAGGAAAAAAAAATGCCCGAGGTGAAAGAAGCTACTCCTATTGGCATCTTGCATTTGATTTTTTTTTTTTTACTTAATTTTTCTAGTATATGAATGTAAAAGAGCAGTATTGGAGACATTGAGCTGTTCTTGTTCTTAATCTTTCATATCTGCAAATTTACTATGGGGCATAGTAAATTCCTTTGATGTGTAAGTAAATGTGTCAATTTTACCATTAAAAAAATGCTAAAGTATGAAATTTTTACCAAATAAATTTGATTATAAAATGCTTACATTTTTCTTTAATTATATACAAAAAGATAAGAAATTCAAGGTTTTTATTTAAATTCTCCTTTCCAACAAAAAATATAACAACATCTCAAATTTAAAGTATTCTATTATGAACTTTTAAATTTTACTAAAAGTTTATTAATATTTCCTCAACTTTGTCAAAAACTAATAAAATTTTTTTTAATTTGCATGTAATTATAATTTGTCCATTTTATGTGAATCTTATGAAAATAAAATTGTGAAAATTTCGAATTTGTTAAAAAGTCATGAGAAAATAATTTCTTAAGTTTATCGTAAATTTACTTGTTTAAATTAATAAAGAAAACCATAAATTTATTAAAGTAATGTAAATAAATTTACTTTGATTAATCGAAGATATATTAATATAAACTTAAAAATCCCTTATTATTTTAAAAAAAAATCAATGAACACATAACTGCATCTCAGTTTAAATGAAAGAAAGTATTTATTTATGAAAAAAATTATTGGTATGACAAGAATTAGAAAATGGTAATTGTCATATAGATCTATCTAATTAAAAAAATATTATGAAAAGCATTTAAAAAAAAATCCTTATAAAAGGCATTCTAGGGCTGTCTAGGACTAGCTCACACTGCTCATTCCCTCCTCTTCAAAACCGAAAAAGGTTCAATTTTTCCGACATTTCTCCCTTTCTAGGGTGTGGGTTTTTCAGATTTTACTCTTATCTGATTAGGGCTTGAGTAAAAAGGAAGAAAAATGGGGTTCTCAATGCAACCGTACGGCATACAATCGATGCTGAAGGAAGGTCACAAGCATCTCTCAGGTCTCGACGAAGCTGTTCTCAAAAATATCGATGCTTGCAAGCAACTCTCCACCATCACCCGCACTTCCCTCGGCCCCGACGGTACCCCTTTCTCTCTCTATCTCTTCGATTTTCTTTTTTAATTGTTGTTTTGATTTGAAATCTGCCAGTTCCAATGCCTAAGATTTTATTTTTTAATTTACTGTTCCTTAGGTATGAATAAGATGGTTATTAATCATTTAGACAAGCTCTTTGTTACCAATGATGCTGCTACTATTGTCAATGAGCTCGAGGTTCAGCATCCGGCGGCCAAGATTTTAGTTCTAGCGGGTAAAGCTCAGCAAGAGGAAATTGGTGATGGGGCTAATTTGACAATTTCCTTTGCCGGAGAGCTTCTCCAAAATGCAGAGGAGCTTATTCGAACCGGCTTGCATCCGAGTGAGATCATCAGTGGATATACTAAAGCAATTATCAAGGTTTGCCCTTTGCTTTTCCAAGTAGCTTAAATGACTATGAGTGTTACTTAAATTACCATGAGTGTTGTTAATTATGATGATAAAAGTGACGTGAATTGTCCTTTTTGTGTGTTTTAATATTTGTAGGGGATTGAGATTTTGGAGGAACTTGTGGAGAAAGGTTCTGAAAATATGGATGTTCGCAATAAAAAGCAAGTTGTTACTCGAATGAAAGCTGCCGTTGCTAGCAAACAACACGGACAGGAAGATATATTGTGTTCTCTTATAGCTGATGTAATTTTCAACTCAGTTATTCTATTAGTTGTTCCCTTTTGAAGGATATCATGATTGCTTTTTCTTTTCCTTTTTTCTTATCATAGGCATGCATCCAAGTCTGCCCCAAGAACCCCGCAAACTTTGATGTTGATAATGTCCGTGTGTCAAAGCTTGTTGGAGGAGGTTTGCATAATTGTACAGTAGTTCGGGGGATGGTTTTAAAAGGTGATGCTGTGGGAAGTATAAAACGTATGGAGAAGGCAAAGGTACAAATTTATTTTTCCCTCTTTCCATTTCTTATTGGTTAAGTTTGACAAAAGTTGCTTGATAATTGTCAATTGGCCAAGTTAAAAGTCTCGTTGCCTTCTGACTTGTACTGTTGTGTTCACTTCGTGTTAGGTGGCTGTGTTTGCCAGTGGTGTTGATACATCAGCTACTGAAACAAAAGGAACTGTATTAATTCACTCTGCTGAGCAGGTAAATTATGAGAATTTCCTCATCTTGTTATTTTAAATCAAGTTGGGAGAATGGAGTCTCTATATCTAGGTGAGATCAAAACATCTAGAAGTAGACCACGAAAGATTAGGATGCAAGTAATAAAAAACGATATAATGGTTAAGGACTTAGATGAAAAGGTGGTTGTTGATGGAAATGAGTGGTGCAAGAAGATTCAAACTACAACCTAACTTGATTCTCTTATTTGGTTTTTCATACAGCCGACCTCAGAATATGGGATATAAGGCTTAGTGTGTTGTTGTTGTTGTTGTTGTTGTGAGCTTTTTAAACATAATAGACATATTTTTGTCTTGTACATACGCTAGATCTTTCATTTTGTGCCCATTATGGTGATTATTTGTCTGTATGATTTTTCATCTTCTGCCATCTATCTCTACCTTGATAAGTAAATTGGTCTTGGGGGTTTTTGTTGGTCAAATATGTCTAAATGTGAAGGGTTTTCTCTTGGTGTTTTCTTGCAGCTAGAGAACTATGCAAAAACTGAAGAAGCTAAGGTTGAGGAGCTCATCAAAGCAGTTGCTGATTCTGGTGCCAAAATTATTGTCAGTGGAGGAGCAGTTGGTGAAATGGCATTGCATTTCTGTGAACGTTACAAGTAAATTAAGTGTCCTTCCCATATGTCGAATTCTGCTCTTTGTTCTTTCTTGTTTTGATTAAGATTGCATATATGCATTCCTAGGTATTTGATTGATACTTATGCTATGATGTTGAATATGATGTGTTGATAGATTGGCCTATTTTCAGATTCATAATTATTTCACTTTGGAGCTTTTGCAGTCTTGTTCAAGATTTCTAATTTGAGATCTTTTCTTGCAGGTTAATGGTCTTGAAAATCAGCTCAAAGTTTGAACTGCGACGCTTTTGTCGTACAACAGGCACTGCTGCTCTTGTGAGCATTCTATCCACATTACGTTATAAGGGATCCTATCTTTTGATTTGTAATCTAATGTGCCTTTAATTCTTTCGACAGTTGAAACTCAGCCAGCCAAAGGCAGATGATTTGGGATTTGTTGATTCAGTTTCAGTTGAGGAAATTGGTGGTTGTCGGGTATGTTTGAAGAGGTGGCTTTAGTTATATTTGGTTCCTTGCCCTTTCCTCACTTTACTTTTCCTTGCTATTTCAATGTAGGTCACTGTTGTGAGAAGTGAAGAAGGTGGTAACAGAGTTGCCACTGTGGTTCTGCGTGGAAGTACTGATAGTATATTGGATGATCTCGAAAGAGCTATTGATGATGGAGTGAATACATATAAGGTGAATTTTTCCAATCTTTTCATTGTTTCTACTTATTCTTTCAAGTTTTGCAGCATATCCCCTGTATAAACCTTATTGAGTTCTGTTCTTCTCACCTGCTGAAACTGTCTCTGTTTCTTTTTGGATGTAAATTTCAAGGAAATTATCATTATCACATTCTTAATACCCAAGTTTTTTTTGGTCAGGCAATGTGCAGGGACAGTCGTATGGTACCTGGAGCTGCAGCTACTGAAATTGAGTTGGCAAGAAGATTGAAAGAATTCTCCTTTAAGGAAACAGGGTGATCTTTTTTTTTTCTCCATCTGTCTTCTTCCTTATTGCAAAGTGTCATTCTGCATGTAATGTTTCATCTTTAACCTGCGTTATTATGCGTTACACTTGCATTAATGGCATTTGATAATATTTATACCTTGATGCCAGTCTACCTGCCTAGCCACTGTCTTTTGGACATAATAACACAAGTGCAGGATAGGTGTCAATTGAACCAACTTTTGCATTGTTGACTGTCAAGTTTATGTTACATTACTTCTTCATATCTTGCATTTATCATTACAGTTTGATCTCTCTGTTGGGAGTCTCCTAGGCATTTTGGACTTTATAGTAGATTTAGAAAAATACTAGAAGTGGCTATTAATATTAACATGGGATATTTTGCAGATTGGATCAGTATGCCATTGCTAAGTTTGCTGAAAGTTTTGAAATGGTACCAAGAACCCTGGCAGAGAATGCTGGACTCAATCCAATGGATATCATATCTAAGCTGTATGAAAAGCATGCATCTGGAAATACCAAAGTGGGCATCGACTTGGGGGGAGGTGACTCTGAGGATGGTGTTTGCAAGGATGTGTCAACCATGAATATTTGGGACCTTCATGTCACTAAGTAATTCAAGTTTACTTCTGAAAATTAACTTTTATAGCTCTGAATCTATTCTTCTTTCTTGTGTGGAAAATTAACCTTTAATACTTTGATCATAAACATGTCACATAACTACAATCTGGACTTGTGTTTTTTTTTCCATTATGGCAGGTATTTTGCTCTCAAATATGCTGCAGACGCTGCCTGCACTGTGCTACGGGTAGATCAGGTAATTAACCATAAACAGAAAGCTTGAAAATGGAAATAACACTCAAGATAGTCCGAATAAAATGATTAGGTTTAGACAAAATTTGATGATACCTCTGATTGTATTATTAAAAAAATGGAAATAACACTGTATTTGTTGCTTAGAATCACATTTATATTTTCCTTCTGAAAATTTTATTTCACCATGCTCACTATGCCAGTCATTCAATGTTTGTAGATTATCATGGCAAAACCAGCCGGAGGTCCAGCAAGGAGAGATCAGCCTGCAGGTATGGATGAGGACTAAGTCTTGTGTAGCATGATCGATTACCTTTCTCTTGTATCTCACCCTTCCGGTGTCCGAACTTTGTTTTAGGAATCTTTGCTCTCTTTTGAGATGTAGCTTAAAAAAAAATTTTTTTTGCTTGTGCTTTTAGAATTTTATGGTGGTTTGTGGTGATCTGTTTTTAGCGTATCAGTTACGTAATTTTTCGACAGTAAGGTAGCATTTGATGAGTCCTAAAAATCAAAATGATATGCATTCGATATACATACAGAAAAGCCAAATGTTATGAGGCTGAAATGCTCTATTTATGTTCAATTTTTTTAGTACTTGAAGTTGTCAAAAATTTTTAATTTGGTATTGAAATTAAGAATATGACATTTTATTAAATAATGCTGAATTCATTAGACAGCAAACAAATGACTTTGTTTATTAATGGGAGTAACAAATAATGGGAGTAACAGAATGAGTGAACTAAGTTGGAACAACATAGAAGCTTTCATCCTGAACTGCAGTCCACATTAATGAAGTGAGAACTGCTGTAACTATAATGAAAAAGAGGCCAAAAAACATTTTAGAACCTGTCCTGTTACCAGCTTTCTCATTGTGAAACTCTTGAATTTCAGTTCTATTCATGGGAACAGCCTCATTAGACCCTTGGACGTCAACAGCAGCAGGACTGTCATCAGTTGATGGCACAGATTCAGAGACACCTTGAAATTCCTCACCATCTGTATACATATTTCCATTCCTTTTGACCTCATAGATCATACCATGCCCAAAACGGATATGGTTTGTGGTTGGATTCCATCCAAGTATCTCTGAGCGGGGACTTCTGAACCTTCTGAATTGTTTCTCAGAGAAACCTGAGATCAAATCATTAGGATTTTGAAGAGAGTGGATGAGCTTCCTTGGAGTTGTAAAGAGGTTGTCCACATTAATCCGAGAACGTGACCTCTGAAGCACAAAAAATAACGAGGCAAATGCAGTTTATGGAGTGATAATATCAAGACAACCAAAAATTAACAAACAAATCAAAACAGACGAATTTGAGCATTTTACCTGAGGACTGGAAGTGGCACCTGGTAGCCCATTTCTAACATTTCTATGCAAGATTCCTGCAAATTCCTCCGTGTACTCGGATCCATGATTGCTAAATTCATGATGATCATAAGTTGAATTACATATGGAACTTCCCCGATCCACTGCAGAGAGCCAACCATCCTTAAGTGATACATCTACACCTCCATTGTCATAGCTCCAAAGCTTGAGATTTACACTCCTTTGATCATATTCCATGTTGCGAGAAATTTGAGTCATTGAAACCGGTGACTCGGGAGCAAAGAATCATATGTCATAAAGGAATCAAGTGGCTGTGACTCGGGTGAAGCATTTGCAGCAGATCTGTCACTAGTAGGGACTAAGTTTCTTTCACGACTGTGGTCTCTCCTACCAAAATTTGACACGGTAACTGAACCACTACTATTTTCAAATTTTGATCCTTTCTCTTCTGCTATTTTCTTTGCAGTTTGTGAAGCTTCATATGCAGCACCTTTAGCATAAGCCATCTGATCAGATTGACATTTCTCCATTTCTTCCATTATCAACTCCACCTCTGATAATATGCTCCGAGGATCCAAACACTTCATCAACAAATTTATCATTTGTATTGATGAAAATCGTTTCAGAGAATTACCTTCTGCAAGGCCAGCATTTAATATTCTCAAGCCAGATTTTATCAACAGACTAGCATATGCTTCAACAATTAGAGCATTATGCTTTGCGAAAGCCATAACCAGGCCCATATGTGCATTAGTCTAAGTGGACTTCTTCTCCAAAGCCCCAGCCACATTTTGACAAACCTTGTTCACCATCTCACCAGAAGCAAACCTCATTCCAGAAGGGCCTTCAAGCAAAGTGCAGTGCCCGAACTCAAGTTTTCTTGGGAACCCAAAGGAGATTCTGGAAGAGGCTTCCAAAGTGAGTGAATTATATGTCTCTTCTTATCTTCTGGAGTAGTTAGATCAATCCCGCATCTTGCAATTGCAGGTACAACCTATGAACATGCCTGTTTAAGAGGGAAGGACCCTGCACTTTAAACTAATGTCTTGATAATAGTCGACATGATAATATCAATCTGAGGAACAATCTTCACACCATGGACGCGCGCAAGAACCTTGTGGAGTGAAAAACATGACACAAGTTCATTAATTTTAATATTTTGTACGATAAATTTCATATAAATCATGATACAAATACATGAATTATCGTATCTAATTATTGTGTCCCTTATTGCTAGATTCTTCACAGATTTAAAAGAGGAATATAAATAGATAGTACTATCAGGCATCAGCAAAGAGTCAAGAGAATGACTGTTCTCACTTTTAACCATGCATTTGCATTACATATGTTAGTGACGGAAGAATTCAATTTTTAATTCTTTTAAAAACTTAAGCATTTCTGTTTAATGATTTGGTTATATGACTTCGTTGTTAAATCAAAATTTCCAAATTTTGTTTAACAGTATTAGTTGAATTGCTAAGGTTTAGATACTTTACTTTTAAGGTTTATTTTCATTTTTGTCACAATTTTTTTTGAATAATTTGTAAATTCAATCAAAGTTTTCGTTGAGATTCACTGACTGATATTTAGATTAGTTGTCATGAAATTCCTAATAACGTTTGAAAGAATTTATGCGTGTTATATACTTTTCAATCAGGTAAGTATAAATTAAAGTTTTCACTACGATTTGCAACATATCTTAATCCTAAAATAAAATAGTTTACCTTAATCTTTTATTTCTAATTTTGAGTCTTTGATTATCAAATGAAACCCATATAAATTTTGGTGTTCCTGACTGACTATCTTCTTCTGAGACAAGAAACCGATGACCCATCACTGAAACTAAAACAAGACAGTAGCAGGTTTTAATGGAACTTGTAACTCAGCAGTTGAGAGAGGTCGAGATCTTTATTCTGTTAGGTAAACAATTATATAAATGAATCAGATGCTTCATGTTTGTATCAAACCTATACGCTCAAGCTCTTGCAACATCTGATCATATACAATCCATCAAAAGTTAGATTTCTCTACATTTACTTCATGAATCTAAAGGTTCACAGCTTTGTAACAATACCTATCTCCATTGATTGAATTACAGTTACACACACTACTTCATAAATTCTGAAAAATGGTGCTGAAACAGCATAATGAACAATTTACTGAAGCATTTCAAATTATGCAATACATTTATGTGTTATTATTGACATTGTGGAAGCAGTCTACACGTTGGGCAATACCACTTTCCCTTGAATCTTGTCTCTGGCGTCAGCCCAACACATGCATAATGGAACCATTCACCTCCTTGGCACTGAAGGAATAGACATGTTAGATAATAAGTACCAACCAAATTGTCAATAGTCATTGTGCCAAATCATGATGAATAAATGGCTATAAAATTTTGGGGGACACAGAGGAACTTTTGAAACATCATTCATTCGAGCACGTGTTTATGCTATGTATGTTTAACCCCACATTATTAGTTAACTCTTTTTTTATAATCCACTATTGTGACAATAAAATCTGATTAATACGAGAAATTTTAATAACTAACAGTTAAATGCAAAGAAGCTGAGTAAAGAAATACAAATATTACAAGTAAATATTACAAAAAAAGATACAAGGGGAAAAAACTCACATTTTCGTTGTCACAGGCAATCATATCTCCAAATGACACCTAAATAATTTATAAAACAATCCTTCAGTTTTGAACCAGAGCTTTTACATTGAAGCAATGAAAAAGCATGTAAACCAATAATTGTATCTATAAAATAATGAATAAAAAGGCAGAACCTGATGGCAGACACAATAAGTAGGTTCATTTGGATCAATGGGTTGATCAACATCAAGAGGGGTAGCAAAATCTTTCTTATGGCTTCCTGGAGGAGGCATGAGTTCGAAATCCCTATCACACTCTCGATCCCAATCTCTATCCCTGTAATCCAGCCTCTTTGATTGAGGTGTTCCATAAAAGGACTTGCGCTTCTCAAGCTTAGGAACAATAGGTAATGAAGGAAGAATGGCAGGCTCATCTGGTGAAATTTTTCCCTCTGATAAAGTTGAGGAAGAAAAAACACAGTGACATATTGATAATCACCTGAGGCAGTATTTTATCCATCAAAGATGCTCAATTTTGATTGCAATTACTGTACCTTGCTTTAGATCTTCTGCAAAGTAGGTCAAATCCTCGTCAAGACGTTTTACATGGCTATCTATCTGAAATAAGTTTCAGGCATCAGAATTTTGTGAGCTTTAATCATAATATGATTCAAAAATTACCCAGACCAATAGTTTTAGACTTCATTGCATCCATCAATATAGCTGAACAAGATGCAAAAATCAAGTTTTTCTCACAGAGTGGAAGGAATCATGAAAAATTATCTACTGTAAAAAACTATCTAGTTAGTCACAAACGAGGTAAATTACTTCTAGAACTATGCTTTGTTTTTTTAGCTTGAACAAGATTTCTAGTGCTCTTCACTCTTCAGTCAAACATTACAGAGAGACGGGTAAAAGCATGTAAATGCTACGTCATACAAACAATTGTTTGGAGTTTGTAATCAACAATGACTCGAATTCAGATATGCTGCTTAAAATGGGGAACAAGGTTAGCAATTTCATAGCTTTCTACACTATCATACCACAAGAAACCTCAATAACAACATTATCATTACAAAGCAATGCACACTCAATCTCAAACACTAACAAACAAACAAAAGAACTCACCAAATCATAAGCTTGTCGTGCCAACAAAACCTTCTCAGTGCACAAACTCAACACATTTTCTTGACTTGCCTCTATATCCTTCCTCATTTTCTCAATGGTCTCCTCATCTTCATGACTGTTATTCATATAGCTATTTCCATTCCCTCTTTTCACCGGCAATTCTAAACAATAATTAGTTTGCTGCCTTGTATGATTAATCATAGCTTCCAAAAAAAAAGGAAAAATTTTTAATCAAAATCCCCAAATTCAAAAACCCTAATTTTCAAAAACCAAAAATTGTATTGGCTTACATTGGGTCCGGTTATCGAGTTCTCGGATCGTATTGAGGAGTCTCTGAATCTCGGTTGGCAATGTGCTTGCGTCTATAGGAAATTAAAAAAAAAAAAAAAAAGAAACTTTAAACTAAACATGAAATTCAAGCTCGAAATTAATTTAAAAAAATCTTTAAAATTAAAATTTGATGTGAGAAGCTTAGCAATTCGAGATCGGAACTTACACTCTAAATAATCGTCGACGTAGACGCCCGTTCTTGCGATTGCCATTTTAGGTCAGGGGATTTGGGGGTTTTAGGGTTTTGATTTGAGTGATCCTGCGAATTCCTTTTCTAGGGTTTGGATTGGGATTAAGGAAGAACGTGAGGTGTAAACGAGGTCGTTTTAGACGGATAAATAAAAATAAGGTTTTTGACCGTTGTGGAGGCGGGTAAATTCGGCGAAGGGAAATATTGTTAGAAAGCGCAATTCTTTTAGGGCTTTATTTATTTATTTATATGGGACGTTTTACATATACAATAATATCTTCTTTATACATTTCTTAAGTATTTTTTTTCAAATTATATAGTAAATATCAATTTTAGTATTTAACAAATGATAAAAATATCTTGAATAGCTTATACACCCTTTTTGTTAAATCTTGCAAATTGTATAATTCTTTAAAATAAATTTTTGAGAATTATATTGTAGTCTTGAAAACAAAATTTTGAAAATATAATATAATTTTCAAAAATTAATTTTAAAGAATTATATTACATTTTCGAAAATAAATTTTCGAGAATACAATATAATTTTTAAAAATTTATTTTCGAGAATGTAGTATAATTAAATTGTTATTACGAATTTATTTAAACTATTTATATAAGATGTTTGAACTCGGACTAGTATGCATAGGCACTTGTCTTGAAGACAAGTTCTCAAGCATGCATGGATAAAATGATGCTCTTGAGTTTTTTGGTTTTTTGAAGTCTCAAGATAAGAACATCTTTTTACTCATGTATGCTTGAGAACTGCCATGTCTCTTTCATTCATATATATGATCAAGTAAATAGGTTTATAAGTTCATATATTTCCAATTAAGTCATTTTTAAATCTCGAAAGTGGATTTCCAAGAAATTGAAAGGGTTTTTGGATATCTATTTTCAAGAAGCCTAAGAATTTTTTGGATATCCATTTTTGAAATGTTTGATTTTTCTTAAATCCTACAACAAACCCTAACCTATATTCACATGCATTTCAACCCCAATTCAACGAAAATCAATCGAAAACAAAAGTAAGAATCTTACCTTTAATTACTAGAAAACTAAAAAACATAGGTGACTTGAGGTTAATTTAATGGAGTTAGGGTCTTTTTTTTAATTGAAAAGTGAAGAGAAAATAAGAGAAAATGAAAAGGGTAGGAATGAAAAATAGAAAGTGAGGGGTGGAGATGTATTTAGTAGAAATAGAAAATTAAATTTTGAATTTGAAGTGTATTTAAAAGTGAGGTGCATAGAGTAATAAATAGAGTGTAAATAGATTTTTTATTTATTTATTTTGGTATATCTTTCTATAATTTAATTTAAAATTGAAATTAAAAAAATTACAAGCATGATTTAAAAACATGAAAATAAAATATTTTAAGAAACAGAAAGTATCTACAAGCACAAAAACCACATATATCAAAATGTAACTTTTGATATAAATGAAGTCGTAGCTTAAAATAAAAGAAGAGATTACAAATAATAAAATTTAAAATTGAAAATTATCGAATATATTCTTTTAATAGTGATTACATGAACAAAAAATTTAAAAATATAAATTTTTTTATTTTGAAATAACATAATCCATTAGCTATCCTTGAACTTAGCAAAAATCTAAAAAATCCCACACAAATCCTTGAAACCTTTGCAAAGTTTATGCTTAATCCAATGTTCATGAACCCAACACTAACCTCATGTTTCTTTACCAAATCTCTCTTTATGGTTCTCTCCACTTATTCCTTCTTTAAGTTTTACCACTTCCCAAAACTTCCAAAAAGTTTTTTTTTTTTTTTTTACTTTTGAATTTGTTATTCACTAACTTTTGTTATTACCCATTTCTTGTTTTATTGTAATATCTTCTTTTTTGTTCATATTTTGGAAAATATTTAGTATTTTAATAAGAATCGAAGCACGTTGAGATTAGCTAGTTTTAATACTAATGCCATGTCTCATTCATTTGATGAGCTTTCTATCTAAGAAAAAGAAGGTAATTCAAAGGAAATTTCTTTCTTGCATTCGATAAAAAATAGATGGATTAAAGCCAATAGTTCTTAAGTTGAGTATGTGTGAATTATATGTGATGTAAGGTAGATTTACAAATATATATATATATATAAGTAGTAAAAATTTTAACAAAAAGTTGTATATAATTTTGATAAAAAAAATATATTTCGAGTCACAATTGATGATAAAAATAATTTTTATATTTTATTTATATTTGAATTGAAATAAATAAGATATAAATACATAAATGAACAAAACATGATAAAAATATCGAAATGACCAAATTTAATGCAACCAAAACCCAACGTTCGACAACCAAAGAGGCAAAATCATCATTTCAGTCCATTACCCCAATAATGCCAAACCCAACTTGAGAAAAGACAATCCATCAAGATTTATTCTAAGCACACCACTAAATTTTCTTTTTACACCCTTAAAATTTTTCTTCACAAAATATTCATATATAAAATATCAATTTTATCTTTTAATAAATTAAAATTTTACCCTTCTTATTCCACTATAGTCTAAGGTTTACAATATTGTTTCATTGAATATGATTTTCTTAGAAATAAAATTATGAAAGCTTTAAAGACTTATCAAAAATGGATTCTGAAAGCTTTAAAAGGCTATCCAAAATTAAAAATCTCAAAAATCTACTTTTGAAAGTTTTAAATATTTCTCAAAAATTTATTTTCAAAAACTTTTTAAAGTTCTATGAAATCCATTTACTTTTTCAGAAGTTTTTAAAACTCTCAAAAATTTATTTTTAGGAAACTCGAATTTGATGAAATAATATCATAAATCCTAGACTATTTTTACACCAATTTAAACCAAATTAATCAACAAACATATCAAAATCTTACCTGTAATCAATAGAACAATTAAACAATTTGTAATTTAAGGGTTTTAGGGATAAGTTTGGATTAAGAGTGAGAAAATGAAGAAAAGAATTAAAAAGGTATGAAAAAATATGATTTTGTTGGATGGGATGTATTTATAAAAAAATATAAATTTTTATTTTAAAAATGGAATGTATTTAATAATAAAGTCTAAAGAGAAAAATTTATGGATATAAATAAAATTTCCCATCCTTCAAAGAAGGGCAAAATAGTTTTTTAGAACAATACCATCCAAACTCCCAAATCTACCTTTCTAGAACCGTTTTATGTAATGCAAGCATCTATAACTTATATAATAGTTATCTCCTAACATGTTTTGAAAGGACATATAAGTAATGTAAATAAAATCAATTAAGGGGTAATTTTGGAAAGAAAGTTTCTTCAGAAACTTTTTCAAAAGCTTGAAAGGAGAAAATTTTATCTGTCTCGATTTTCAATGTTGTTTTTTTTTTTTTTTAACCTTATCCCTCTGTCTTCCTTTTACTATAACACAGCGATAGATATGGAGAAAATCACAATATATTATATATTCTTCATTTTTACAAACAGGAAAAAAGAAAATAATCATAGTTAAGTCTCTTAGATCTGATTTTCATTAATCGTACTATGCATCTCCATCATAAAAAACTTCATTGATTTTCCTTTTTGTCCTCTTTGGGGATCAAAATAAGTATTCAAAGGTAAACATATAAACCTTTTTTTTTTTTTTTTTAAGTTTAAGATTTTTTATCAACAAAACAAAAAAACTCAATTTCAATTTTTGGGTAAAGTTTTGATTATTGAGGATAAAAGTTTGATAGTACGATATGTTATATATTAGAAAAAATAAAACTTTTTAAGAACAATAAGTTTATAATTTGCTATCAGAAAAAAGTAACCATGCATGTATGATTTCTAGTTTGTTTATATTTTTTTAGTTTCGAAAGCATTAGGCCATTATTTTCTTCTCTTTTCCCAAGCTACAACACATTGCTTCAAGGTTCTTCCTTGCTGCATTGCTTGCATGTAGCTTTTTCGTTAACTTTTCTTTCTCATCAATTACGACACAAATAGACTTTTTGTCCCTTGGGGCTTGGTGTGAACTAAGATCTGTGTTGCACTACCTAAACTGTTTTAAACTTTTGCCAACAGGCGGGCAATATTTTTGGATCTGTATTTTAACATTATCTAGGATGGTAATCATATCGGCAACCTGTTGTGTTCTTCGATCACCAAGGTATCCATTACTGTCGTGGCTTTGTTCATGGAATAATTTTAAAAGTAGCATTACATTTGCAGCAATTCCTAATCTTAGTAGAATTTATGGTAAGATTAAACAATTTGCTATTTCCAAATAGAAAATTGCAACAATTAGTGGTAGATTAAAGATACTTGCTTTACATTTGCTACATTTGTTTGTAAATTTTTGTCTACAGACGTCTCTGCATTACCTGGATGTTTTTTCTTATATGTGTAATAATGATTTTGTTGCATGGTGTTTCAGGCTTTTTGAACGAGGATTAGCATATGTTGAAACTGATTATCTATCTTTCTTTTTGGGATAAATACATTAAATATGAGTATATAAACTAAGAGTGGAGCCGCTTGCTGTTATTTATACTAGAGTATTAGAGAATCCTAATTAACAGTTGGATAAGTATTTCAACAGGTAATCTTTTTTGGTGTCTCTTCATATGTAATTGTTTATGTACCTTAGGTAACCATATTGCCATATGTTTCTGATCTTTTCTAATTAGATTGGCCAAATGTAATGCTATCATTGGTTTTTTTTTTTTTTGTTATTATTCTTTCTTATTTGCTTTTTACTTTTTGCTTATTAAATTTTGCTATAAAGGAAAAAAATAAGGAAATAGTTAATAAGCAACATTAATTCATGCTGTTTAGTTGCATATAAAAGTATTATAATTTAACTTTTTACTTTTTATCAATGAATGTGAAAGTTGTATTTAATCCATTAATGCATTGTTGCTTTTGTATCTGAAAATAATTTCCTTTTACTTTAAGAAGTAGCAAAGGAGATACTAAATGGAGTCTAAAAAGAAATATTCCTTATTTACTAATTGAATTTGAAGTAGTAGTGGTTTCTTTTTTTAAGTTGTTTTGTCATTTTATTTAATCTTACCACCAACTGCTCAAAATTGTTTCAAGATCACATCATTTCGTAATTATTCCTAATTTAAAAAGTTGCTTTAATCTTATGACTAGTTGTTGCAAAATTTTGTTTAGAAGTAGTAAATTGTTTAATTTGCTTGGGATGTACATTTATCAATAACCAATGCTTTATGGGAGGCAAGGTCCCAAATATAAAAGAAACTCCTTGACCCACCAAAATATGCACCCCTTCAGAGTGAATTGCTCATCGAAACTACCTCTCAAAGCAAGACCATCATCCTTTATAACTTCATATCAGATTGGGACTATCCTGTCAAGGTACTATCTTTACAAAGTTTTTTGTTTTACATTTTAGGAACTATAAATATAAAACCTTTTTGAATGGCTAAACTTGTGTTATTTGTTTGTTTGTAAATTAGCATTGTTCAGATGATGATAGCATAACAATGCTTTTCTTGCTAGTCAAAACTTCTATTAACTAGATTGTTTTGAAAAAGCCTATTAGTGTTGATATTGATTTGGAAATAGTTGGTTCTATCGTATAGGTTGGGAGGGCATCAATTGAGATTCAATTAGAAGTTATTCAGTCCACATAAGGTACTATGCTTTAATTTGAAATTTATAATTAACCTTGCAAATTGAAAACTTTAAAATGCTATTTTGGTATCAGAAAAATAAAATAAATAGTTGGACTACAATTATATTGTTGCTTTTATTTAAAAAGGGGTGGGGGGAAATCATGACTTAGCTATTTCCATCAAGAAAAATTAAAGATCGACTCATTAGAATTGCATTTAAGATAAAATATGCATTTATTATCTTTTTTGGGTACAAATTCATTGACACATTGTACCCTTTTCAATCAATTATCCACAAAAATCATGTCATTTATTTTTTTTCATTTGACATTTGATAATGTTTAAGATATAAACCATTTTAGCAAATTAATTACAAAATTTCCTAAAATTTCATGCTTTGCAAGATATAAAGCATGATGGTGTGACTTACTATATTGTATTATGACTTAGAGACTCGTCTAAACTCTCAATTCTTTGTAGTTAATCTCAATGATAATGAAAATTCAAATCAAAGCATGAAATTTATTTCTTACATTTTCTTATGTTTCATATATAAATTAGTGTAGCAAATTAATTATACTATAAATATTTCTAAAATTTCAAGCTTTGCTTAGATGTAAAGCATAACAGTATGACTTAGTGCACCATATTAAGGTTTAGAGACTCATTTAGACTCTAAATTCTTTTTACCTAATCTCAGTGTGTTAATAAAAATTTAAACCAAAAAGTGAAATCATGTTTCAATTTTTAATTTTCACTTATCATATACTTTATCAATCATTCTAAATTTTCTACGAATTTTTTTTTATAATTTGAATTTTAATTGAGAAGTTATCTTCGAATTGCTATCTTCATTAGGATCAACATATTAAGAATGTAAGTAAACTCTGTAGCATAGCACGGGTCTAGTGAATAATGAAATGAAAACATTACCATAAGTCTACGGTCTAGTGAATAATGAAATGAAAACATTACCATAAGTCAGGGGTTCCCCCAAGATAACCGGAAAAAACCGGTAACTTTCCCGGCTTAACCGGTTAATGGAGTCAACGTCTATAAATAAGGGGATCTAGGGTACAAAATGCCAACACGATTGAACCACCGCCTCTCTCTTTCTTTTATAAACCAAACCCTCGAAAATCTTATCATCAAAACGAGACCCTCTCAAAATCCAAATCCTCTTCTCTCTTTCTCTCCTCTTATATATATACTCAAAACGAAAACCTATAAAAGACTCTTGTTTTCAAACATCCTCCCTCTTTTTCCCCTCTATTTTCCCTCCAAATTTTGTAGATTTACTCCTTTAAATACCCTAATTTTTGTTTTGTTTTGTTTTTGTTTTTGTGAAAAAGTAGTTAAATTTGATTAGATTTGGATAAAATTCGATCTGTATTTGTTTTGGGTATTCTCTTCATTTCCTCAAAATTTTGTATATGTAAACTTTGAAAACCCTAATTTTTTGATACACAGATTGGATTTGATTAGATTTGGGTGAAATTCGATCTGGGTTTGGTTTTGCTTATTTAGAGAAAAACCCAGAATTTGTTTTGGGAAAATTTGGGTTATTTTGGGTAATTTGGGTGAGGAACAAATAAGAGAATGGCAGAACAAGGTGGCTTGGAAGGGAGCCAACCTGTGGATCTTTCCAAGCACCCATCTGGCATTGTTCCCACTCTTCAGTAAGTCTCCTTTTTGCTTCTCGTCTTAGATTCTGATACGTGTATATATATAGTTTGTGTATAAAGTTACATAAGCGTAAAATTTGGTTGAAATTATTTTGTCGATTGGGGAGATCTTTTAGGAGTTATTGGAGATGGGTTTTCAATTAAATCATTGGAAAAAAGGTGCTTTTGAGGTATGGGTCTTTGAGATTTTGGTATTTTCGAATTTGAGTGGGATTTTATTTGGCTGACTAGATTTTGGGGATAGGTGTGATCTTTTTGTTATTAAAGACGTGTAGTCAATTAAATCATTGGAAAAAGGGTGGTTTTTTAGAGGATATATCTCTAATTCGTGCTTTACGTTTTGATGATGATGAGAAGTTTGGGGATAGGAATTTCTGCTGTTGTATTGGGTAAGGGAATTGATTTTGGGGGATGAGTTTTGATTGTATGGTGGGAAGACGAAGTGGGAATTTAGGGGGTTTGGTATGCGAGCTTGTGATATTTGTCTATGTTGAAAAGAATGGATTCTGTATGTACGTGGTTTGAGTATGCTCCTGTTGAAAATTCATGGACCCTTAACTACTTAAGTGTGATTTTGTAATGCAATGATGGAAAGATTTAATTATATGTCTTTGGGGGATTAATACTGTTTTTCTGTTACATTTGATGTAGTTGATATAGTAACCCAGTGTCCTAGATATGGATGGTGGGTAATTTTGATAAGATGAATAATAAATAAATTACATCAAATATCAATACATGAGCAAAGCTGGTTCAACCACATATCACACTTCAGTCTTGTTCTTATGGGGAATCAGCTAGCTGAATAAATTGCAAGCCCAATTACAAGTTACTAACTGATCTTAACGGGTATATGAAACTGTTATATTTGTCAGAATTTCTTTATTGTAACTGAGGCTTGACAGAAGTTTTACATTGGAGCATGTTTCTTTTCGATGCTTCTAAAGTTGTAATGATTCAGTGACTAAGTGTGAATTTGTATTATACTTTCAACAAAAGAAAGAAATGGAAGCTTCTTCTAATTTCTACTATTAGAACTGTGCTCTTAATCCTTAATGCATTGGGGCTTGACTGCAGTTAATATAAGAAAATCTTATTAGTAGTCTTACTGTGTTTCTAGGAACATTGTATCAACTGTGAACTTAGATTGCAAGTTGGATCTTAAGCAAATTGCACTGCAGGCGCGAAATGCAGAATACAATCCCAAGGTATGTCAGGGATGGTTAATTCTAATTATTATTATTTTTTATTTTCTGCAGTTTCTGATTTTGCTGCTGATATTTGGTTGCTAACCTTTTATTTATGAAATAATCCCACAGCGTTTTGCTGCTGTCATCATGAGAATCAGGGAACCAAAAACTACAGCTTTAATTTTTGCCTCTGGGAAGATGGTAATTCCTTTCTTATTGAGAATTACAACAATCTGCATTTATCTGTTTATTGTGTTTAGCGTCAAAATCCTTTAGTAAATAGCTGGTTATTGCACCAATTGCTTGAGCCCAAGCATTATCCAATTATTGATTTACTAAAATAGTTTTCCTTGCTTCTTCAGGTTTGCACTGGTGCTAAAAGTGAACAGCTGTCTAAACTGGCCGCAAGGAAGGTAGATATTTTTCTTTTAGTTGTTTGTGCCTTTAATTCTGTTTGTGAACTATGTAGAGGTCAATTAGTTCTGTGATATCTATTCTTATCATTAGGTTAGGTGGGTGCAATCATACAATTGGCTGTAACTTACACTATTTTTGTGCTTTCAGTATGCCAGGATTATCCAAAAGCTTGGGTTTCCTGCTAAGTTTAAGGTACATACACTATTTCTTTTCTCTTTTTTCTCATGCAGAACATTTTCCTAAAATTGCATGTATGAACTGAAAATCCTCCTTCAATAGTGTTTCCCCAGCTGGTTTGTTTACCTTTGTTCTTGTCATTGGCAGGACTTCAAAATTCAGAATATTGTTGGGTCCTGTGATGTCAAATTTCCTATCAGACTTGAAGGTCTTGCTTACTCCCATGGTGCCTTTTCAAGTGTAAGTGGCGGTCATCGTTCATTGATTTGTTTCCTTTTATAGAAGAAAGTTGGATATTTATGTTTGTAGGTGGGCATGTGAGATTCTCAGGTAGAAGTGCCTGACTGCCTGTGTCTATTTCTATGCGTGTATGCACAAAAAAATTTAGTCTTTTTCTGTGAGCCATTGAATTTACTTGCTAGCCCCTATGGTGTTAATCTCAGGGAATGGTAAAAATTTTCAGTAAATTATTTTCCAACATTATTTGCAATAAAATTGAAACTAAGAAATATTCATTTGGTTAGGAACTAGCCTTGAAAACATGAAGATGCACTTACTATTTAGATTTAGTTCTTTTTTGGATGAGTTCTAGATAGTTGGAAGGTGTGGTTATTTGATGTCAGGACTTGTTTGTTTGGTTTAATGACTGGGCTTATCTTCATGTTTTAATGCAGTATGAACCAGAACTCTTTCCCGGTCTGATATATCGAATGAAACAACCAAAGATTGTGCTTCTTATTTTTGTGTCAGGGAAGATTGTGATCACCGGAGCTAAGGTGAGTACCTTGGTGGTCTTTTCATCTGTCATATGTCTCTAATGGAATCACTAATTCTCTTTGATCGAGTGTCTCAGGTGAGAGATGAGACATACACAGCCTTTGAGAATATATATCCTGTCCTTACGGAGTTCAGGAAGAGCCAGCAATGGTAGGAAGCTATCCTCTCCTCTGAAGTGATCGACAACTGTTAATTTTTTCGTTCATCTCAGAAGAATGTTTTGGACTTTGTTTCTAAGTTCTAACTGATCTTTATTTTTCCGGCAGATATACCTTTGAATGGGACTTCGACTTGGTTGTGGATAGTTGGTTTTCCTCTGCCATTGGTGTTTTGGAGTTGGATTTTAAGTGTGAATATATGAAGAATGGGCATTCACAACTGGCTTTTTGGCTATGGTTGTTGCATGGGGTCTTCTTTTTCCTTAATTAGTAATTTAGAAGGGAGAGCAAACTGAAAGAAACATGTTCAGGTTTCCTGTTTCTGACATTTTACTTTCAATTACAATAAAAGTTTTTTTATTGCTCTAACTGTTTTTGTCATCTCAGTTCAGGTAAATTGGGTACGATGGCATCTATGCTATTGGCCAATTTAAAACTTAATATAATAATACGGTATGAAAATAATATTAATAAAAAATATAAAAATACTATAATTTAAAATTTTAAAAAAATTATGAATAAATTTAATAAAATTTAAAAAATTATATTATATATTTTTATGTTGATATAAATTATAATATAATTTTTATATAAAATATAATATAAATATAATATTTTATACGATGTAATGATACGAATTTTTAGGTTGTTAAATCATGAATTTGTAACTTGCCTGCTAGAAAATGCTTAAAACTCGTAAATCAGAATCTCAACATTTTTTGTCATGTGTTAATTGATAAAATAAATAAATAAATAATCCTAAGAACCTGTAACATAGAAAAGAAACTAGGAAAACTAAACTGCAAAAATGGTACATCCAAGTCGAGCAGAATCACATTTATGGTAACAGAAATGCCAATACTGTTAAAAATGCTATTACCCCACCAATGAGGGATCTAGAGAAGAAGAATAATCAATCTGATTGACAGTGTTAACGGCTGAAAGTAAGAGCGTTGTGCTTTGAAAAGGTTTAATTAGTTAGGGTTGACAATCTTGTAAAAAGAAATGAGAGATGCTTAGTACCTTTCTTTTTTTTTTTTTTAAGTTCTTAATCTACCCTTTAATCCCTATCCTACAACATTCTTACAACATTCCTGATTGAAAGAAAAACATCCCCTTAAACCTAACCTTCAAATGTCAACTGATCCAAGATATAATTGGCAAAAAATTTCTTTATTTGTGTAATTTCTATGATTTTTTTTTCTCTTTTGATCTTGTTTTAGTATGTTAGAATAGAGAAACAGAGCTATTCCATCCCCCCCCCCCCCTTTTTTTTTTCTTGTTGGATTTACTGTATTAAAAACCTTAAATATCAAAACTTATTTATTGAAAGATTTATGGGAAGTTTATTCAAAATACTTTTTGAATGGCAAGTTATGTTTTGCTACTATGGGAGATTTGGTAAAAAAAAAAATTGTTTGTAACAATGGTTGGTACATATTGGAAAGTGAAGTACTCGTGCCACCGTAGGCCTTTACCTTTTTATTGGAAATGTGAAATTCTTCTCCAGATCAAACTCGATAAGATTTATCTACATCAAATCTAATAAATTAACGAGAAATTACTTACAACTTTTCACCGGAATCAAATTCAAACAATAAAAAGATGAACACATTTCTCCTTACCATTTGAGCCAATCATCCGCCTTAACTTTGAGATAAAACAATAACAAACATCCTTTTTCCTATAACTACTTAAAATATTATATTCTAACAATTTTCTTAAGACAACTCAATCTCAATATATTTCCTTGACTTGGTAAAAGAGGATTGATATTGACGAAAAAAAAAAGTGAAAGCAATGGATAGAGGAACATTCGAAAATGATTGTTCTAATCAGGTTTGGTATCTTACCTCATCTTTGAATTTCACATATGCCCTCAGACCATGAGGCTTTTTAAAAGTTCCATTGAAGTTCTGTGGGTCACAAATAGAATCTACATATGCAAAATTCAGCAGATTATTAATGTTATTATTGGTTTCTCCACCTCTCTCATACCATAAGTTCATCTTCAAGATAGTTATACTCAAAGGTGAACTCAGTCTTGATTCTCTGACACCTGAATAACAACATGACTCCAATTTTTACTACAACAATAATAATAATAATAATAAGTTAATTAAACTAGCAGGCATATGCTTAAATAATTAAAAAAGATGGTGTAATCCAAGCCAACTTACCATCCATGTTGGTGGTCATCATTTGCTATGTGAAAATCGAAATATACATAGGTTCCCTGTTCAAATTCATCGGTGGCAATTTTTGGCTCCTCATGCCGCTGAAACCATGTGTTGTATTTTCTGTGGTATCTCCAAGATTGCTTCTTCAGCTCCTTTGCAGCCAGATATTGTTGGTAAGTGTTCTGCACAAAGTTTGACATGTGGGAAGCTCACCAAATGATTGTATTGCAATAAATACAGAGAGAGAGAGAGAGAGAGAGAGAGAGAGAACTATTTACCTGTTGATAATAAAATGCAAAGAACAGTGTATCTGTGCCAGTGCCATATCCATCGATGCTTAAGCGTTCCCAAAAGGCAGGATTATTCACGATGGGTGCCTGAACTTGAGGGTAGCTAGCAGGTGTGGTGGCTGCGGGGTGCTTCTGCAGAATATAAGCAAATCACAATTATTTGAACCTACACAATTGTTGTCATTTTCTTTTTGGAAAAGAAAATATAGATGATTATCGGAAATCCCATACTGGAGTGTAGGTCCTTGCACGTTCTGAGTCTTTAGGTTGGGGAATTTTATAATATGCCGCCTGAAGCATCTGCAAATTGTATATTTGATCATGCATTCCTCCGGAATTCGTTGATCCACTGAGGTTGTCACCAATGGCACCAAGATCAGAAATGCTTCTCCGGCCAATAACACCAAGACCACTAGAAGACTGGTTGGTTTGTAAGGGTTGCCCAGGAGAAAGATCAATATCCCTAATAACTTGAGCAGGTTCAGTCAAAGAGCCTGATACAGCAGCCTGCAGCAAAGAGCCATTTACAAACCACTTATGTCATCATTATCTCTCACACTATAACCACACTTTTGCAACCAACATTCACCTATAACCACACTATCTAGAAAACAAACAATTTTTAAACCAAAGAAAATAAACTCTTATTTCTACATTATTGTGGCCCACATTTTTTTCTCTATCTACTAAAATCAAGCCCATGCAAATGTAGTTTTACAAACCAAAGACTTATATAGAGGAAACACTTTGACGACTAATTGGATTACCTACAGATTACTAAATTAAAGTGACAAAAGTAATGATGATTCTAACAGAAGATGGAACATGTTCACAGAAACAGTACCACACCGGCTATAACACCTATAGTAGAGTATTTTTCTTTTTTGACCAAAGTGTATATAAGATTAAGAAGCATTTAACATACAGGAGAATCAATAGCATAAGGAGTTTTCATATCATCCTCATTCATGAGATTCTTGGCAATCCCAGAAGTTGAAACAGCTTCAGAACTTGAGTCATCTGGTAAATTCTGTGGTTGTTGTTCCTCAACTTTTGCATGGCCAACATCTGCATATATATTAAGCTCTTACTCAAAACATAGAAGTATTATGAGAGACTAAATTAAGTCTCTGGCCAAACATAGATAAGGAAGAAGAAACTATCTGCAAGATAAAGCAACACCCACCGTGCATAAACCACTCCGGAATCAGGTTTTCTAATGATAACTTTTTCTATTCCAATATGTTTGAAGAAATATTCCATAAATTGCTTTATAAAACATTTTCTTGTAGGAAAAATAAAAGTTATTCTCCTCGAAAAAGCTTCGCTTGGAAATTTATTTCTGAAATGAACTAGGTTTTCTGTGAAACCAAATGTGCTATAGCAAAAGACCAAAAATAGAAAAAAGAGAAAGAGAAACAAGGGGTGGAAGAAGGGGCTTCATGATCGTACAACCCTCTACTTTATATGGAATGATTTAGTGTTTAATGAGCCTCATAAAATTAGATGATATGATATCCTTCACAAATCCCTCAAAGACTTCACCCTTCAAAAAGAATAGGGTTCACAAAGAAAATCAAGCAAACTGAATGTTACCAGCATCCTTTGGAACACTTATTGCCAATGCCTGCTGACTAGACTGCTGCTGGATGGAATTTGGTTGCTGCTGTAAGCTGGCAGATGCAACACTATTGAGACTTTGTGCTTGGCCACCAAGACCCAGTCCAGGTTGGATAGAGAGAGATGAGCTTTGAGAATTGAACTGCCAACAAAACATCAAAAAATATTATTTACTATATTCTTTAATGAAAGAAAGCTAATCCAACTTCTCACCAATTTGCAGTGCATATATACATCATAAATGTCATATAAACTGAAAACAAAAATCTAGATTAGCTTTAAACTTTTTTTGTAAGAAGTTTAACAGCTTGGATCAGAGAAGAGGATAGAAGGAATTTCTCTAAGAAAGAGCACCTGCTGCATGAGAGGGTTTTGTTGTTGTGCAGAAAACTGCTTATGATTTCCTCCAGCAAGAGAAGGCATGCTAAGCAGATTGCTATGGCCTTGTTGTTGCACTTGCTGGAGCCGTTGCAAAAATTTTTCCCTTATATCAGGCGCTATCTCAGTTCTTCCACGAAACTGCCCCTGAAAATACAAACACATTAGCTACTATAACAAACATGACACATGTTGAGCGTGGATACAGATGCACGACAAACTAGTATACCAGCTCATTTTGATTGTGGAAGGAACTTCCAGGCCTCCACTGCACACCAGAAACCATTGAAGGGGAAAAAGCTCTGCCAGGTAGTCCAGCAGACTCATTAGGATTACTAGAATCAACAGATGCAATTCCATCATTAGCCTTTGCAGCCTGAGACAAGATCATTCTGTTACTCAGAGGGGATACCAAAGATTGCCCCATGCTACTATTCCCAAGTCTCTCATCAGGCCCCAAAATATTTATTTTTGTCATGTCAGAGACTGAAGGGACAACACCAAGGGCTCCACTGCTAGAAGCCACACTTCCAGAAACAAGTGGAATACTAGATGAAGGCTGACTGGAAAGGCCTACTCTACCAATGCCTCGCACTCCAGTATCAGCAAGAGATGGAGATGGCCTACGGCCAGGGAAGCTTGTGATATCTTCTTCTTTTGTAGCATCTGGCAAATTTACAGGAGAAGAAGGATTGGTAGTGCCTGAGTTTTCCAAGACACCTCGAGCAGAATTTGAAACTGGAAGAACAACTGAAGGTGTTGAAGCACCTGACAAACTATGAGGTGGAAGATTCACTGGAGCAGGGTTTGCATGGTTCCCACTGGGTGTTACTGCAGAAGAAGAATTAATTGCACTACTTTTTGAAGGCGGAGTCCTTGCTATATCAGAATTGCTATCCTGGGAAGCTGTATCTTCAACATGCTCCTGGGAGGAACTACCCTGCTGATTAGATCAAAATACGATCCATTCTTATACATCAAAAGTGAGTATCAAGCCATCAACTATAATTAACTTATATTGGAAAATTTGGCACATTTTATACATGTGAGTGCATCATTAAATATCGAAAAGACAGAGAGAAAAAGAACACCTACAGGCGTTTGAGATCCTGATGATGCCAAAGATGTCTTCAAGCCAAGAATTGGAACACCCTGCCAAACATTAAGAATTCCTTTTCCAAGTTATTTTCTATGAAAGAAGCCGTTTCATGCACTGTTCGGTTAAAAACTCACATAAATCTAAGAACCCAAGTAATACATTGAAATCAGTGAACATATATGAGATTTAAGACCTTGTTCAGGTACAACCTTTTAAAAATAATATGCGCATAAATAACAAGTCTTAGTAAGTTACAACGTCACCAGAGAAAACTTATTTGAATTGCATTTCCAAAGCAAGAATCATCAAGCAGAACCAACATAGCAAAAAAGAGTTTACCTTGGAAAGAGGGCCAATTGCAACTAAATCTTCAAGAGACTCCACCTTGTCTAAAGGTAATGAGCTGTAGAGCTCATCGACATCACTAAAGTCATCGAAGTCCTCCTAAAAAAATAATTAGAAAAAATATATAACAGTGGAAACCCATGCAAATGACCATAAAATAGCATATATGTGATGATCTTCCTATAAGAATAAACAATTTGGAATAAAATGGTAATCCTTTTAACACCCCGAAAACTGCTGCTTGTGATCTAAAAACAAAACAAAAATTTCATAAAACAAAACCTGATTACGTTCCACATAATCGTCCAAGAAATCTTTCACATCGTTGACCTGCTCTGGACTCAATTCATCATTGTCCAATAGTCTCAAAATCAATTCTAACTTCATTATATGAGCTTTGTGCCGTGTAATTGATGTCTCCAAGTGTGTCTGAAGGGAGGAAAACAGCAAAAAGAAATAACGTTATATAAAAAAAAAGCATGTAGTCTCAAAATGTACTTTCTTTTTCAATTCTACCAGTCTAGGTGGTCTCGTCTTTCCTTTCTTCACAGACAGCCCCTCAATCTCAGCTTCAAAACTATCAATTTGGGATTCTAACTCTCCGACCTACTCAGGCAAAGAGTTTATGGTTACATAATAGTTTCACAATATAACTAAGTTCAAGTAAAAATGTAATAATTACTCAAAAAACCACATATACATGGAAATGCTTGGCATAGTGAAAGTTAAAATAAACTTTATTTAAAAAAACGGATAGAATGGAAAAGATATTATGAGAATAACTAAAACTTGCACTATAGAAGGGTTGCAGCCATTTTTGACACAAGCAAGAAAAAGGGGCAGAATGTGTAGATTTCATACCACATTATTCAACCAATCCCTTGTCTCAGATTTAGCCTTCTCCTTTGGATCCTACAATGAAATTGATGCATCACAGATAATTCAAATAAAATAGACAATTATAAGACTTCATGCTTCCAATAAATATTAATTTCATACTGTGACGCAGAAGCATTCAAGATGTGAAGACTTTTGTAATAAGCTGGGTAAGAGAAGGCAAAGAAGAGTTTGTAAAGAAAAGGAAAAGAAAAGTAGAAGTCGTGTCTATCTGTACTGCCAACACAAGTCCACAAACTTGATGTTTGACTAGGACAGTTGAATATCATCAAACAAGAAACAAGGTCAAGTATTCAATTAGACCATTTCGAGGTCTGTATCGATTTCTTGTTTAGCTCACTAACAGGTAATAATCTTGATTTGAGTGCAACGGCACAATATAAAAGGACAGCAGACTCCATGTAATTGAAAAGGGGTTAGTTTGTGTTGTTGTTGTTATCATTCATTAATAGGTAATAGGAACAATGAAGACTCATGATGCTTACAGTTTTGGGTTGTTGCCCTAAGCCTTCTTTAGAGAATGCTTTTGTCTTAGTCTCCTTCTCACAGATCTTAAATCTTTCCATCTCACGCTCAATTTGTTTGCGAGCATCCACCAGGGCTTGTTCATAAGAAGCACTAACCTATGTCGACAAACACCAAAAGAATAATCATCAGCTTCAAATCAATAAATGCAAGTACACAATTAATAATAAAAATGTTAAGCATCACTAAAGGTAAAGGTGATTCAACAACTTCCCATAAAGATGATAACAGTAAGAAATGCAATAACAATTACAAAGAATTACTTAATGAAGCATAATAAATCAAATAAACAATGCAAACAATCATTCAAAATGATAATGGAACAAGTAACTAACTTTCTTATCCTTGATCTCGCTCGATTGGATCCATGTCTTGATCTGGTCCCTATACCTTTGGAGCTTCTTGATTTCCTTCTTCAAGTCCGCCTCAAACTTTTCCTTCTGATTCGCATTATCAGTATCATAAACCTGAAACAACAATTCGATAAAAAAAACCAACAATTTTACGAACAGTTCAATTTGCACTATAGATAAACTAATTATTTGAACAAAAAAAATTGTTAGATTCTTTAACAACCTCATTTCTTCCCCTTTTATTAAGGCAAAATTGAAAACAAATTAATCATTAATAAAGAAAATAAATAAAACAAATTTAAAACATTTCCAAAAACACTTCAAAGAGAAGTGAGACTATAGTCACAACGAACTAAAATTCGACTATCGTTTTAGTGTCTAATTCCCTACATTTTCTCGGGAACCAAACAGAAAAGAGAAAACCCAAAAGAAAAAGAGAGACTGATTTACAGTGATGAGAGTTTAAGGGTAACCTTGTTCCAGATGCTATCAAAGACATCGACGCCTTCTTGGACCTTCTTCAGAACCCGATCGATCTCTCCTTGAAGCTTGCGACTCGCTCCCATTGTTGAATCGGAATGTTTCGAAGGCGAATTAGAGAGAATTTATCATCCAAATGAGAGAAATAAAAAACCCTAGCACGTATTATTTTTCAATTTTTATAGGTTTCCAAATGTCGAGTGGAATTTTGCGTAACTCAATGAGTTTTGGGACCGTTTCACTCATTTAGGGCTTTATTTGCTATAAAATAAATGGACAGAGAAGACGATATACCGTCCATCAGGGACTCAGAAGTGGACCCTGGAGTTCCAAAACGACATCGTATTACCTGTTAATTTGGAGGTGTGGGCCGGGCTAAAAAAAGAGATATATGGGCCGAACCGGATCATTACTTAAATCCAACAGTTCTGTTTATTTATTGCCAAACACTCAACCATTATAATTAGGGGAATATTAGTCATTATCAGTTCGTATTATATCGGATTCGTTTTTTGATAATATAAAAAATTATAAATTTTTTAAATTTTATTTGAATTTAAATCAAAATTTTATATTATTTAATTTAATCCTAATTAAATTCTATCAATTTAGTTAGGTTTATCAGTTTTTAAATTTTAATTTTTATATATTATTTTAATATAATTTTTAATATATTTATATAGATTTAGATATAAAATAATTATATTTATTTTATACATATTTAAAATATTTATAAATTAATAAAAATTATAATTCGATTCAATTTAATTTTTTTTATATTTTTACTTTCCGATCAAAATTTCAAATCAAATTTAATATATAAAATTTAACTTAAGATGGAACATATATCTAAAGTGTGAAAAACGAGTGTTGGGGCGATTGTTCCTAGCATTCCCGGTTAACAAAATCACAGTTTTTTCTATCATTTTGCTTTTACAATCATCAAAAACCGAAGTAGAATTTTTTAAAGTTTTTAAACCAATTACAAGTAGGAACAATATTGATTCAATAATCAAGTTATATGTGACATATTAGCATGTTAAATTGAAAAGTTATCCTGGTACAAGTGAAAGCAAAGCTATGGTTCCTCAAATTAATCAGGTCTTGTCTTAAATGATACATGAGATTGAAAAAAAGTTTAAAAAAAAAAAACCTAGTTTGAGATCAGCTGGAGGTATCTAATGTTATGTAGTTGCAAGAAGCAAATCTAGCTTTGTTGCTGATTCAATCAAAGATTGAATTGATTCCTTCACCCGAGTCTCCTTTTCCGATGTATAAGTTGGATTGTACCATGTCTCATGCACTTTCTCATGATGATGAAGAACCCTTCAGCTCCAGCTGAGACCATTCAGGTCAAACTGTTTGCAGCTTGAAGCTGCATCATTTTCATGGACATTTAAATCCAGGTTTGTTGCAAAGTAAGGTAGTCTATTAACTCTATCTGCACTTCTGCTTTCTTCATTTCTTCCTTTAAATTTTCCCTCAGAAAAGCTGCTGCTGTTGCTGCTGTTGTTGTTGTTGTTGCTGCCATTCCCTTTCTCTCCTTGTAACCCTACACTCATGGATAACTCACCGCAGCTTCTATCTGCAAGAAACGTTCTTCTTTCTGCATGCTTTCCTATTGAGGAGAGAAACATTTTGTTCTGTTTCATGTCATCAAATGACTTCAGCTCAGTTTGTCGTAGCAATGGATCTTCTGCTGTCTGGTCTCTTTGCTCCAAGAATGAGCAGCTGCTGTAAGGTCTTAAACACATCCCATTGTTGTGTATTTCTTGCTCCTTCTGATAAACTTCGCAGGATGTCAAGCAACTATCCATTGAACAATCAGTGGGTTGTTGGGGGCACAAACCCTGCAAGTCTTTCAAATCTGGAAATGCAGAATTCAAGCGGTTGGACACTTTAGACACCAGTTCAGATAGCTGTACTTTGGCTGCTTCAAGCCCCACTGTGCCCAAACTTTGTCTTCCAAGAGTCTCTTGGGCTTTCTCCAGCACTGCCTGTAAGTATTTCCCTTGAGCCTCAATACGAAGTTGTAAATGTCGCTGTACCTCAAGCTGCTCATGCAGCCTTCTCTGCACTTCGATTTGCATTTGCAGTGCTTCACCTATTGGTATGCCCCTGGATTTATGAACATTAAAGTCAATATATATATAGATGAAGAAGTAGATGACTGAATGCAAACTATAAAAGGCCATTTATCTTCTCACTTGTTTGTCTGAGGTCCAGTACTTAAGTTATTCATATGCGTCGCGTTAGCTTCAGACATTCTGTCTCCTGCCATTGCAACCACACCTATATCCATTGAGTTAAAATTTAGTCGTCCGAATGGAAACTTTCAACAGGAAAATGATTATTTGAAGTTTTTGATCATCTGTAAATAGGAGGAGCACTGTCCTCTTACCTATTTTGTTACTGCCATTGTTAGCTTGTCCATGGAGGTTTTTACTGAGTCTGTATTTCTGCAGCCAAAATAAGAGATATAATTTGCCGTTGTAAAACTTAAAGCAACTGGATTTTACTGTAGTTTTAGGACATCCATGGAGTTTCACCATCATTTCATTTTTCCATTTTTTGATCTAATGACAGGGAAAGACAACAAGGGATGACCATCCACATTCCTTAACCCCCTCTCAATCATTGGTGAAGATCGGTTCCAATTCTAATATTCAGTGGCGGATCCAGGGTTTTTTTTTTTTTTTAGGGTGTTACTTATAACCATATACAAAACTGCAGATGAATTTACCAATTTTACGGGCGGAAAGAGTGAAAATTTTTAGGGTAATAAGAGGAAAACTATCCAGATGATGTTGATAAATTACCTGAAGGTGGCTCTTGAGATGGTATAAGGTAAGACCTGGAATCCCCATTAGTTTCATGACTGTTTTAGGAGTAGCCTCTGCAACAGAAAAATGAACAATTATTTGTATTAGCCTAATGCAGTTTATGCATGGATTTACTCTAGAACATCTTGAACTTTTGTTTACTTACTGTCTGCTCCTCCAAGCTGATTGACAGCTTGTATGAAGCGCTCGTGAAGATCAGGCGTCCACTTCAATCTTGGCTTGGCATCCGATGAGAGGACAAGACCAGAATCTCCATGGCCATTCCCACCTTGCAGGAACAAATGCCTATCAGAAGGAAAAGGCATTCTCGAAGAAGGATGGATGTTCTTCCCTTGATGTTGGTGGTACATTTTCTATCTCCAAAAGGAACTCAAAATGTAAGTTTAACTTGTTGTTGAAGCACTTACAACTAAATTATCGTGCTCGGTATCAGCTTTGGTTTTACCTTATGCACCCGTTCTTTCCTCTCCTTGATCTCTGTCTGCTAACCTAACCCCTTAAGTCAGGAGCTTGATCCTTTGCTAATCAAACTTTTCACCAGCTACTCTTACTTATCACCTCTCTTATGGCCACTTCTCACAAGCCAAAGGTGACCCCAAGCATGGCTTTTTAAAGCATACTAGAGGGGGCTGATTGGTAGAGTTTTGAGAATCATAGAATCTGGGACACAGCTGATGGAACAACCTGACCCCATCCAATATTCACAGTGACTGAAAAAGAGATGTTGTCCCTTCTACTTTGTTAACTGTGGACCATATACCCTTGAAGTCTGCTTTTCATTTTAAGACAGTGCCAGCCATTTGAATTCCTGAGCACAACCAACTTTCTGAAACACCTTAGGACTTGCATTAGGTACTGGAATTGATCCACCAACTCTTTTTTATTTTTGTGAGCATTCGTATTCGTCCCAACTGGCAAAGGCAAGAATCTTATTCCCGGATTTAGAAGGGGAGAAATTTTCTGACTTGGATTAGGAGAATCCACCATCTATATTGTCTTGAGACCTTCAAAAAAGCTCATCTTCCATGCATTGCTCTCAACTTCAAGGAAGATTCTTAAAAACCCTTGTACCTTTGCTCTTCACCTTGTTGTTGAAGTCGTTTTTCGGTTGTCAACATACACAGTTTACTAATGAGAATATAAATAAGGTTTAGTTCAATGTTATCTGATATCAAATGAAGCAGGTGGAGACACAAAGGAAAGTTTTAACTGCTATATTTGGAGAAGTAAAAGAAGATTCTTTCGAATGGAGCACCTAGAAGCTTTGGAATCAGATACATACAAGAAATAAGATAAATATGGAGGAAAGATGCTCTTCCTTGTAGATTGTTTAGAGGCAAGGAATGGAATAAGGAATACATTCCATTTTGTCTCCATCAGTAAGTTTGGTACTTATTCAGTCTTAACTGCATTGTTTAGAGGGAAGAAGGGGACCCAAATCTTTTGCAGTCTTCAATTGGCATAAGACAGCCGGCCCCTAAATGGCGAATCCTAAGCACGTTGGACCCGATTAAGGGAAGAAAAGAAGGATTGTACTTTCTTCCATACTTGGATTTGTTGAAATACATGACAGTCCCTGGCCTGGTTGATGACAACTTGCCCTTGACTTGTGTCTTTTGTGTGCTTTCCCGATTCCCTTGTATGAATCTATACGCTCTTCTTTCGCTATTTGATTACTTTCTTATCTTAATTAAGCTCTTAGAAATGGTTTCTTAAACATCCCTCTCTCTATTTATGTACAGAAATGTCAGCTGAATAAATGTACAAATCCATGAACTCATGCAAATTATTCCTTTTTCTTTTCCCTGCATGAACCGGCACGTAGAATACATGGAATTATGCATTGTGCAATCATGCATGCCAAGAAGTTTCAGTTAACCATCTGAAATACTTGAAAATCAGTTACATTTTTCTCTGTTATCCTCTCTGCATAAACAAAAGCAGAAATATACATGCTTGAGCTTAACCATGATCATGATGAACTAACGTAAAGGAAAACAAACATTGATTTGTTTATCTTGAGTTGCATTTGGCAAGCTATGCAATTTGTCAACTGCAAGTTCATTATGCTTATGCTACAGCTAGCATTGCAGTGAGGGATCCGGCCCTTGGCGATAACCAGGAATTATGCTATAACTATTTAAAATAAATAAAAAAGAAGAATAATATCTACATGATCAACAGCTAATGCAGAATAAATTCATGTTTTAAGTTGAATCATAAAAACCAACAGAATAGAGAAAATAAAACTCGTTTTCGAATGAGGATATATCTGATATGCAGATACCCCATTAAAAATGAGTGCTTGAGAAATTTCTAATAACAAACAAATATAGAGCAATCTATGCAGAGATTACGGAAGTCACATTTCAAAGCAATTATAAGTAAAATTCCAATTCCTTGTATAATGTCTTCACACTAGTTCCAACTGGCCTTTTTGGAAAATTATTTGATTCTGATATGTCAGAATATAGTTTTGTGCAGTTTGGGAGAATCTATCAATACCTTTAGACAAAGTATTAAAGCAGAATCACAAAATAGTTTTCTGGCATGTGGATAGGAATATAACTGCAGAAGAGGCATTATCTGGTGCCTGCTTCAAATATATGAGCTGACATTTGATTTTATATGGATATTGATCAAACAGAAAAGAAGAAATCACAGCAACAAGAGTTGGATAAATTTGGTGAGGACATTTTCACATAATCATTTCCCATTTTTTTCCATTCCATGACTAATTGACTGAACAATAATGACATGCTAATCAACCATGAATAAAACATGTGAGAGCATCTAAAACAGGATGGTTAAAATCTGATGACACATTAACCAATCAAACCTCAACCATGTTTTTGGGCTGCACCAGAATTGAAAATGAGAATTAATTCCCACATTCTTGTTCAAGTTTTGTATTTTCCCACTTATGTTTTATTATGTTGACAGATTGATGTTTCAAAAGTGCAAGAAGCTAAACCATTTGTAGGGTATTACTTCATTTCATGTCTGTTAAGGACCCAATAATGATCATTTCCAACATTACTACATAAAAAGAACTTAACTTTCCCTGTCAAAATGAAGTTCAGTGTAATTCTAAGTCCCTTTGTCCATATATCTCTAAAACCAACCGTTTTTGGTGCTTGAGAGCATACTGTTATCTGACCTTCTGATCTTTCCAATGATGTTATTCTTCACTTTAAGCAAAGGGGAACACGGATATTTGTTCTTCCTTGTACTTGCATTTCCTTTTTATGGATTCTTTGTTACTATAATTTTTTCAAGGACAAGAGAGAAGAAGCTCTGAAAAGAGCAAACACCATGAACCACCATAGCTGAGAATATCAGATCAAGGACTAGTACTTCAATCATAAGCAAGACACGTGTAAGGTTCTTACCGGTCGGTCACTATTTGTTGACCACACATGACAGCATTGGCTGAAACAGAAAGTGAGAAATGACCACGGAACGCTATTCCCTTGTGGGGAAAAAAAAGTTATTAAAGTTTTCCAGGGAATGGGAATGTAAGAATCTTAATTCAAACTAAAGCCAATGAGTCATATTCTCAAGTCAAGAATAATTTTTTTTTTGGGTTATTCCTCTCTACCCAAAGCCACAAAAAATGGGTTCCCACTCCCCATCTTTTTTTTTCCATCTAGTTGGATGCTTTTCAACATTCATGATTAGTGTTCATAAGTGCTCACTGCTCATAACTTGAGCCACTTTACAAGAATAATATTGCAAAGTTTAGAGATTGCTTATGTTTTTTTATCCAATATATATATATATATAAATATAAATATATATATATATATACACGGCTTCATGAAAATCGTGTAGAGATTCATATTAAACTTATGAGTTATTATCTATTTTGATTTAAAGTATATGATTTTATTCCTTAAAAAATAGTTCACAAGTGTGGATTCAAGTTCTTATATATATATCATAACGGATTCTCAAAATATCCGATGTAGGATTGAGATATTATATATTGTCTTCATGTTATTCTTGGCTCAACCATGATGTAGTAGGAGTGTAAACGAATAGAGATTTCGATGAACTATTCGTGAACATATTTTATTCGTTAATATTCGTTTATTAAATTTAATAAATGATCTTGAATAACATTTTTATGTTCATTTATTAAACGAACTGAATATGAACAGAGATCTATTTAGTTTATTTATATTTTTTAATAAGCTCATTTAAAACTCATTCGTTTATTATTTGTTTCCTATTCGTTTATAATAATACTAAAAAAATTACATTTTTATCTTTTACCTTAATCTTATTTCAAGATTTGTTTACGTTTGTTTAAATTACTTTATATTCATTTAAGATTTGTTTATTTAAATTTATTTGGTTATGATTTGTTTATTGTTCATGATATGTTTATTTATATAAGTCAGTGAATATGTTCATTTAATATTCATGAATAAATTCGTTAACTTAATTGATTAAATACGAATTGAACGCAAATAACCTATTATTTAAACAAACAAATATAAACAAACAGAATAATTTTATTAACGAACACGAATACTTCTGAAAATAAACTAACAAATCTTAGACATACATTCATTCGTTCATAATCGATTCGTTTACAACTCTACAATGTAGCCATCATCATCCTATACAACATTTAAAGTGTTGAAAGTTTTTTCCAATTTGTTTTTCTTCCTTTGAAATATATGCTTTCCCATGAGAGTGTAGGTTCTGATAAGCCTATCCCATTTCACTTGAAAGCACCAGCATTTATATAAGATCTCCAACTATATATATTGCTCATTAGAAAGCACTGATATTAATTTCATCACAACAGAATCTGAGGTAGCCATGAGATTGAGATCAAAAGGAATAATGATATTTGCCATAGTAAAGCTCAGTGTAGCTGAAGCTTAATGTGTCTTTTATATATAGATGATATGCATGAGAAGATAGCTGAAATTGGAGTAATTTTGTGCGTATTCTATCTAATATAATATGCATCATAAAAGGGTGATCATATCCATTAATAAGATTTATCAATCATCATAGTTGCATAAAGAAATATGTACTGTGCTTTTTTATTAACTGAATATTAGATCAATATGTCTTCTCATCCAACATAGCCACCCTTTCCCAAAACCATCCATCACTAAACTGTTCATTTCATGCATATATTCTCAGCCATTGTCATTTGTTGGGGCAACCCACGTTGATGTTAAGCAGATAATACTAGTTGCAGTGAACTAGGATTCCCATATATTCTCAGCCATTGTCATTTGTTGGGGCAACTCAAGTTGATGTTAAGCAGATAATACTAGTTGCAGTGAACTAGGATTCCCTGGTCCAACTGCATCTCTTTATTTTTTTAACTTTTGTCCCTTCTAATCTTCCCCTCAATCCCTCCTGATGGGGTATTTACTGGTCCGAAAGGTGTGATAGTCTTTTACTTTCATTGGAAGCTTCGGACAAAAAATTAAAAATATTTCAGACATTTGAATCGAGTCGGGCACGTTTAGTATCACATCAGCTCAAGCACGTTATTGTTATCTTTTATTGATCTCTTTCTTCTCATCTGTAAATATAGATATTCATGTATTATCATACCAGATTCTATCTTGTCTCAACCCTTTATTCTTCTTTCCTAACTGCTTTCTTTCCTTTTTGTTCTTCTAAGAATACTCGTATCGGAGCTCGGCACCAACACATTTCGTTCTGTTTAAAGAGATCTAATCCAAAAGGTGATCAAACACATAGGTATCAGTTAACAAAATAAACAAGATGGGAACAGATAAGAACTTGAAAGCATTGGGTGTGTTTATCTGAATGATGTTTCAACCATTTGCTAGATACTGGAAAAAAAGAGAGAGATGTGATTTTCATTTTCATTCCTGTTTTGTGATGCACTATTTCAAGAATGTTCATAAAGGAATTTGAAAGCTACAAGGACCACCAAGGAGGCACAGTTGCAGCCATTGGACCACCAAAAATTAGGGGTGAAAAAAAATCAAAAAATTTAAAAATCGATTTGAAATTATAATGTTCATCTTGATTTGAATATGATTTTTTTTATTCAGTCCGGAATTAAGTTCGGATATTAAACATATATATTAAATTCGAATCGAAAGATAAAAATAAAAAAAATTAAATCGAATCGAATTATATATATTTTAATTTTTACATATATTTTAAATTTTTATAAAATAAAATTAATAATTTATATCAAAATCTACTTAAATATATTAAAATTTTATATTAAAATAATATATAAAATTTAAAAATCGATAAACTAAATCGAATTCAATTCGATTTGAATCGAAAAAAAATTCGAATCAAATTTTAAATTTTCATAATATAATACAATATCTTAAAAAATTAAACTGAATTCAATCCGAATCAAACAGTTATCATCCTATATTAAAACAGTCTTCAAGCAACCAGCAGCAGTACAGAAACATCACACTGCAACACAAAACCGATAATAAACAACCATCATTGATAGTTTAGTACTGCTGTTCGGTTGGAAAATTTTTTATTGAAATAATTTTTTAGCATTAAATCAAGAAACTTAATCAATTCGAGAAATTTATACACATAATTCTCAAGATAAATGTATATACATAAGATTTATTGAATATAGTTGAAAAAAAAAATAGGAGAAAAAATGGTCTTCAGCAACTAAACAAAATATGATGTGGTATTATATGAAATAGAAATGTTATGGTGAAATAAGAAATAAAATAAAATAAAATTTGTGATATTATATTTAATAAAAAATAACATAATAAAATGAGAAAATAAATAAAATAAAATTTTAAAATTTTATTTTCATGATTTTTTTCGCTATATCATTTTTAAAATTATTTTTTGAACGGTAAAACAATTTCCAACATAATTTTTTACTAAATGTTTTTTAATTGCTTCAAATTTTGATATATAATAATAATTTTGCTCCAAAATTAAAAGTATGATTGTAAAATTACGCCAACTGAAACATTGATGAAAAATTAGAACCAATCATATAAATATAATGATAAATTTATACCTTATCCCTATCTCTCTTTGCAGCAAATAGTGGTAATTTTTGTATCAAATTGAATCAAATCCCTAGTGCAGGAGATAGTATAAGTGGTTAAAATTTAGAGTCTAAATATAAAATATTTAGATTTTAATTAAAAATGTAATTGATTGAGTTTAAATTAATAAAATATTAAATTTAAATTCAAATTTGATTTGAGATTTAAAACTTAAAATTCAGTTTAAACTCAATTAAATTTTATTTTTTAGTTTGAACCTAACTCGATATAAAAATTAAATTATTTAAATTTATTCGATTAAATTTGATTAATATATAAAAATAAACTCAATTTTTATATTCGATGAAAACTCAATAATTGTGTTCGAATTCGAGTTTAAAATATTTTATTAATTAAAATATAAAAATTCGATTAAACGCACAAATTATTCGAATCAAATATAAAATTACTCGAACTCGACTCAATCAATAAATCAAACTATTTAAGTTCGAATTTAACTTGATAATAATCAAATCGAATTTAAATTTTATTCAAATTAAATTCAAATAATTTATAAGTATTAATATATATTTTATACCCTAATTCTAACACTTACTGTCCCTCGTTACTAAACGATTTATAAATCCAAAATATCTCCGAATCTTTCTTACTCCTGAAACTTTTTTTCGACATAAAAAAAAAAAACCTATAGAATGGTAGGCAGCCTAGTGTCCACTGCCACAAAAATGGTTCGGGTAGGAAAAAGTTGTTCAAGATAAAACTGTAAAATAACATTCATTCACCATTACATCAGTAAGCTCTGGAAAAACAAAATGGAAATCTCACATTATCATTTACAGGAAAAACATGAATGTAACATCATTTTCCACTAGTTTGAATTCACTGTAAACAAACACCAGTAAGAAAATGACAATTTTTGTAACTAAAAAAGAATTGACTGTAATGAACAGAAAGGAACAAGTAACTTGTAGTCGATAACCACGTGAACTGCTGGCAGAGTGCTCGACTAGTAATTCCAATGATCAAAATTTAAATAAATCCCGACAACCTAAAATATAAAAAAAAACCTTATAATTTTAAACGTAAACAGTGTACAACTTGGAACACAACTTTAAGAACTCAAAAACAAAGATATATATATATATATATATATATATATATATAACAGTGGAAACTTATCCTCAAGGTCCCAACAAATTAGAGAGCTTCTTTGGGAGTAAAAAGAATAAAAAAGGTAAAGGAAAAAAATATTGAAAATTTGATTTCAGCCTTTGAATTCTTTTTTTTTTTTTACAAAACAATACATGATTCTATGAGAAAACAAACAAGAACCTATTAAATATACTTGCATTTGAGTAGCAGTAGGACACCGCGACACTGTCATAAATATCTTACTTATGTATGCACTAGGAGTTTAAAGTATGATTTTCTTTCCTTTAACCCGGGTGTCACCACTTTTGTCTTTTAGGGATCCTGTTGGAGGTTTAGCTGGTTCGTGTGAATCGCCTGTAACATGCTTCTTTCGCCTTGGAGCACCTGTGTTGGCAGAGTCGATCAATGGACCAGACCAAGTTTGAATTGGTTCTTTTGAATATGTGAATGCTGTAGAGCTGAAGGGGACATCAGGAGGAACAAATGCAGGATCAATGTGATGTGACGCTCCTAATGGAAAGCCGAGTGCTCCATCCTGGTGTGGTGGGGGGAACTTTTCACTCTTGCTCTTAGCATTTGCATGGGTTATTAAGCGCCTTCTCTGCTTCACAAGGAAACCCCAAATTAGTTAAACATGTCGGAAAATTTCAAACAGGTGCTCAATGTCAGTCACAGCTAAACCCGGAATCTGTTCAAGTAGGGGCAAATAAACTAACAAAAGCTGAGGTATCAAATACATTCAGTTGGCAGACTGAAACTTAAGCACAATTGAAACGGGACAACAACAGAGTAATCATGCATTCACTGCATATTTAACTTCCTATTTACAACTTGCAAAGCAACACGCTCAACTTTCAAAATCCTAGCTCATTTCGTTAGGGGAAGCAGGGAACAAAAGCAAACAATAAAAGACAAGAAAAAAATATGTCTGTCTTTAGAGAAAATATTCTTTTCAAAGTACATATGCAAACAAATGCATCTAAGCACACAATAGTTTGGTTGTTGAAAAAAGTGAATTTTTGACACATACATCAACATTAGACTGAAGCTCAGCATTAGCTTCTGGAGCTCGAATTGCCCTTGCACGATCACGCGTCCGTGTCTTCCTTGCACAATCACCCTGGGTTTTACTAGCAGCTCTGAGCCTGCACAATTATACCAGAAACAGGACGGGTTCATTGTTGATTATAGTTGAAATATATACAGGAGAGATAAATGATTCAATGCTTTCAAATGTGAATTTGCCAGTGCATGTGTGTTATCAGGAGCAGGACAGAAGTTAAGGCAAGTATGAACTCCAACAATTGTAACAAAATAGCTTACATTGAAATTTTTCGATGTAAATAACCATGGGTAAAATACTAATTACACCATTAACAGTGTAGTTAAACTCAAATGGAACCCATTTCAACATAGAATGATGACTACACTTTGAAGCCATGGCAGTAGCTCCAAATTGAATAATTCAAAACCAAGGCATATAATTACACTAGCGTCTAACCAACAAGCAAATTCAAAGTTCCTCAGGTCATAACAAGTTTTATCATCTACATATAGGGAAGAATCATTTAACACATTCCAGAAAAAGCACATAAGACCTAGAAAGACCTGAACCTGTGTAGCTGTGCATGCAAACCACCTTAGTTTATACATCTCTCTCTCTCTCTCTCTCTGTGTCTTAGAATACATGTAGGCGAGGGGTTTCCAACAGAGCATGTGCTTAAGGGTCTGTAACGTTCTTATGCATATGCATACAAATCGAACTGAAATAATTCCCAACCTTTAATCAGCTAGCATAGTTTTGTAAAACAGCCAGTGATTAAAGTCAATAGAGAGAAAAAGTAAAAGAATTGACCTCCGAGCTTCATCATCTCGTCGTTTTGCATCCATCTCTTTACTGGGCGGATATTTTGGGAGGCTAGAAGGTTCACAAGCATAAGGTTCTGTTGTGAAGAACTGCACAAGAAGAATGAATGGTGAAAATAACAATTTTCCAAAGGGTATCTTTATGATAAACCAGTCTTCATAAATAAAAGTCAAAAGATGCCAAGAATAGAAAGAATCAGAGAGTGTTCACCAATATCAAAGAACTCACTTCACTTCTTAATGCGGCAGTGGCAGTCTGACGTTCTGCTGGATCAATTGCAAGTAGTTTGTCAATAAGGGGCAGCGATGATGGTGGGAAATCTTTAAATGTCTCTTTTATGCATCTTTTATAAGGCTCTCGAGGCTTAAATAAGGTTGCATTTGGCAACTTTGATTTTTTCCAGTATTCATCTGATGGTGAACCACATAACTTGTATATTTTATGTAGTTGCTCTACCTAATTGATCAAAAAATGAAATAGTTAGTAGGAATAAAGCGGTAGTACAACTATATAGAATATCACCTATTATCTTCAACATGCAGTGAATAGCAAAGAGAGAATACTAAAGAATTTCAAGATATGATACATTAATTTATTGGTCGCAAGATGTCACCCTCCGGTCTCTATGCACTAAACATGGAATATAGCAATTTTTCAAGAAATTAACTTAAATCAACAAGTAGGAAGAAATAACTTCCTAAATGAGCAGTGACATAGACAATAATACAAAGCATGCTAAACTGAATAAACAGCAAATGGATCAAAAACTTACCTCAGTTCGACCAGGCATAATGGGCTTCCCAGCCAAGAGCTCAGCTAAAATGCATCCTGCACTCCAAAGGTCCACACCAACACCATAATCTGTAGCCCCAAGAAGAAGTTCAGGGGCTCGATACCACAGAGTAACCACCCGACTAGTCATGGGATGCTTGCGGTTTGGATCGAAGAATGTAGCCAGTCCAAAATCTGCAATCTTAAGTGCTCCTCCATCATCAATAAGAAGATTTGAACCCTTAATATCACGGTGAAGCACTCCGTGGTTGTGACAGTGCTCAAGGCCAGATAGTAGTTGATGCATGTAACATTTAACCTACAATGTTAACATAGATTTTAAGCATACTTCTAGAGTCACTACCTTGCCAAGGATGTAAACCATGGATTTTACTTTAATTTAAATCACAAGACAAGTTGAGCTAACCTGTGGCTCTGTGAACTTTACTATTGGGCTTGCTGCAAGCCCAGCCAAATCATGCTCCATGTACTGAAATACCAAATACAAACTACAAGACATCCTTGAAGTAACTAAACCTTCCAATTTTACAATATTGGGATGATCTAACCTCCGCAATATGAGAATCTCTCTAGCCATAAATTTCACACTCTCAGGTTCCAGATTATCAAACCGAACCTTCTTTAGAGCAACAATTTTACCTGTTAATGTATCTTTAGCTTTGTACACATTGCTATATGTTCCTGAGCCAATCTAGCATCAGTAAAGAAAGGTAAGCATCTGAATAAAAAATACCAACTTCAAACATATAAACAAATGAAGAACAAGACCGATAACTAAACTGCATCCCGGATGATGTAACAAAAGGCAACTGTTTCCATTTAAAAACAAATTTGACCATCAATGTGCCATAATTAAACAAGAACAAAACTAAAATGGCACAGCCAAATATATTCACTATCATTTCAAAACAAACTATCATTAAGACATCATCCCTCGATAAGGATTAAGGATCAATAAAAAACACAAAATTGTACCCAAAAAAAAAACTACCCACCTTATCAATCTTCTCAAATGTGTCAGCCTTCCGTGGAATCCACCCATTAAGCGCCTCCCCACAGGCATCCGAAAGCCACTTAGGCCATCCAGCTGCCACCTGCTCTCCACGCAAATGCTTTGGTAGGTTACTCAACCGGGGGTTCGGCTTTGACCTTCTCCTTTCCCCCCTTTGTTTTCTTTCCTCATCAGCTTTTTCCTCCTTTTGTGTACCTTCATTTTCAACCTCTACAACACTAACTTCAATCTTTGAAACTGTAACATTTTCTACTTTTCTATTGGATTCACAGCTAGCATTTTTACTCTCTCTAGACTCTGAAACAATCCCTGAAGATACCTCTCTTCCTAAAACACACCCCATTTCTTAAATCCAAACCTCATTTCCCAACATATTCTAACATGGGTTTTGCTCTAAATCCACAAGTAATAAACAAATAATTAACTACCCACAAATCAAGCCGCTATAACAAGCGTGATCAAGCTGATAAATCTGCAAAAAAAGAAAAAAGGGAACAAAAAAGTTGACTATTACATGAAATTAACAAAAAAACCATCTTAACTAATAATATAAACTCTAAGAAAGCTAGAATTCACTGTGCAAAATATCACAAAACCCTACCCTGTTACTGCTATGATTTGGGAGCTTACAAGATTCAGCAAGAAATGATCTTGAAGCCAAGTAAAAGATTGAAATTTGTGTGGTTTTAAGCACAAAATTGGGGAAGTCAAATCGAAAATGATCTGAAAGTAGGAAAAAGGAGTCTTTAGAGAGGGAAAGTGGCAGATTTAGATAAAAGACATTGTCTTTGAGGAATCTGGAAGAGTAGTTCTGAGTTATGTTTTGTAAGAGAGAGAGAGAGAGAGCAAAAATTGATACTTTGATTGAACACTTGAATCTGAAAGAGAAGAGGACTTCACACTTGTTCAAGTGTTTCTATTTGGTAAAAGGTTTTTGGTCTCCCTGTTCTTTCGTATTTTTGACTTTTCCATTTTTTATTTTGTTTTATTTTTTAATAGAAATAAATTAAAAATATAAATATACGAGAGCAAGTGTAGATCTTTGTGCTCTTACTTGCTACTCTCACAGTGATTTTTCATCCAAAGTCAAACCACTCTCTCTTTACTTTTCATTTCCCACTAATTAGAATCAAGAGTTTATTCATAAAAATATCAGCTTTAAGACTGAAAACGGAAAGGATTGAATTTGATTAGGTTTTTTTAAGATATTATATAATATTATAAATTTTTAAATTTGAATTTGAATTTAAATTAATAATTTTTTAAAATTGATTTGAATTAAATTTTATTGATTTAGTTTAGTTTGATTTATTGATTTTTAAAATTTTTTTGGTTTTTATATATCATTTTTAAAAAAATTTAATATATATAAATATATTTATATATAAAATAATTATTTTTATTTTATAAAATTTTAAAATATATATAAATTAATAAAAATATATAATTTAGTTTGATTTAATTTTTTTCAAATTTTCACATTCTGATTTGAAATTTAAATTTAATATACACAAAACTTAATTTGAATCAAATAAAAAAAATCTGATTTGAAATACATATTATGATTTCAAATTGATTTTTAATTTTTTTTAATTTTTTTCACCTTTAATGACTCAATTGATAAGTAGAGTTAACTTTTTTTTAATTGTTTGATTTTAAATTTATTGAAATTTTTTGAAAAGATAATTTGTCATAAATTATCAAATTAAACATCAATAAATTTATTTGAATCCACTAAAAAAATATTAAAGGAAACTCAAAAACATCTTATTACTCAAAAATAAATAAAAAAAATACTTATGTTTCAAAATAAGAATAAAAAAGTTTTACTTATGTCAAGGTTTTTGTATAAAATAACATAATAGGGTTTTAACTATATGATATAAAGATTTTAGTTTTCAATATAAAATAAATTATAATATAATGGTAAATTTTATCTCAATTAATATGATTACTAATTTTTTAAGGAATTATAGAGTAAGTAATTCTTTTTTTTTTTTTGGCAAAATAAGGTTCTTAGTTTCTTAGTATTATTCAAGTATTTGGGACAAGTTGGTGAGTATTTCATAGGATTTCTATTAAAAAATATGATAAGATGAGAAGAATCTAAAGTGGAACACAAATGATAACCAAAGTTGACAAAAATAGTAAGAGGCAAATGTTGGGTCTATTAGTATTTCAGTTTGAATTTTTTTATAATTTTTTATTGATAGACAATTTGTAAATAAAAATTTAATTTAATAGATCTATAAATTTTAATTAGATTGATAATTTATCTTAACTTTAAAGATGAAATAACCTCTTTTACTTCAAAATTTTTATAAAAAAAAAAAGGAACATAGATTTATTTGAAAGAATGATTATTTGTAAAGGGTGACATGTTTAGGGGTTTGGTTGCTTGACATAAAATGAAAAATTATTGTGTTGGATTGCTGTTAAAGTTTGAGTTTCACCAAAGTAATTTCATTTTCACCTTTTTCTTATCAAGAATTTTTATATCTTTAATAATGCTCACATTTGCCAAAGTGTCAAAAATTATTAAAGAAATGCCCTATTAACATATAAAAAAATGAAAATATAAAATTAATTCAATTGATTTATATAATTATTTTTAAAATTTATATCTAATAAATTCGATATTTAAAATTCAAATATATATATATTTTTACCTTTTGGATTATAAAAGATTTGGACTGAAAATAGCTGCCAATTCCCCAATATGAATTTTTTAATCAGTATTTTATAAGCAATATCTATGAATAAGTGACCTATTCTTTTAAGGCAAGTCCTAACTTTATATGGAACTTAAAATTTTATTTATGTAAATCATTTTTTTATTTAAAAAATAAATAAAAGGAAGAAGTGGAAGAGGAGGAAAAAAGAGAGACCAACTATCTTTATTTTGTATAAATATATTTTGACCTTTATGTACTTTTTCTCCTCTTTGTCTTTGGGACCATTTCTTGTTCACCCTGATTAGCAGTGGAATGTGCTGTTTGCCTCAAGAACAGAATCTGCTGAAGGGTTACATATGTTAAATGAAGAACAAACCTGGCCTGTTTTCAGCAGTCATCAATCTCCTTCCAGCACCCTTTTTTATATCTCGTGATTCGTGTAACAGTATCACGTAAAATATTATAATATTTATATTTATATCATATTTCATATAAAAAATATGTATTATATTTAATTATTATTAACTTTTTAAATTATATTTTTTTATATTATATTTATATAATATTATTATATCGTATTTTAAATTATCATATTTATCAATTTTTTTTATCATTGTCATGAGGAGCTATAGATGCAAAGCTGGGTAGATGAAAATGTAAACAGGAATCTGATGAATGCTTTGTCTTAAAGAGCTCTGAAAGGGGCATTTTCTGCTTCAAGAATCGGAATGCTTCTTCCAGGCTAGTTGGTTTTGTAAGAATCAACAAGCTGCTACTGTGGGCCATGTGGCAAGATCGAATCCATTAGTTCCCTAGGATAAAACCATCTGATATTTTTGCTAGAGTTGACAGAACCCCATGCATGTCAGGTCAAGATCACTAACTTAGTCCCCAATCCCCATGATAATATCTGTGCAAAGTTAACAAATATTATTAAAACAAGATGATGAAGAAACCAATAAGCGTTACCATCATTGTTGTCTTCACATGAGAGAATATTACCACTGCCACTTTGTTCATAATTTCAATCTCGAAGTGCTTTTGTAGATTGATTTATACATGGTGAGTGGTAATCTTTCATTTTCTACACCAGACAATTATGCTGTTTAATTAGGGGTGAGAAAAAAATTAAAAAAAAAATAAAAATCAATTCAAAATTACAGTGTGTAATTTGATTTAGATTTTTTTATTAGATTTGAATTAAATTTAAATATTAAATATATTTTAAGTTTGGATCAAAATGTAAAAAATAAAAGAAATAGAATAAAATCAAATTTTATATTTTTATTAATTTTTATGTATATTTTAAATTTTTATAAAGTAAAAAATAATTATTTTACACATAAATCTATTTAAATATATTAAAAATTTTATTAAAATAATATATAAAAAATTTAAAATTTAAAAATCAATAAATCAAATCAAATCGATAAAATTCGAATTAAATATTAATTTTAAAAGAAAATCGGTTCAAATTTTAGTTTAATTTTTAAAATTCATAATATTATAAATATTTTTAAAAAATCAAATCGAATTCGATCTAATCTTAAATCAATATCACCCCTATATTTTATTATTTTGAGTACCGATGCCAAAGCTTCTAAAGTACAACAATTTAGAAATATGTAAAAGATAAATAATAAAATAAAATATATATATATGTTTGTTATGATAAGTTGAAGCATAACCTAATCAAGTATTTTTGGGGCCAAAAAAATGATCATTTAATTATATATAATAATACAATTAAGTATTTAGAGCCAATCTTAACTAAGATTAAAAGCATGAATTTCAGTTCTATAGAGATTTCAAAAGGCTATTATTTGTTTATTCCAACTGCTTAAAGAAAAGCATGAAACAGGTCTCCATGGCAGTGATAGCTAAAACTAAAATGTATCCTGTGATATTCCATCTACATATTAAGCTTATTAAGATCTGAAGTTGCAGTTGAAACATCCTCGGGCACTGTATCTTTCTTCTCGTTGTTGGGCAACGTTCCCTCCTGGTTCAAGCTTGGTGTTTTTCTTGGTGGTGGAGCTGAACAGACTGGTACAACTGATCTTATATTCTAACAGGCAATGCCAGGAACTAGGATGCATGCTGCCAAGGTTCATTCTTTCAAACCTGGGTTTGGTTCCAGATGGAGGGACAGGCATCTGAGTTGTCGGCTTTTGCGTGTTCGATCGCATGGAAGGAACTGGGCTCACTGTTCTAATCATCGTAGGAGCTGCTGCAGAGGATGGTGGCTACAATTTCTATAATAGCTTCCTCTTGGAGGATACTGTGGTCTAAGATGAGAAGACTCAAAAGCATGTGGATTTTTTAACTGGTAGCTGACAGGCCGGGAACCAGCATCCAATCTCCTATGAGCATGAAAATATAGGAACATGAACTATTTATCGTTCTTTCAACTCGTTCGTAATTAACAATTTGCAAAAGTTCCGATTTTTATGGTCGGTGATGGCCGAAACTGTTTCACTATGGTTAGAAAAACCTGATAGCAGTGTGCCAGTACTGGAATCAATAGCCAAGTTGGGTTTTCTCCAAGAAAATCATAAAAACCAATTTTCCAGGTCATTAAATGATGTGATTTTTCCAGGTCACAGTGTGAAAATAAACAACCATTGCAATGCATTTGGATTTTAACTTTCCCTAGTTGTCTTGCTTGGTTTTCTGCTTTGTTGGTTTGGACTTGAAAATATATGCATCATAGAAGGTGTTCGTTGCATTTTATGTCGAATAATGAACAAGACAATTTTTTTGGGTACAAATTAGTGTTAATAAATAATTTATTAATACTCACAGGTGATTTGAATTTAGCTTGAATAAAATTTAAATTAAGTTAAGCAATTTGATTTATTGAACGAACTAACTTCAAGTATTTTAATATCCTCTTCAAATAGCTTGTAAGATTAATTAAGTTTTAAATTTTTAATAGATTTTTATTATTTTAATTAAAAAATTATTATTTTACTCGTATATATCAATTTGAACTCGAACTCGAATTCAAATATATAATTGATCTTAAAATGAGTATGAAAATCGAATTCATTTTTTATTTAACAAGCCAAATTGAGATAGCTCAATTTTTATTTCAAGTCGAACTCAAACTTGAAAATTAAAATTTAATTAAGTTTGAACTTGAGTAAATTTCGAATAATAAATTTTGAATCAAGCTCAAATTCAAACTTTTTATTATACCAACTCGATTCGATTCGATTACACTCATAATTCAAAGATACTATACTCAAGGAAGACAAAAAAAAGTTGCAGATATAGAATTTAAATCGTAGATTTGAATGCCGGATGATTGCATGAACCAAGTACATGACCAAACCAATATCTTCTTTTCATTTTTATTTGCAAATTTGTAATATTGTGCAACATAGGATTGACCATGGCTATCCTATCATACAAAGAGTGTAGAAAAATAAGCCCATCAAAGAATCAAGATGCATCTGAGTGAGCAGAGTAATTTTTCTAGGCCTTGAATGATGGAACTTGGTCTAGAGGAGCATAGAGTGCACGATAGATTGTTCTATCGATTATACTCCTGTAAGGGTCCTCCTCCCTCTTCTTCAACAAGTAAGCAATACATTGTTCAACTTCTGACTTTACCTGCAAATACATTTCATTTGCATCTTCTCTGTCCACCAGCAAATCTTCCCTTCCCTTCAATTTTATCGGCTTTCCAAACAGGTAGTAAAAGCGGCCTGGTATCTTGGGTAACAACCCTGGAATAAACAGCTCTTGATTGCCAACCTCTCCCTTTGTTTCATCCCTACAATCAGATCACGATCTCCATTAATGCAACCAGTATGATTGCAAATAAGAAACTTACTGTTGTTCTTGGTGTAGCTGTTGCCAGCCTTCCCTCTACTTCCTCTATTTCTACTTGATAAGACTAGGAAACAAAAATCGAAGAAGACCAGCCTGATAATAAGGGAAGAGGTTGCAGGTACTCAGATTTGAATCCTAAACCTGCTAAATGCCACCTCTTAAGGTGATTGCATGCCTCTTAAGGTGATTGCATGAACGAACTGAATTAAACTCGGGTCCACCCAGCTTCCTTTCAAGAATAAGTGGCTAGCATCTTGTAATAGAATATGAGATGTAAATATCATTAGAGTGAGAGTAGTGACCTTATTTTTATACCATCCCGACTGGCGTCTTTGATTATATCATTAACCACAGGGATGTTCATCAGGTCATGGTAATCAAGAACCAGCTGCCAAGAAGATTATAAGCAAGAACAATGATATTAGCACAAGTAAATGTGGAGGTGGGGGTGAAGAAGTGGCTTGCTAATTCTTCCCATTGCATTCTCCATTTGGTTAAAAGAAACATAAACTTACTTCTACTATATCATCTTCTCCTACGGTACCAAAAGGCACAATCGTGGCCCCAAATCGTGCTGCCATTCTTACAAATTCTGGTTTATTAGGCCAAAATAGTTTATATTGTTCACCCTGCAATCATAGAAACACTGTTTCCTGAGAATTTAGATCAGAAGTTTAGTCATGAACAAAGTAATAAGTTCATGTTGGAAGGGTAAACATGAAAATCCTCTCCAACTTCGTTTCATTGTGAATCTATTTTGGATAAGCATGAAGTTTGTCTCACCTTATGATGGAGGGCCTCACGTGCACCACCAGGATAAAGAAGAACATGGGATTTTGCAGACAAAGCTTTGAAAAGATTGGTTGCTGTGACAGGTAATGCACCCATTACTTTCATCCAATCAGAGAAAGAAAATTGATAAGATGAATTTTGAAGTTTTCCCCAAAACCACTCTGGATGCGCTACTCCACGGACCATAATCTTCTTTTCTCTTAAGAACGCTTCAGTAAGACAAGAAAGTTCCAACCCCATCAACATATGGTAACCAACTAACAACACAGGACCCTCATCTGGAACCCCTGCAAGTCCCTCCACTATCTTTCCATCTTCCATGGTTGAGAACATAGCGGAACAAGATGCAAAACGTATTAATCTGCAAATTAAGATGGCAGAAATATCAGCCAGAGTCTCAAATTAAGAGAAACAGATGAAATGATGCAACTTAAACAGGTTTCTTCAGCTGTAGTCCAAAACTGGTTGCTTGGTAGAATTACCCAGATACCACATCAAAAGCATATCTGTACTCTGACATGCTGGGAGGCAGAAAATCTGAGGTAAAATCATGCCTTCTGGAACGGCGGTATTTGCAAGTTCCTTTAATGACAGTCAGTAAATTCATGCTATCTTCCTGTACCATTGCAGAAAAACATGCTGTCAGCCAAGCTGTGCAGAATTACAAGTTTACTGTACATAAATGTCTTCCATGGAAAGCAGGCCTAAGCTTTCTGCATCTAACACATATAACTTCAAGTCAATAGCTACAGATATGCTAAACTTAAACTATGAAGCAAGTACTCCTGAAATCTTAAGTTGAGTTCAGAAGCTGCAATATAACATCTAATAGCAAACACAATTACCAGAAAAAGAGTGTGTCCATTGTCTTCAAAGCAACGAATTATGCAATTTGGTAATAAATTCTTAAGACGTTGAGCTTCTTCTCGACTAGGAAGCATGTTATCCTTGTCACTAAAATGCAAAAACCATCAGCCATGATGAAGTTGATACTCGTGAAGTTAAAAGGCATAGCACATAAAGTATCAGGAGAAAATGGAATCCTATATTGACAATCAAATGGGAAGCAATATAATATCATAAAGAAGAGAATAAAGACCTAGCAAGCACTAGTACTTCAGCTTTTACAGCATGGAGACGCGAATTAGCATAAGCTGAAGCTGATTTAAGCAACTTCAACTTCCAAATGAGAGTCTCCTTTGGTATAATATCAGCCAAACCCTGAAAATAAAGGAAAATATGATGCCAAATCTTGGACTGAAGAAATCTTTCAGCAGAATATTATGAAAAATAAGACAGGCAGCAAATACCAGGAACAAACCCCAAGGCATCATAACCGGAAAAATAATGAATGATAAATCCAAGCAATCGGGAATGATTCTTACAGAAAGAAGGGGAAGCAAAGCAGAGAGGTTGCCAGACAATTGCTCAATTTTCTGTGTTGTGGGAAGCTTACTGTCAATACCAACTGCTGCCATTTTCAATGGTTCACCTGATCTCATAAAAACAGAAGCAGCAATATCAGAAGAAACTCGCCTTATGTGATCTGAATCAAGCAATTTCAAACAACCAAAAGTTGCAACTGTTGCTGATACATTCAGCGTACTGTGAATCTTAAAATTGAAAAAATCTAAGCATGTTGTAACAGAGAAGTAGAACTGTATAGACATGCAAGGCATGGTATTGAAGGCATAGAGCCTTGGAAATATAAGCATGTACCCATCACAAAGCTCAGAAGATAGGGGATAGTAACATGTAGCCCATCAGGAAAAGCTTCCAATATAGGGAACAATGGTTGCAACTGTGACCTGCCAAATGATGTAGCTAAAATGAAATGATAAAAAACAATTAGCCCACCTTGGCATTTTAACAACAGAGTTCATCAACCAAGTAAAGATTAAAGGATATGTGATGAAGAAAAGAGCACAAACAGGAAATTCGAAACTAAAACTGACCTGGATTTGCTAATATCACCACTAAATCAATATTGGGATTACGAGCAGCAACAGCAAGTGCTAAGCATCCTCCAAAGGAATCTCCCACCAAATAGATTGGACTATTCGGACGTGAAGCATTCTCAAGTCTAATAGTTTCTTCAACAAGTTTCACCAGTCCTTCATTCAAGAAGATGACGTTAATTTTCCTTTTACAAACGATACATAGTTCGAAAGAGAATGCATAAAATCTGGTCATAAGTTATGTTAAACCCCTTAAAAAACGCATGACAAATGCGATGAACGGTCTACACAGAAAGCATTCAGAATGAGCAATTAATTGCAGTAGAAGGATGTCAATTATAGAAAAAGAAAGCAAATAAGCAATCATGTGTTACCATAAGACATAAATTAGACAAACAACTTAAAGCTTAGGGTACCATTTTGCTGCATCATCAGCTTGGATAAAATTTCTAAACAAGCCAAGAAAATTAAAATTCATGGGTCATGAAAGACAAAAACCTTCAAATGGTGTTCGATCATGGACAGGAATATGAAGGCACTGAACTTCAAAAACCCTGCTTTCAACCAAAATCTTCAATAAAATTGTTACTTTTAAATAGAACAACTATTAAAATATATCTAAACATGAATATGAATCAGTATAACATGACCTAACCAGCGGGAAATAAGTAAAAAAACAATGAAAATGATTTCAAGACAGTTTTTTCAGGTAAGTGCGGGAAGTACTTTCACAAGTTAACTTCATTGAAATTAATTCTTCGGCTGGATGCTAAATTTAAATGCCATAGAGGAGACTATGAAACTGATTTGCCTCTCCTGCACTTCTTGAAAATTTAACTTGGAACTTTAAAGGAAATATACAGAAGTTGTCACTTGTCAGCCAAAATAATCAGGGAAATCGGCATAACTGCTTAAGACAAGGATAATAAAACTTACTTTCCAAGAGCTTTATGGTGCAAAATAAGGCCCATCCCAACACCATCAAGCCCTGCATGCATCAGTACCAAATAAAATAAAGTTGCCATCATGCACTTTAAAATATCAAAACTCAAGGGAGGAAAAAAAACTAAAGAAAGAAAATCACTTGTTAAAGCAATAATTTTAGTAGTACGACAATCCCACCACCATTTATCCATCAATCAGGGAAGACATTGAAAAAAATTGAAAAACCAATGAAATATATTAAGACTGAGCTTACCAGGTAAAAACAGAAGGGCAGGAGAACCTTTTATAGGACGCCCGCACTCAGCGGGGCAAAACCACCTTGGTGGTCCACCATCAGGCTTAATCATGTACTTTGCTGCATCGAGATAATCTTTCACAGTTTTAATTCCATAACCATCATCCCACAATACTTCCAATTCTTCAGAAACCATTTCTTTCACCACAATTTTCTCAATTCTAGACTTTAACCCCCCATTCCCACCATCAGGCGAAGACCCTTTTTTCTCTTTCTCTACCCTTACAGAACCTGTTTCATTCACTGAGACCCCATCAGATGACACTGACAAATCACTACCACCTAATCTCTCAGCTCTCACTCGCACACGAGGCTTATACGCTGAATTTGTCCCAAAACAAGGCGATACCCGTAAAGAAACAGCAGATGCCATGACACCTAGTAAACACAACTTAAACACCCTTTTCGAAGAATAAAAATTAGAACAACTTAAACACAACTAGTAACTCTTCTGAAACTTATTGAAACCCATTTTCCAGCACAAAAACTTTCCAGCTTCTACAACAACTGCAGATAGTTTTGACACTTTGCTTCCAAGACTCATGAATTGAACAACTTTGAACCCAATGGCAACAACTAGCTACCGTTAGAAAAAACTTATTAGAACCCTTTTTCAAGCACAAGAAACTGAAAAGAATTACAAATAACCACAGCTATAATGCTGCCTGAAACCCCATAACTGAAACAATCACACTTTCTATGCCAAAAGAAATAGTAATACAAAAAAAACAAAACAAAGTAGAGTACAATAATGAAATTTGGTGTAAACCCAGATAGCAAAACATGGTTAAAAGTCTCTCTAGAAACGTACTTTTCTTGTCAAAATCATGCAATGAGACAAAACTGAAATGACAGTGAAAATGTTTGAATCAAAATATATTGGCAGAGAATAATTTAAGTACATGACAAAAAAATGAACGAACTCAATTAAATTAATAGACTGGTAATAGGAAAGACAGATGTAGCTTTTCTTTTTTTGGGATTTTACCTAACTCTCCAGTCTCCATTAACTCATGTATGGCCAAGTTTTTCTTTTTCTTCCCTGGTTGTGATTTAGCCAACACCATGAAAATTTTTAGTACTATTATGCTACAGCTAAACACTGATATGGCGGGTGTTTTTAACGGTTAAATTTTCATAACTAAGATATAAATGCACAAAAAAAGAGGCGGATGGGTTAGGCGGTGGAGTGGGCATGGAGTTTGTCATTTATTTGCAGGAATTTCCTTGGAATGGAGGCTGGTCTTTTTCAAGGTAAAAAGTGACACGTCCAGCCAAGTCCTAGGATGCAATAATGGAGAGGTAATTCTTACTGGGAAATTCAATCAACCCATGATTTTTAGGACAAAACTTTAAGGAATCTTTTTTTTTTTTAAGTTTGTAAAATTATTTCTTAAAAATATTTAATAAAAACTTTAATAAAAATTTCAAACTGATAAACTAATAAAATTTAATATAAAAATTATTAATATATAAAAAAATTATTAAAAATATTATTTATGATTCAAATTTAATTGATATTAAATGATAAAAATTTTATTAATATTTTTATTAAAAATATATATAAATTTATTAAATTTTTTAAAATTTTACCTACTTTATTTATAGAATAAAACTTTTTAATATATCAATTTTGATTATCAATTTGAATTTTTATGTAATCATTTTTAATAAAAAATTTTATCTAAATTTCTTTTTTAATTTTTACATGATTGGGTTTTTTTTTTTTCGATAAATTAAATTTTGTTCAAACCACGGAACATCAAAGGTTTGTCGTGCACGTAAAGCATTTTCAATTATTATAATTATTCTTTTATATATTTTTTATTATTATTTTTTCTTATATTAAAATGTAGTCCATATATATTGAAAAAGGAATATTACAACTTGAATTTCATTATTCGAATTCAATTTGGCTTTAGAGCAACAGCAAAAGTTGAATGAAAGAGAAGGTTGACCTTTTAATAGTCCAAGACCAAACTTTTAAGAAATTTATCCAATTTTTCGTTGGAAATTTTATTGAAATTATTTTTTTATTTTATTTTGTAAACAAAGAAATTAGATATATCATTAAAATTTTAAAAAGGGTTTTTGTTGAGGCTAAGATATGGACACGAGAACTTCATGAGACCCAGCCAAAGCTCAAGATTTTGCGGGGAATGGCTGCAGCTCTTTTCGCCATACCCACTGGACTTAGCAGATTAGTATGTGGCTGAGTTTTAGTGACCTTGACCTGGCCTTGGGGATTCGAAAGAAAGATCTTGGCCAAAATAAAACCTTCGATTATTAATGGTGGAGAACCATACAAAAGGGATTTTAATCGATTGACCAATAGAATAAAGTTTTAAATAGAAAATTTGGATTCAAACCTTATCCTTTCAACTGATTTAATTCAATTAATTTTATCAAATTAATATAAATCAATTAATCGATTGATCAATGAATTAATTTCCATTGATTATCAAAAATTATTTTAAATAAATTTGATTTTCAATTAATTCTATTCACAAATTGAATCAATCAAAATTTTAATAAAAATATTATAAGACTTATATATAAAACTACAAATATATGAATTTATTTATTTCATTTCATTTCAAATTATATATTTAAATATTTTTATTAAATAATTTTATTTAATTTATTTCACATATAAAAAAATAAAAATATAAATATAAATATAAATTATATATTTTATTATCTAACTAATCAAAAAAATTAACTGAATTCACCAAATTCATTTGATTTAATTTTCAAAATTAAAAAATTCAATTTTATTAATAAAAATAATTTAATTTAATTAATTTAATTAATTTAATTTTAAATAATTCAATTTTAAATTAATTAAATCGATCTAATAAACGAGCAAAAATGTAGCTCAAACACCATATAACTACTCTTGGGTGGGATGGCTGAACAATCAGGGGAACATATGTCTAACCAAGATCATCAATGATGGAAGGTTGAAATCCAGTGCATCAGCCTATAATACCAAACGGCCCTCGAAGAACAAAAAGATGGCCAATGTGAACTTGTGTTTGATAATGCGTTCATTGTTTAAATAATTGAAAATGACAGGCATGTGAGACTTGCATGGCTTAAACAGAGCCCCGATGGAGACCGCTTGCCTGTGTTGTGCTATAAAGGGGTACTCAAGGACTGAATTTCATTTTCAAAAAGCCATAAGAGAGTTAGGTGCAAGTAACTCCAATTTCCAATCCACACTTGTTAAATGAGAAAAACAAAAGAAATTTCAATGCCGACGAACCGAGCATGTGGGGTTCCATATATAATGACCAAAAAATCAAAATTTCATCACCTAACTGCACCAATCAAAACAGTAATCCCAATATGCAGAAGCATTAAAAAAACAGCTAAGTACAAAACAGGCTGCATTTGGTGGGATTCCCACCGTATCGACAGCATCATTTTACCATTTCTCACCATCTATCCGATCCCCCCTCCATAGCTGGGAAAGGGATGAACCAACTCTTCGCTTTACAACAAAATAAGAACACTCTCACTTGAACAGCAGCAAACAACTCCTTAAACAAAATAGTGTATGACATTTATGTTTTTTTTTCTTTTTAATTGGATTATAAATAAAAAAATAAAGGAATAAAATCCTAGCAGAACTTTTGCAAAGAAATAAATCAACTACATCAAATCCTCCCCCCAGAGTATATACTCATAGATAAGCATGGAATACGACTCAAAATCTAGCAGCCTATTCTAACTAACCTAGTAAATATATAAGATTTCATTTCTTGCCGAAAAAACAACTAAAATGCACAAGAAAGCATAGAGAGAAATTTTCTAGAAATATGACTGATTTGATGCAAATTAATTGTCGTATTTCATGGAATGAAAAATAAAGAAAAAATCAACTTCATGACAATAGTTTCTATGACTAGGTATTGTGGCCCACGATACAAATCTACAGAGCTTTCGACATCATAGGCCTAATTTTTGACCCAGGAAGTACCCAATTTTCTTTCAGCTAATTGTCCCCTGGAGTTGCAAATTGTTCTCCGCTAGCATTTCCACCCTACAATTTTTTCTGATGTATGACAAAAGCATGCACGTCTTGACTAGATAAAGACCAAAAATCTATGGTAGCATCTGCCCAACTATGAAAACATTAACCATGATCCTCTTGACAAAATCCGGGAAAATGCCCCCAGATCCAAAACCAATTGTCTTTCCAAATATACAAGCATCCAACCGATACTTCTGATCATGATAGGCAACCTCAGATGAACAATATAACTCCCAACACTTTACAAAGCATGACATTTCCATCCCAAGATACTGAGACCGACCTGCAGCCCAATAGATAAGAGAGGATACAGTTCAAACACTATTTAAGCTGATTGCTTGCTAAAGATATCCAATGCCCAGACATGCTCAAAGAGAAACTATATGATGTTTATTCACTGATCAAAATGAAACAAACACTCATTCCATGTTAAATTGAAAGAATTATGGGGGAAGAATTACTTTATCCGCATGCTTCCTCTCTCACCAACCACCCTCTCCCCCATTTTATTTCCAAAACCAAAAACAAATAAACCAAAAAACAAATTCAAGCAAATGAAAGTTTCCTGCTTTTATCATGAGAAATAATGTTCCCAAAAGAATTCACCTTCACATATGTGGTATTATGTTAAATTAAATAACATGAATAAGTTGCCACTCACCTGCTCCCAGAAGTCAATAAAATCACCTGCCTTGAATCACTCTATAATTAAGTAACAAGTCCTCAGGTTTCTTCCATATGTAAGCCCGCACAGTAGCTAAGCTCATGTCTGGAGATAATACCTGGAATATATAGTAGCAAATCAAGTAAGTGACCAGCATAGCAATATAGAGTTTGAACTAAACAAGTTGGTCTAAAACTATTTTACTATGTTGATTTCAAACACCGCATAGTAACATTTATTATTGGGAACAAGACAAAAAAAACCACACAGCATTTACAAAGAGATCTTAGGCTCTTAGCCAATACCATTATAACATCCAACATGCAATTAACTTGCCTGATTATTGCATAAAATCTCAATAGAAGGCCGAAGCTTTTGCCAAGACTTCAATCCAGACCGAAAAGATCCATCTCCAACTGCTGAATGCTGCAATTGTCCTCCAAGTCCAGCAGCAAATGTCCCATCATTATTTCCATCAATTGGTTTGTCAAGCACCATCTTTTCTATGACATAATTAACAACCTACATAACCACAACAATGGAATCATGTAGATTATTATACCACAAAACAATCTAGAACCACCTGTTCTGCAATATCAAGATGGTGTCCTGAAAAATACTACACACATCATCTTCAAATACAAAACCTATCAGCATCTCAAATCTACTATTTGAAAACCAGAGAAGAAAAGAAAATCTAACAAACCACAAATGCATCTCACTCTAATATATGAGCAACAGAACACTCAACAAAGCAATTCAGAAGATTATTTTATTCTAATTCATTCCTGTCTTGTTTTGGCCACAACAAAGTTAAAGGTCCTATCAATTTACCTAAAATAACATTTTCAGAATCCTAACATTGCTCTTTTGGCTGTTATGTTGTCCATGCTCCAAAATAAGAAATAGATTCTGTACACTAACAACATTTGCTACTGTGTACAAACGCATGCAATGCAAAAGGAATTACCTTTTGAAACTACAACAGAAAACCATAACAGGCATACCTTATGTATTCTCAATATTCGAGGTGCACTTAACTTCCCTTGGGTGAGGATCTGAACAGCCGAACCTTCACATGGATGAAGGTAGAAGCTGCACCTGCAAAATTAAAAGTGAAACTTCATCTAGAGAGAACAAGAGAAAGGATGAAAGGACACCCTACTTAACACCAATAAATAATTATCCATGGTTCTGAATGTAGTGAAACAATGTAAAGGAAGTACATTTTTTTCTAAATAAAGAGATATGTTGATGTACACAGGAAAATATATCAACAATAAAGACTAAATGCATTACAAAACAAAGAGCATAGCAAACTACAGGTAATGACACTTCTTTAAGTTCATTCCCATATAGCAAACATATAGACAAAGAGGTCAACCAAAAGGCAGTTAAATGTATGCCAAATTCCTTGCAAACTTGCTACGTAAGATTTAATTAAGCAAAGGAAAGTTTAATGAGGTCACTAAAGTTACTTGGTATTTTCTCGTGGTGGTAGCCGATTATTTAATACACAATCCAAAACCCACCAAGGGAAATCCTTCTCATCCTCAGTTCCATCCAAATCAGTAATTTTCTTTCTCCAAAGGCCTTGAGAACCCTCAGTGATAATTGAGGGAGGGGAAACTGTAGAAAACTCAAAAGGAGGATAGACCATGGAGTCATTTTCAGCATTTCCATCTACCTCAATTCTTGAATGACCAAGACTTCTAGCAGTAATATCTTTTCCTGGTAAAACATCTCCATTAGCTGAAGCCCGGGAACTAGGTCTTGGTCTTCTTTTCGTCATCCAATGAGACAACAAACCTTTAAGGGTTTCACGAGCTAGATTAACCTGCCAAAGACAAGTCAACACTAGATGCATAAAACAATGACAGAAAATTTCTCCAAGATTTGTCACAGATACCTGTGTCTTAAGATTGCCACAACCAATGGAAAAATAAAATACCTTATCATCCTCAGGCTTGCCAGTTATGTTCAGATCTGCAGAATACATCTCTGCAGAAAAGCATTGGGGTGTCTCCAAATGAACAGACAAGCTTCCAAGACGGGTATCCACAGTGAACCATGCAGGAATGCTTACCTAGAATTGTTTTAAACAAAAATCAAAAGTAAATTCTATTAAAAAAAAAGAAGGTGCTCTATATTCAACTGATATAATTTCAAATAAGTAGTTATTGCACCATCTCAAACAACTGCTCCTTTTTCTTGTCAAATGAAACCTGGACATGAAATAAAGGAAAGGGTAAATACATACAACTAAAAACCTGTAAGTGAAAAGCAAAGTGCAAGCCACTTCTACTCAAGAAAAGAGAAAGACAGAAAATGGGGAAAAAATCTAGTTCACCTGTCCATAGTCCTCAATCACAACACCCCTGGTTATGTCCCAGAGCTTTACAGAACCAGCAGTATCCTGTTAAAGAAGCATAAATATCATTTATGCAAGAAATCATCTCCCAAAACAAAATCTTTGGAACCAAAACCAATAAATATGAGCATTACCACATTTACCTTAGTCAAGACATGCCTTCTGTTATTTAAAATTTCATGCTGAACTATTGCAGGAGTTCCAGGAATGGTAAAGATTGGTTCTTTATTAACAGGAGCCTATGAATAACCGACAATGCCAGCACATCATTGAAGGGCAAGGGATGGAAGATAAATGTCAAAACAAATTCCAGACAGCCATACTTCAAAAAGATATCCCTAATAAAGCATCTCATGATTAATAAAAAGAAAATCTGATATTTCTTTTTTCTTAGGGTTGGATGAGCAAGGAACAAAAGAAGCAGAACCACTATAAATCAATGAGCAGTACCAAATTCACTACCATAGTGCACAGATTTTATGTATTTAATAATACTTGAGACCAATTAATTAAAAAAAAAAAAAGAAAAGAAAAGAAGGATTTATGAGACAAAATTTCCATAATAGACAAGGTGATTTGCCGTAAGCAAAACATGCATAAATATAAATACAATACTTACAGGGGTAGACCCTTCTAACGAAACTCTTGCCCTCGAAAACAAGTTTCCAGCCAAGAATGAACCACCTCTTTGGAAGACCTTCAGAGGATTTCGTCCTTCAGCGGGCCATCTATGAACTGAAGAATCTGTTGTTGCAACCCATATACTCTCATCATGCAATGCCAATTGCAAAATCGGGTGTTCCTTGGTGCAAAGCAAAAGACTCTCTCTTGTAGTTAAGTCTGTTAAATATAACTGATGAAAGTACAAAAGTAAGTAAAGGTTTAGAGTTAAGGCTAAATATTAGAACAGACAGGGATGTCAAGAACTGTCAAGATTATATACTAAGAAAATTTGGAAGTATGACCTTTATTTAACAATAGAATGATTCAGAAACTTATTTAAGCTAGAATAGACATTATCAAGTTTTAACATTAAGTTTCATTGAGTTAAAGTTGCAGGGTTTTATTTTGTTTTCTGTTACCTTCATTTTAAAATCTAGAACGATTCAAAATTTACAGGAAATTGAAGAATTTGAAGCTAGGAATCATATTTACTTTAGTTTGTCTTATGTTATTAGGTTTTTATTCAATGTTTAGGAGTTGTATCAAGTCCATTTTGGCAGTTTCTACTTTGGATCCCATGTCTTTGTAGGAATATAATAACTAGAACTCCATAAATAAGTATGATCTATTCAATTAGTTGACAACAACTTTACGAGAACTTCAGCAACTTTTGTACCACCTTTTGCCCTACTGATTGTTCAAAAAAAACCCCTTGACCTAATACAAAGTTTAAGGAATTCTAGGTGTGAAGCCTAGATCACTTATTCTTCTTCCTTACTCTCTAATTTAGAGCATTGGTTTCAATCTCAAACCAACCTTGAATCCTTCCAACAAGCCCCAACCCCACTCACATAAATTCATTTTACCCTTAACCTTGATTTACCACTCACAAGAACTGTTAACAGTACCAGCACAGCCCAGGATTGCATTGTAAATCCTTTATTAATTTCATCTAATCTCAACCTATACCAAAAATTGAAAACCCTAATTATTCTCATAAAATCCCATCATTTGATCCCAATCAAGGCTGAAATACTAATTGAAAACCCTAATTATTTTCATAAAGTCTCATTGTTTGATCACAATCAAGCCCAAAATACTACAGCCAATTATCCTACATCAGCATAAATTTCTTGTCAAATTCCACATCAAAACATTTGCAAAATGACAAAGATGTCCATTAAAAAGGTTTGGCATGAATAAGTACTTACAGAAAGATCTCTACCACCACTATAAACATGACTAAATGTTGATGTGCTCGCAAGTGCCCAAACAGAATCTGTATGCACAGCATATGAATGCACACAACGTTGCTGACCAAGGTCCCATAGCCTACAAAATAAAGTTATAACCATTTAAAGAAAAGGTCTAAGATTCTTTATGGTTGAAAATGGCAAGTGGTTATATAATAGCAAAAACAATGCACTAATTATGTACCTGATCATAGAATCAGAGGACCCTGATAAACAATATCTGAAAGAATACAACATGTCTGTCAAAAACTTTACTAATACAATAAACACAGCAGAGAAGACCATACAATCAAATAACAGAATTCCATAGCAGTCAATCAAGGGAAGAAAACATCAGACAACAAATAAACTCGATGATATATTCAAAGACAAAGTATTCAACCCAATTTCACTTGAAAACAATGTTGCAGTTATAAAAAAATGTGGAGATGTACATCCATATAAAGCCATAACAAGGTTTAGTCTCCACACTTCAATCACCCCTATTGTTCTCAAAATATTTAGCATCATAGGATGAATGGTAATATACCAAAATTTTCCAATCAACTAACCAGTTTATCCCACTGCTACAGAAGAGTTCAGCAGTTGCAGGAGAAAAGAATCAGATAAAAATATGTTAGGACCAATGGTAATGTACCAAAATTTTTCAATCAACTAACCAGTTTATCCCACTGCTACAGAAGAGTTCAGCAGTTGCAAGAGAAAAGAATCAGATAAAAATATGTATCTTAAATGCATACTAAAGCTCCATAATTGTAGGGCCTTCCAACTAATATCAAGCTAATACTATTTTTAACTCAGAACCAATGACTCGGAGCTGAATTCATTGCACCAACCTGCCAGTAGAATCCAGAAGCAGAGCCCTAACGTTATCTGTATGCCCTCTTAGCTTCATAGTCTTTGAACCAGTTCTTGGGTCCCAAACTCGCACAACCTATATGAAAGTGGGGCAAGAAATAAATATTTCTACTGAAATTGTCAAATAAATCAAATGATAACAAATGACCAACAGAGGTAATGATAAGATCATCCCTTGCAAGATGTCATAAGTGGAGAGAAACATGCTATTATCAGAAAAGCAAAAGCTACCTTCTCGGTTCCACCAGAGACAAGAAGGGTTCCACTATCATTCATTGCCAATGCATAGACTGACTCTTTATGCCCTTTGGCAGCAATGGGGACATATCCATGACACTGAGTTGTGTGTGCAGTAATGCTGCTACTCGAGCTAATTGTTCGCAAACTTGATATTGGTAATGAATTTGCAGAACCATTGATACCATTGGAAGAATCATCCTCTATTACATCACTGGAGTTTGAGAGTGGAGTAACCGCAGCGTCAATATCCCATACGAAAACCTCCCCGCCAAGACCCCCAGAGGCAACCACATTGGTCTAAAATGTATGGCACTAAAAAAGAATCAGAAAGTAACTTCTAAAGTAATAAACATCATACCTTGAAGCACAACCTATGCTGCCAAATTAAACATGAAACTCAAAATAGCAATCTTGCACCAAAAGGAACCTTTCATCCATGCAGTTAATAAAATCCACAGAAAATTTGACATATAAATTACATTTTTTTCAGCTGCAGCTAAACATGTAACATAGTCAGAGTGTTGACGGAGAGTCCTGGTACAAGTTCCATCAGACAAGCAATTCCATGTCTGGCATATCCCAAGGAAAGAGCATGTCAGTAGTTAATGAAATTAGTCAAAAGGGAACACCTGAAGATAATATATTAGTTAACAACAAACCTTCAATGTGGTGTCTGACGAGCAGGAAACAAGTGTATTGTCACCAGCCATTACAGTATCATTCACCTAAACAACAAGGAAATTGCTTTATTGTCGATCATAACTTACACAGTTACAGAGATATATTATATATGTAAGATAATTGGATGGTGAATTCCACAAACTGAAGAAAAAGAAGATAAAAGAGCTCTCAACATTTAAATTGACTATTGATGTCATTGAAGTGCAAAGTGAAATATGTTCTCTAGATTTTCCTTTTGGTAAGCTGGTTGGTCAATAAGCAACCATTCATATTTGATAATACATCAAGATGTATCATTCTTGTAGACCAAAAACAGAAAATTAATTAAATTTTCACACCCTCCTAACCACAAATTAGCAATAAAAATATTATCAGCTAAAGTATGACAGTAATTCTCAAAGCCAAAAGTAAACTGTCATAGGCAAAAAAGTAGGTACCCAATCAACATGAGACTCAAATGTGGCAGAGCAAGTGGCAGCATCTTCACCCAGTGCCCATCTCTTAAGCGTGCCATCACGGCTTCCAGTGAAAAGATAGTTGCACCCATCAGAGACAGATGACTTTAGGACAGCCAAACAATTTATGCCAGCACAATGCTGCAAAACAACATACCAACGAAGAGAAACATCAGTGCCTAGTGCCCATACCCAAAATAAACTGATAAATGGTTGATCAAAATCCAAGATAATGACTTTTTTTAGAATATAAAGCAAAAGATCAGCAGATTAATCCAAATTGATTGTGAACACAGTCCTAAATTAATGATGGATGCTTGGATAATATAAAGAATTAATAATTGAGAACAGAGGCCATCATTTTTATTTTAATTTAGTATAACATAAATCCTAAGGATAAAAAGCATCCAATATTGACAATCACCAATTAGAACCCCAAATAGATCTCAATATATGCCAAGTTTATCAACATAGCAAATATATAATAAGCATTTCTTACTCAATCCAATGAAAAGCACATATAGCATGGTATTACAAATCTACACAAAGGACACAAGCAAAAAAAGCACGCATACTCAAACAGTTATTCTATGGATCATTCATAAGTTTGAGTGCCCCTACATAAGAATACAATAAAAACAAACACCATCCCTAAAATTTATATTTTAGCTATGATATGATTGCATAAAAAGATAAGAAAAAGGCATATAAATCTAAAAATGCAGAAATATGAACAATCTATAATGCGACAGTACAGTGAAAAACACAGATAAACAAATTAGAACCCTACCCCAATATCTTAACACACAAATTCCTCCAGATTGCCAGATACAAATCAAGGAAGACAACTTGTTTGCTTCAAAGAGAAAAAAAAAAATTGGGAAAATGATGAAAGGAGTAAAAAACATAAAACCCACTTCACCTTCGTGTCATCAGTGTCATTCAATACATATGTCAGCCTCTTTTCTTTACGTGGGCGGTTAGAATTGGTATTGTTCCCCGCACTGCCCACTCGGTGCATTGCAGTGACCCCTACAAAATCAGTCAAACGAAAATTAAAAACTCTACCACCCCTATATGTCAGTGCTCACTAAATACTTAATAGTTGAACACTATATATTAAGAAAGAATAAACTATATACTGCAACCAAAAAGCAATTAAAAATGGACCAAAATTATCGACCTATAACAGATGATATTTTTTAAAAAAATAAAAAAATAGAAATCCTTCCATGATTCTGCAGAAACTGATTCAATCAATACACAATTAAAGTCCCATTAAAGCTAAATTTCCTCTTAAATAAATATCTATTAAGGTCATATTTGGTGCATATGATGATAGATAGGATAGGATAATAATCATCCTATATTATTTTTAATCCATGTGATTGAACTTATATGTCCTATGACCTTAAAAATTACATCAATAATTTAAATAGTATAAACTTCGAGAAAGGATAATTTTGACCAATAAATAAATCATCTTATCCTAATCCTTATGCACATCAAACACAACATAAGATGATATTATTTAATCTAGTCTTATTCATAATATCATCTTATCCTATCCTATCATAATCTTGTGCACCAAACACATCCTAAATGACATGGAAGTTTAAAAGTTGCTGTACTTGCAACTATTGCAACTGACATTTTGATTTCTTTTTCATTTCAATTAAACACATATTTTCTAAAAATGCATGAACTCATTGAAATTCAAACACAAATTGACCAAAAGTATCAAACCAGATGATTAAAGATAAAATTAATCAAATAACTAATAAAGATTCAAAATTTCTGGGGATAAAATAATGTAACAAAAAAGTCTACTAAAATAAATACACAGAGGAGCAAACTAGAAATGATCGCCGAGAACGCGCGAAGTCGATGATCGGATAAAGAGTTAGAAAGAAATGAGAAATGAAGTGACGAGAGTGACGCTTTGAATTTACCGGACCGTCGTCGAAGGAGAAACCGAACGGCGATACAAATTAATCGGCGAAGAGAGAGACAGAGAGAGAGGTGAAATTAAACCCTAGAAAATTTGGTGCGTCGAAATTTGATTCTATTTTTTGTTTCGATTTTTCTATTGAAATGAGGGAACAAAGGAAGAGAAAGATTTGATAGAAGAGATGATCTGAATTAAAAAAAATAAATAAATAAATAAAAAGACAATTCTTCTCTAAGAATCTGAACAGGAAAGTGATACCTGGAAAGTCAAAAGACTACAGGAAAAGACGGGAATCGGACTGGCTTGTCAGTGTTGCTAGTAAAAAAAAGGACAAACGACACCGTTTCGAATACGGAAATTAATTAATTAATCTTTTAGTATTAATGGTTTGTTGTTGAATAAGAAATAGGATGAAAGAGAATACTTATCATTAAATTATTTTTATTTTTACAAAATTTTTAATAGCCAAATATGTGTTTTTTAATTAATTCTTTTTTAAAAATCTAATTTAATTGATTAAAACATATTTACTTTTTTTTGTTATTGATATAATGGAGCTAAGATTGTTGATTTGCATGAAATATGTTCCTTGGCTATATTTTATAAATTTGTTTTCATAATGAAAATATAAAAAAATCAATTTTATCTATTCTAATTGAATAATTTTGTGACCATAAGAAAAAAATATTTTTTACATGGGAAAAGGGGAAGGAAAAATAAATAAAAATAATCACATAAACATATTCATAGATGAAAAAAGATTATTTATTGGTAAAAATATAGAAAATAAATTATTATAACTAAAACTAAATTACATTTTTATATATAATTTTTTAGCAAAGAAATTATAAGCTTGAAAAATACAAAAAAGGGATTATAAGTATTGGATTCAAATCTCAAACTTGTTAGATTATATTTTTTTAAAATAATTATATAAATCAATTAAATTAAACTTTAAAATTTTATATTTTATTAATTTTAGTCTATGCTAACAAGCAAAAGATCAATTAATATTTTTTTAGAATCAAACATATTTTATTTCAAAAGTAATCAATATATTTATAATTTAGATAAAATAAATGTAATTAGAAATAAAAAGAAATAAATAAATAAATAAAATGCCACATTTGCTTCCATGTAAATATAAGAAAAAAACTTCAAAAAAATTATGTGGAGCAAAGTAAAAAGGAGAAAATTGTAATTTTAATCAGTTACATATAATTGCACCGTGTAGTTTCCCTCATCCTAGTATTCCTCCCCATATAATTATAAACCTTAAAATCAAATTCACCTAATGGTTTCTTCTATTTTCTCGTATTCAATTTAAACTATAATCAAACATACATGCATTGTACTTCAATTCCCAGGTGATATCCAGAATTTAATAGTTAATTCATGCATCTAGTTTTAAGTAGGGATGAGAAAAAAAATAAAAAAAATCGAAAATCAATTTAAAACAATATATTCGATTAAGTTTGGATCGATTTTTTTATTTAGTTTGAATCAAGTTCGAATTAAATTTTGAATCGAAATATAAAAAATTTAAAAAAATTTAAATGATCCAAGTTATATATTTTTATTAGTTTTTATATATTTTAAATTTTTATAAAATAAAAATAATTATTTTATATATAAATCTATTTAAATATATTAAAATTTTTATTAAAATAATAAATAAATCAAATTTAAAAATTGATAAATCAAATCAAATTGAGCTAATAAAATTTGATTCTTATTGGATCGATTTCAAAAAAAAATCAAATCAAATTTTAAAATTTTATAATATTATATATTATAAAAAAAAATTGAACCATATTCAATTCGATTAAACCGTTATCATCCCTAATTTTAAAAGATGGCATGAGTTCAAATTCTAAAACTTTCAATTGCAATTGTTCAAAAATAAAAGTGAGGCATTAAGTTATCCAGAAACTAATGTAGATTCCTAATAATTGCATATCTTGCATTAATTAATCTAGATCTGTCAAATTAATACATTATCTAGATGCTTAATTATTTGCTAAGTATTCATTTGGATTTCACTGCTTTTTTGGCACGATATAATTAAACTCATTGCACTATTAATTAAATTCAAATTTTAACTTCAATGAGATTTATTCAGTATAAATTTTTTATTAATTTTTTTTCAATTACAATTACAATAAATTTTTTTTTAATCACAATTATAATAAATTTTATTACTATTTTCAATCTCACTTTCTATTCTATTCAAATAGAGCTTAAGTCTCGTATTTGATTTGCTTTGCATATGAGTAACCTATTATAACTTCTTAATGCATATCCTGCATTAACAAGTCTTTTGGAAAATGGCAAAGCTTTCCATTTTTTTGCCTCTTACTTGTCCTATTGCATTTGTTTCATGTACATTGAAATAAGCCAAATGAATGAATAAAGTAAAAAAAAAAAAAGAAGAAAGTTTCAATTTTCTCAAGTCCATGTTCTTATGGCTCCTTCTAACAAATGAGAAAATGGTGTCTATGGCAGAAGTAAAGGCATGCCACAAAGCATGGAATTGCAATGGAAACGATCTTTGTCAAGAAGATTGCAGAAACAAGTACAATGGACCAGAAATGTGCGATATTTATACTGCAGCAACTGTTCCAAAACAATGTTTTTGTTAACAAGAGGAGTTTATGGCCATGAGTTCAAGTGAAATTCATATTTGATATTAATAATTTTATATTTATTCAAATTCGGTTTGAATAAATATTTTAAATTTTAAATTTGATTTAAATTAAAAAAATAAATAAAAAATCTATTCATTAAATTTAATTTATATGATAAAATTTTTTTAAAAAATCATTTTAAAAAATAAAATATAAAAATAAAAAATTACATATATATACTTTTATAATTATAATATTTTAATTATATATTTTATTCGGGTTGAACTTGGACTTTAATTTCTTTTTGTTTAAAGTTAAACGAATCTAAAAATTGTGTTTAAATTCATTAATTCTTGTTCAAATTCTCTTAAAATTTGAATGAACTTTCAAACCTAGACAAATAGACTGATTAACATGATTAAAATTAATTTTCATATGAATTAACTTGAGACTTAAATAAATGAAAATGATGTGTCCTTAAAGAAATAAAATTTGATGTCAAGCATCACACTCCATTGGTAATTTTTTTATCTTAGCCTTTAAAGGTTCTTTTCAAATGTTAATGGGGTTTTACTTAAAGCCATGGGATAATGGAGACCAAATTGAAATGGTGATTCCCTATCCCTTACTCATAGAGTTTTTTTTTTTTTTTTGAATCTCTGACCTTATCAAATGCTTTCCAATTCTATCACAATAATGATTTTTATATCATTATTATTAACGAAAACTTCACTTTAAAAAACTTTATTTAAGTATCGTCTTTAAAATATTCAGTAATTATCCATTCAAGTGAATTTTAATTTGTTGGTGGTAAAAGCAATTTGGAAAAAACTACTAATGTATATGCATTGATTCCATAGCTTTTGAAGCACTTCCATAGTTTGATTCTAAGTGAAAATATTTTTTTTTATAAAGAAAGTTGTAGTTTAAAGATATATATATATATATAAGGTTTTAGATTCAATGATTTAATTATCTTAAAGATAATTATATAAATCATTTAATCTCGAAACAGTCTTTTTATAATTAACCAATAAAAATTTTTAAATATCCATTAATTTTTTTTATTCTTTATACCTCTTCTTAGTAAGTTATTAAAAATAAATTTTTTGAAACTTCTTTAATATACCAGAAATTCATTTTCGAAAATTTTTTAACTCTATCAAAATTTATTTTTGAAAAACATTGCAATTATCCAAGAACTTTAATAAATTTTCGATACGTTGAAAAAGTTTTTAGATATCCATTTTCGAAAATCTTCAATATTTTTTTGAATGCTCGAATCGTCACCTCAAATCGTACCTCTAAATTTAAAATTTTAAATTTTTTCAAACTAAATAAAAAATTAAAAAAAAAACAAACAAACGATTTATCTATCATTTTAAGCTATCTAACATCAAATAGGTAATTGAGACTTAATCCTTAAAAGATTTAAGGGTTTCGGTGCAGAAGAAAAGAGAGTATGAGGGATGTTTGGATCTTTTAAATAAATTATTTAGGATGTGAAGAGAAAAAGGAATGCGAATGTGAAAAGAAGTGGAGATGTAAATAGCACTACTCTTAAATTAATATTGATTCTTCCAAAATTCTCTTTTCTAGAAGAGTAAAAGAGAATGCAAATCCACCTCACTCCAATAAGGCAAAGCTTTAGTTAAATTTTTATTCCTTTACCTCCTTAGTGGACAGTCAGGGATGCAAATTCATCATCAATGGGATTAAAAAACAAAAAGCTTGAAGAATTATGAATGTTTGCATCACAACCATGAGCTATGCAATCATCCTTATCCTTAATTGAAAATTAAAAACTTAAGAGCCTCCAAGCTTTATAATATGCACGGCATGGCTTAAGCCTAACCCAATTGAGCTGCATCGATTCTAGAGATGGTGAAGGTTTCTACTATCATCTTGTTCTTGCTATTCCTCATTGTTTTCATCTCTGGTAAAAATTTTTCCCCACTTCTAACTTCTCCATGTTCCATCTTGCATGATCCTGTAACTCCCTTTTTTCTTTCTCAAAAATTTAAGATTAAGGGTGTATTTAGAAGTAAGATGGGAAACCAAAATGGCACTCTTAAGCAATGAGATTCGTACTCTCAAATGTACCCTTATTCTTTAACATGATAATCGAAGTTTAATTTTGTTTCTTGGACAAATTTTGGTGTGTCGGTGTGAATTAAATGAAGTTTCTAAGTGAAGTTTGTTTGTGATTGTTTCGTAGATATAGATATGTTGAAGTGATTGTTTAATTGAGCTGTATTTTTTTTTTTTTCACAGATGAAAAAACTATGCCAAAGACAGAAGCAAAAGACTGCCATAAAACATGGAACTTCAAAAGGGAAAACCGTTGCCGGGAAGACTGTCGGAATCAATACAATGGGATGGGACTTTGTGATTTATACACTGCTCCTTCGGTTCCTAAGCAGTGTTTTTGTGCATATAAGTGTTAATGTTACCATTCCTTTCCTCAAATAACACATATCCTTCTACCCAAATTTATTTTGATTGCTTAATATAATTATTTTTAAGAAATGATATTTAATAAACTTAAATTTTAATATTTATTTTTTTTATTTTTATATTATAATTTTCTTTAAATATATCTTTCAATAAACTTTGTTTAAAAAAAAAAATTGAGTTCGACGATTTAAACACGAAATACATGAATTTACCACTAAGCTTAACATCTTAGTAATTAAATAAAGCAGAAGGAGAAATGGTCTCTAGTTATAAACATTAGTTTGATTAGGAGTGATGACCATTTTAAGTTTATTAGCTATAACTGGCAGATCTAAAATTCTAAGATTCTATTTAAATAAGCAGTTAAATTGATTACGATATTAAAAATAATAATTATTATTATTGTAATTGTAATTGAAAAAAATTAATAAAAAATTTATACTAAATAAATCACATTAAAATTAATATTTAAATTCAATTGATAGTACGATAAATTTAATCATATCACGTTAAAAATGCAATAAAATTCAAATGAACATTAAGTATGCTACATGATAAATCATAGCATAGAAACAAATTTGACCTTAATTCTATATTATGTATAATCTATTATGGTTAACAATTTTATAATTACCTTTCCATGTTTTCCTCTATCTTTGTAATCTGACGTCTCATAATTCCTTGGACTTCACAATCTATGGGTCCCATTTCTTACAGGACTTCATTTTTGGTCGAAACATTTGTCTCAGACATATATCATGGCACAGCATTGATGTGAATAATAATGATTTTTTTTTCTTGTTTTTTCTCTACTTAATTTCTATTTTCTAAGTAGCAATTGGCAAAGCAGAAGTCTTTTTTGATCTTTTTTTAGTTCAATTCAGTTAACTTTAAAGACCGTCTTCAGATTAAATTAGGTTTGAATCAAATTTATACTTGATATTAATAATTTATATATTTATTTAAGTTTGATTCAATCTAAAATTTTGATTTTTAAAATTTTTTAAAGTTTAACTCAATTAATCTTCATTTATATAATAAAAATTTTAAAAATATAATTAAATTAAATTATATTTAATTTAAATATGTATATAAAAAATAAAAATAATAATTATTTTTATATATTTTTATATTTAATTTATATATATGTAAATTAATTTTTATATAATTTATGTATATATAAAAAAAATTTATATATATAAATTCAGATCGAACCAGATCAAGTTCAAACTTTAAATTTTTTATTCAAAATTCAACTTGAAATTTAAATAAAGTAAAAATTTATATTCAAATTTATTTAAGAAATTTTAATTTTTTATTAAATTTTTTTTCAAATTTAAACGGATGACCCGCCCTTATAGGTCCACCACACAAAGGTAACTTTTTGGCAATTTCCTTCAGTTTACACTTCACTTCTGTAAGTTATAAAATATTATATTCATATTATATTTTATGTGAAAATCATATCACATAAAAATATAAAATATAATTTTTTGATTTTATTAAATTTATTTATGATATTTTTTAAAAATTTTATGTTATATTATCTCTATATTTTTTATTCTTATAATTTTTATATCATATCATCATGATTCATATTATCAGGTCGGTTTATGTATCCTTTAGGATTCTCAGTTTCAAAGATCCGTGGATGCATTTTCTGCAGCCATAATTAATGCCTGTGGACAGCAGCTGCTAAATTTGCATAATATGTATGAACAACTTTCACATGTAAAAGAGATATGCATAAATTTGCAGTTTTTTTTTTTTTTTTTTTGTATAAATTTTTACCAAGATTCTTTACTTTTTGTCAAATACATGTAATGGAATCGTGTATGAGTTCGTTTTAATTCATAATGACGATTTTCCATTGGTTTGTAGCGTTGACATATACAAGACAAAGTTTTTGTTTTTTTTGGACAAAACTATGGACATTTACTGTACAAAAGTGCTGCGGTTTTTTGTGCAAAGGTGCAGCAACATGTATGCATATGACCCATTTGAAAGGAAAACAGAATGGTTCTTATTCACAATTGAGGAATTGAGAAATTTCATTCAGGGTGTAGAATTTACTTAAATCTCTTGTGGCAGAGGCGTGCTTGATTCTTGGTCTTGCTGAGAAGGGATAACAAGCCGCTGCAAGGATTTTAAAGCTACCGTGAGCTCTGCGAATGAAGGCCGCAAACTTGGATCACTAGAAACAACGAGGAGATGAATTAGATTGGATTCAATATTGCAAAAATGAATATGGTCAAGTGTAGAGTTCAAGGTTCTGTTTACTAACGTCTGCCAGCATTGCCAAATTGTACTGGCAACCAAAGGATCAAGTTCCTTGGGAATGTCAAGCCGACGATTCTGGAAACCAACAGCACCCACAACTTGCATTGGATTCATGCCGCTCCAAGGCAGTCTCAGGGTAGCAAGCTCCCAAAGAATGACACCAAAGCTATAAACATCACATCTATACATCCATCAAAAAAAAGCTTTGGTTATTTTACCAATTCAGCAGCTCTAAAATCTGTGTTTATTTTCAGAAATGTAACAGAATATTAAGCAAGCAGAATGAAATGTTAATTGACTGAGCAATCTGCTAACCAATGAGAATGAACAGGATTAAATGATATTGATGGAAGAGAAACAACTCACTTCTCATTTGAGGGTTCATTGCGAAGTACTTCGGGAGCCATCCACTCAGGCTAAAACATAAAAGGCAACTCGATCAGAGACATAAAGAAACAACATTAATATAACATAAGCTACTGTATCTTCAGAATTTATAATATCTTGCACGGTAGGCCAAGATACTGACTGTTCCTGCAGTTGATTTGGATGATAGAAAGGTATTATGCTTCAAGCGTGACAATCCAAAATCACACACCTGCATAGTTCAGTTTTGCAACCAATTAAAGGGTACACTTAAAGAATTTCACAGCAGTCATACTTCATTTGTTATTCTTTTCATTAAAACGAAAATGTTAGTTTTCAATGTCAAAGCCATTACATCATGCATAGTTACACATTAATACAATTAACAACCTCAGCTAAGTGAGAAAACAACAAAATGGTAAACTTGTTCCTTTTCTTCCTTTAAGGTTCTAGTCTTGAGGAGTTTAAAGCCAGTGAATTTATTTAATTCTATATTGTTATAAGATTATGAGCATAAGTGTAAGAATGCAGTCAAATGCCGTGTCAGATATGTCAGTCAGAGTAACCATGCCCCCCACAAGGAATGACAATTCATATTAAACTATGTCACAACTAATACGTAGCCTAAGTGATGCATAAACCAAAGAGGACATAGGTATGGACACAGGACATATTTGGTAGGTCGCCCACTTGCAACTCTAGAAAGCTTAGAGAAGCTGGCACAAAAAGACTATAATAATACAGAGTCCTTATAACTTCACATTTACACACCTATTTGATGATTTTATATATTAAACACTTTTCATTAGTTTTCCATTGTAAAACTAATAATATAACAAAACAGTGCTACATGAGAAAGAAAGAAAAAGAAAAAGCGGACTAAATTATGCTGCCAGGATTAAAAGTTTGCAGCAATAAGAAACAAACTAACAAATCAACAAACTGATAACTGCTATTCACACATAGGCATTGGAATTCCAGAAAGAGAAAACAGGAAATAGTCATTATAAATCAATAATCAAGCCAACTCCACTAGATCAATAAAAACATCACCAGATTTTGCAATGATTACATGAAGATTGAGAAGGTTATGGGAGTAACACTTAAAAAGAGTAAAAGTAAGAAAGTAAGAAGTGTTTAGAAGCACAAAAAACTAAAACATAAAAACATCATTTACCTTCACAGTCCAGTTTTTATCAACTAAAAGATTAGGAGATTTCAAATCACGGTGAACAATGGTAGGTGTGCTGGTGTGTAGGCAATTCATGCCCCTCGCCTGCAAAATGGAAACAAATTTGAAATGTTTTATGTGGTTGTCACATCCTAAATAAAACAATTGCAGAAGCAATTAACTCCATACCACATCAAGAGCCATCTTAATTCTACGCTTCTCATCAATTTGAGATTGAGGACGATGAAGAATCTTATATAAGCTTCCTCTGGAAAAACAAATAACATTTGCACAATTTAGAACTTCAAAGATCATCCACGTGTGTCACATGAATAAACACACATGCCGGTAGTCATAGACTGCCAATTTCATATTGCATCTGTATTACTTTGCGTAAAGTTTAACTCATTAAGAAGATAAGATAACAATATGCAGGCAGAGACTCTAACCTTGGAAGAAACTCGGTAATGATAGAGAGATTGCGAGGGCGAGTAACAGCACCCATAAAAAGAACAACATTTGGATGACCCAGTCTGCGCATTATTCGCACCTTAAATTAAAGAGAATAATAAAAACCAGGATCAGTGATTTTGAACTTATTTTAACTGCCATAACCTTAACACGGATGTTTGTCTTAAGTTTGCATATGGCCAGATATTTAAAGGAAAAGAATGAATAAACTAAAACATCTGAAAACACATTTTACTATCATTTTGATTCAGAAATATAAACGCTTAAAAGTTGCTTACTTCTCTTTTGAACTCATCTAAAGCAGCACCTGAAAAATCCTGGTCTAGGAACTTCTTCACAGCAACCTCCTGTAGTTCAATAACCATTACCACCCACAAAATTAGCAACTACTCATTCTTTTAATTTGTAAACAACACTTAAATAGTTTGGTGCAAAACACCATTTAAAAATAAGTATATTTATAGGGATTCATATCACCTACAATTCTCTTTACTACAACTAGGTAATCGCAATGAAGAATTATGTATGGATCCACAACTTAAAAGCGTGGGCTCTACATAATTTTTTTATGGACCCTATACAATATTAAATTATTATTAGTTGATTGCACTACAGCATTTGTAGGTGATATAGTTCCATATTTATAGTTCAGTTAACAGAGCTAATATTTATCACAATAATGCCTTTGGCAAATAATTGTCTAGATAGCTCAAAATTAATTCCTTCAATACTAAATAAAGACAGCACAGAATGACATACAAGATGAAAACTGTGAAAACTGTGATAGACTGAAGTATAAAAAGAGTATAAACTAACCGTGCCATTCCAATCAGCATGGTAGACCTCTCCATAGGAACCTACTCACAAGAAAACAAGATTTAATAAGAAATAGAGAACTTCCAAAAAAAAAAAAAAGCAAAATTTCTTGTAAAGTCATGAGGAATAAGAAGAGTTCATGAATATAAAATAAGGGGAACAAATTCCAAAATAACAAACACAATATACAAGTATGACTAACTGGGACAACATTTATTTTATTTACAAAGAATGACCCTGCATAACTACAAAAATTGCCACATGTAATGAACTTCAATAAGTATATCATTACCTAGTCCAATTCTTTCACCAATATCCAGGTCTTCCCAAGGAATTTCACATTTACTTACATCTACATCATCAAATAGTTGATCAACCCTGACTTTGCCACAATCAACTGATGAGCTAGGACTTTCTGGACCCTTTAATTTGAGATTATTCCCCATATATCTCTCCTGGATGTACTCTCTACGATTGTGGAAACCAATCTCATTATCCTGCTCTTTAGGCAAATCCCCCATGTTATTTTGTAAATCATGTCCATTCCTGAGATTTTCTCCCTTAAATTTAGTGCTTGCATCCTCAGCCAGTGAGCTATTGAACTCATTGGTAGTGGATGCCAAAGATGAGCTAGTACCAGACACAATATTCCTGATTTTATTATCTCTATTCAACATATCAAAGTCACCAGGTGACTTAAAACCATGAGGATAGACCTTTTCAGGTTTGGTAGAGCTGGTGGAAGCTGATGACGACTGATTAAAATCATTAGGTTCACGATTGATTTGTGGAAAGAGGCCCTCCATATAAGTGTACTCCATCTTCCGAGGAACCTCATTATAAGCAGGCCGATTCTTCCATATCAATGGTACTGGGCGTCGCCCCACAACTACATTATTTTTATGTCTCTGAAACTCATCAACTTTGGTGGGAAGTTTGTTCTGCTGGGAAGTTTTGCCTGTCCTTTTTATCTGGAATGGATTAAGATCTGCAAAAAGATTTTTTGGGTCCTCTTGACGACTCTGACCAGATGACATTACATTGACATTTATCCTCAGGCCATCACCAACTACATTGGCACCACGACTCCCTTTATAGACTGAAGTTCCAATGGCAGTTAAGGGAAGATGGTCTAACTGATTAGGGGTCACTCTGTTAGATGATCCAGAAGAACTAACACCAGAATCACCACATGCACCTGATAATGAAGACAACAACTCTTCACTTGCAGAACTTGAACCCCAATCCAAGGGCAGACGACTATTGATCACAGGATGCTGACTACTACCTTCACCATTAAGTCGCTTTGCTCTTGAGTATACATCATCAGGCGACTGAAGAGTTGGGATATTGGCAATTATTGGATTGAATGGCTTAAAAGTTGTATCTTTTGCATTTAAAATGTCAGCAGGTATAAGTGTACCAGGAGCTGCCATTAGATCAACCAAAAACTCCCTGCAGGTGCAAAAACACAAGATTAGACCTAAATAGAAGCAAAGATTAAGTTAAGAAATATGCACAAGCAAAAACCTTTCATCCTCCAGCTTTATTATATTTACAGCATCATCCTCAACACCAGTGTAATGACTGCCTTTTACCAGTCTACAAGGTAACCTTATGCTATCTGCCAACACCTGAATTAAAAGGACATAAAAAAATAAATATAAACCTTGCAGATTGCCCTATTAACAAAATTACAAGTACTTGGAACAACCACTAAAAGAAATAAGTTATATCATCCGGTAGGATAATGATCGGTTCAGAGCTTATAGACAGGTAATTTCTGTTTCCAGAACTTAGTATTTAAATATTAGAACCTGAGGCATAGCCCCGGTTGGTTTGCCCACCCCTTTTAGAGGGTGGCAATCCTGCAGAGAGGGGGTTCTAATCGCAGCTGCTACAAAAATTCAAGGGATTATTCCTTCAAACACTGCTCAGATGCAAGCAGACTAACATAAGACTATTTTGAACTCAAGTTTTTATACTAGGCGTAGCTGGAATAACCATATTAAAACAGAGCCAAAAGTCACTTTCAAAGTTCAAAACTAACCTTGAAGAGTAATGCACGATGCCGGGACAGGCCTATATTTATGGATCCAACAGGCAAAACACTTGTATGAAGAGATGTTCTGAGCTCTGTGCTTCTTTCCATCCATCTGGCCAATATTATATTAGCATCTTTAACAGGTCCACCCATATGTCCTGTTACAAGTTCGGCAAGCCCTTGAACTAAAACACCAACATTGGTAGGAGGGCAATCTAATGCAATACAGTGCGCAATTTGCAACAACTCTTCTAGGGCTGGGTCAATTGTTCGATTGACAATTACAACTTCAAAGCCAGAATTCCCAAGATTTCTCTCAAGATCAGCAAGACATGGCATTTTTCCTAGGATTCCAGAATCAGTGGAGAGCCCGTATACATCATAAAAACCATCCACCACTCTTTCCTCATAATCAAGCACACTGTATTCCTGGGGAATCAAAACAACCTAGCCAGTCAATCCAAATCAAATAACTCGAGAAATAGCAAGACATGACAGGAACGGAAGACTCAGTCAGTCCAAACAGCAAACTGCTATATTCCATATGCTAGCATTGATCCCAAGCTAATTATAGAAGCAGTCAGAATTTTTTTGAATAAACAAATTTCATTGATCCAAAGATTGAAAGAAAGAACAAGACAACCTGTGTAAAGGCCAAAGCACCAAAAATCAACTAAAGCAAAAAAAACCATACAAAAAGGCCATGACTGAGAGCACATAGGAACAAACTATCAAAGACCATTCAAATTGATTCCCTTCAGCTTACAAAAGGCTTCTGTTAACATTATTATCCTTCAAAGTCTCCAAGCTACTGATTTAATACTTAAATCTGCAATTTTGACCATTACAAATTCTTAGGTGATAGCTGGTATTCAAGGTCCCCCCCCCCCCCCCCAATTTCACAAGAAACAAAACTCTAGAGCAACTCATCCTAAGCATCACCAATTCTAAACCCTAACACCAGCAAAAACAAATGCAAACCATGAAAACTCAAGCTCATTCACAATGATGCAACATGGTTCAATTTCCAGGTATTTCATTCTTCATTAGTGAATCAAACAAGTTCAAATTTTGATCAAAAGCAGATATGAAATATTTTATAAACTACCATAATTTTAGTAAAACATAATTACTTCAAGCTTTTGCCATTATAATTCACCATATGCAAGATTCAAACCATAACTAGCCCTAATCGATCAATCCTAAAACCAATCACTAGCACCAGCCAAACACTCCTAATTCAAGCTCATTTACATTAACTAGATTCACCAAAAGTCCAATTCAACCCTCAAAATAACAAAATAAAATAAGACAAATAAATCCTTCCTGCAGAATCAAAAGTTCCAAGACACTATCAAAACCCAAGTGATAGATGCTATTTCCAGCTTATCCACCATAAAAACTCCATGGTAATCTAGTACATCACTTTCACCACATTCAACATTTTAACTTGCCCTAATCACCATTAATCCAAACCCTAACCAAAAAACGAGCAAATAACCGCCAAATTGAAGCTTATTGACAACAATTCCCTCAAGCTCAATTTCCACATATTTCATTTTTCAATAATAAACCAACCAACTTACTAATCACATAAAAAACAAACAAAATAACAACAATTCCCTATTAACTACCATTATTACAGTAAAAGCACAATTAATTCAAGCTTTTCCACTAAAATTCAGTTACCCTAATCAAACAGTCCAAAAATTAATCACTAGAACCAACTTAAACACTCATAATTTAAGCTCATTCAGTCCAATTCAATTCACCAAAATTCCAATTGAACCATCAAAAATTGTTTAAAAAAATATATATACTTACCCAATACTGCCTGGCCAAAACCTCGGCTGCTACATCATCCTTATCCCTCCCTAACCCCAAATCCACTCGATGATGACTCCCTAAGCTCAGAAACGTCGCCGCTCGGATCTGATCCTTCTCCGGATCCTCCGAATTCGAAGCACTTATCGCTAAGGCTAACTGCACCTGAAACTCTTCCTCCGATAACATAAAATCGGACTCTCGATTCTTCGCGAACGCCGTTGATGATGGAGTACTCAACCCCATGCTCGACGATACCGGCACCGTCATCGCTGTCACAGGCGAAGATGACATCGTATTTGTAGAAGGAATCATCGGAGAGTTCCCGGACATCGTGCGTTGATGATCAGTGGCGCATGACGGAGATGGCGATGGCGATGGCGATGGTGACGGCGATGTGTCGTTTGTCGAAGTTCGATTAGGTTCGTGATTGCTTCCTATGTGTAGCTTCTTAAAAATGTGCTTCATTATTTTCTTTCTTTCTTCTTCACTTTCTCTCAGTTTCCCTCACTTTCTCGCATTTTCTCTCGCTTTCTTTTACCTTTTAATTATTTTCGTGGGTTCATTTTAAAGAAGGTCAACGGAAAGTGTTCGTCCTTAGGAAGGCGGGGCATGTCATTTAGCCTTGGCAGGTAATTAATACGGCTTGAATTTGAGAAATATCTACGAAACTGCCATTCCCAGTCCTTTCACGTGCTTTCGGTTGATGATGTCAAGTTAGGGAACCAATGGGAATAGGGCATGCTGGCTTTAGGCTTTGCATACGTGGATCTTTGTGTCCACGTCATTTGTGGGCTCCTTAGATTTTATAAGGCGGGAAATCAATATCAATATACCCTATAAAAAAGAATCCCTTGATAAATCTTTGCTTACCACGTGTTCTTTTTGTATTCTCTGAGTTTATGGGTAAAGGAGAGCAACGTGTCCTTACAAGGCATCGGGCGATGAGATTAAAAATAATAATATAAATTATAATAATTATGATTAAAAAAATATTGTAATTGTATTTGAAAATATAATTTAAATAAAATTTTATATTAAATAAATTTTATTAAAATTATCATTTAAATTTAATTAATGATGTAATAAATTTAATTATAATAAAATTCAAACAGACCCTTAATTTGGGTTAAAGTTAAACTTTTCTCTGACTTGTGTGTTTTTAATTTTGAGTCAAATGTTACTTTCATGGAATTGTTATTTCTTCGTGGAATTGTTATTTCCTCATATCTCAATGATAAGCTCCATTGTTAAGCATTTAATTATAGTTTTTATTTAATATTTTTAGTTGATATTACATTTATTTTTTTAACTATTTTAAAAATTTTTTATTTATTCACTCTAACTTTTAATTCAATTAAATATTATTTTAATAAAATACAAAAAATTAATGCAACAAACCAAACCTCGATTACTATTACTTTATAATACTAATAATAATAATGATATAAAAGATATTCCACAAATATATAAAAGTTAATATTTGATATAATATCATTGTAAAATTTTAATTATATAAATAGGTTAGTAAGTTGACATATTTTTTAAAAATTAATTTTTTTATTTCTTTAAATATGACATGTATCATCTTATTAATCTCATCGACATAATTAAAAATTTATTGTGATAATGCATCAAATACTAATTACATATATAAAAGGATTTAATCGTAAAATTTAAATCTCGCATATGATGGAGTGGAAATACTGTTATCATGTATTCAAATCAAACTTGAATTAATTAAATAAAGAGAAAATGAAATCCATTAAATCCTTAAGCCTCCACCACATTCTTTTACAACTTGCATAATTTGTTGAACTTAAATTGAAATAAATGTCTTAATAATAATAGTATGGGGTTAGGTTTGCACATTAAGACAATCAATTCTAAACTTTAAATGAGCTTAATTATTAGGTTGCTTATCTCAAATTTATGATACATGCTTAAGTTGATACCGTTATCTTTATCTCAAATCAAATGTTTTTCATTACATAAATTATGAATAACTTTGTTACAAGCATGTATAATTTCTTGAAGTAAAAAAGTTTATTCTTGATACATTAGATTAACTAGAAAAAATAAAAAAGTTTATATGTAGGGTCGAACAAAATTGGACCCAAGTGGCACCTCTAAACCTCTAATTGCCATGTCTAGGCCAACTTGATTCCATCGTCCCACCCATGCTCAGCTGTCTCACCTTGGTTCTTGATTCAACACTATTGTATGCATGTCACTGATGACAATCCAACCTTATTAAATATGTCGATATTAATAATGTAATCGAGTTAAATTGAGTTGATATAACAAAACATTCGAATTTAATTTAAAATTTGTTGTTTACAATTTAATTTGAACTTGATGAAAATTTAAATTTTAAACTCAAATTTGATTTAAGATTAAAGTCGAGTTACTCAAATCATTCAATTAGGTTAATTTATCAAATAAAAAAAATTTGATTATTATACTTAATTTTAAATTCGATTATTTATATTTGAGTTCAAATTATATATATAAATAAAATAATAGTTTTTTAATTAAAATAATAAAAATAATTATTAAAATATAAAAATTTAATTAAATTCGTAAACTATTTAAATCAAATATTAAAAAATTCAAACTTAACTTACTCTATAAATCAAACTATTAAAACTCAAATTTAACTTAATAATTATCAAATTAAATTAAAATTATATCTAATTGAGTCCAAATAAATTATTAGCGTTGATATATCATTTAGACCCAAACCAACATCTTAAACCGGCCCGATAAAAACCGATTTAGACCAAGTCCTCATCTTTATGACAAAACACCACTTGTCCTCATGGAATTTGGCTCTTTGCCATCTACGAGAACACTACACCAATTGTCCTTTGAAGCCAAACTGTCTCTCTATTTCCTAGCCACGTTTCACTCCCGTAACAAACGTGTCTGAGTCTTTGCATGTTTCATGCACGTATAAAATAAATTTCTTCCCCATTTCTTCAAATAATTCTGTAAGTAATTGTTGTAACCCTAAAAGCAATACAAAGAAAACGTAAAGAAAAATGAGTCAGCAACAACCTGAGAAGATACAAGATCCTATCAAATATGGAGATGTCTTCCCTGTGCAAGGTGAGCTTGCCGAGAAGCCTGTGGCGCCTCAGGATGCAGCCATGATGCAGGCGGCAGAGAACTCCATGCTTGGTCACACCCAGGAGGGCTACGCAGCTGCAGCTATGCAATCTGCTGCGACGCAGAATGAGAGTGCTGGATTTGTGGGTCACGAAGAAATCAATGCTGAAACCGGTCTTACCATTGAAGAGACAGAACTTCCTGGAAAACGAATAATCACAGAGTCCGTTGGTGATGAGGTAAAGCAGCCCTTGGATATATCATATATGTACGTGTCTCATTGACAATAACTCAGTATGGAAAAGGTAATTTTTTTATGTGCTTCTGAGCAGGTTGTCGGACAATATAGCCAGGCAGCTCCATTGTCCTCCGGGCTCTACTCAGCTTCTGAACAGGGAGGTAGCGGTGGTGGAATCACCATTGGAGAAGCACTTGAAGCCACCGCTCTTACAGCAGGAAAGAAGCCTGTGGAATGGAGTGATGCTGCAGCAATACAGGCAGCGGAAGTGAGAGCCACCGGTCGTACCTCCATAATGCCTGGTGGTGTTGCGGCTGCTGCTCAGTCAGCCGCCACCCTTAATGCCAGGGCAACTAGAGAAGAGGACAAGACCAAATTGGGTGATATCCTCGCGGTAAGTAGTACTGATTTTAAAGTCCTGAAAAGTGGTGAGACTTATGACTGGTGAAAATGCATAAGATGATGATTATTCCCTTGCAGAATGCAACGGCAAAGTTGCCTTCAGATAAGCCAGCAACGCGAAGAGATGCAGAAGGGGTAGCAGGTGCAGAGATGAGGAATGATCCTAACCTGACTACACATCCGGCCGGCGTGGCAGCTTCTGTGGCCGCAGCCGCTAGGCTCAACCAGAGTCACAAATGAAGTATAGCAGCGGCACCATGCCATATTTCTGGTGCTGCCCCAGATGCTACTGCTACATGTTATTACAAAAACTTCTAGTGGATTTGCTGTCATTGCTTTGAGCAGAATTGATGAATCTGCTATTACTATTCCATTAATCTTGTAATCACTTTCTTGAAATTTATGAATAAAATAACTAGGGGAAACTGGAAAGGGCAACAAGGCTGCTGCAAAATTAATTTGTATCTTTCGTAAAACTGAAATCAATTATGTTAGATAATGAAGCAAATCTTCACTCCTTTTCTCCATGTTCACCTTAATTTCTGTATGACTGTATGCTTAGATTATTTTCATTCTACTTCTCGAGCTTCCGGACTGAAAGCAATAATATTAACACTTCAAATCGCACATCCCACACTCAAAAGGTACAAAGTAAAGAGCAGGGAGCAGAGCTTATAAATAAAGGGCAGGTGGCATCGTTGAAACATACTTACCTGGACGGGGTCAATGGGTGATCAACAAGGCTTATGGCCTAGGAAAGCGGCTTCCACTGCACTTTGGAGGTGCGTTTGCCTAAGGTCTCCCCAAGTGGGAGAGCCTACGTCATAATTTGTGGCAGCGGGGGGCCTGCGTTCGCGCGGCCCCTATCAATATAGTTCAACGTCATTATCTGTTTATAGTAGTTTAATAGCCAAAGAATGGTTGAACTGATCGACGTGTCATCATACGTGTTAAAGTTGCACAAGTGAAATCGTGGGAACTTTTGGCAAAGCTACAAAGCCCTACTTCCATTGACAAAGCTGCTGCTACTGGCTGCTGCAAACTAATGATATATCACTGTGTTTAGTGACAATTCCAAGTTATACAAAACCGTACTTCCATTGACAAAACTGCTGCTGCAAACTCAGGATATATCGCTGAGTTTAATGACAATTTCAAGTGGAAATATTTGTAGTCTGCTCTCCGCAATGTGTTGTTCTGTTGTATCCTAATTATCTGCAACCATTTTAAATCAGTTGAATGAAACGAGAAGGGGGAATCAATTATAACCTCCTACGAGTTTGATAATTGAAATTCATCTCTTGATAGTATCCCACATCGGATATGTAAGACGCGGAGCACGAACGTGGTTAAATAAATAAGAGGCAGCTAGCTTCATTGGAACATACTTACCTGGACGGGGTCAATGGGCGATCAAAGAAGCTTATGGCCTAGGTAAACGGCTTCCATTGCACCTGGGAAGGGCGCTTGCCTAAGGTCTCCCCAAGTGGGAGAGCCTACGTCATAATTTGTGGTGGTGGGGCCTGCGTTCGCGCGGCCCCTTCCAATTAAAGTCAAAGTATTCTTGATGATGGGGCCGAATAGCGGTACCTGATGGCAACTTAGTATGATATGGTGATACGGGAACCTTTATCAAAGGGAGCTAATGTCGTTTCATAACAATCTAGAAAAGGTCCATACTACCGGTAATCAACTTGAATATATCATGTAAATATTATGTCATCAACACATTTAAAAAAAGCCCATACATTAGTAAGAGTTTCGATCCATCAATTTTTTATTTTAAATTAGGTTTCGGAGCTTATTGGATCAATAATAGTAATTAAAAGTTGAGTTAGATTTTAGATAAATTCATTTTGATAAGATCCGATATATATTTAAAAAATTATTTCTTAAATTTTATATATATTTTTATAATTATTTAATTTTATATTTACATTAAAAAATAATATTTTATTAATTTCAAATTGAATTGAGTTTTGAACAACAACTACTAATTCATCAGCTAATATATTCCCGAAAAGTCGAAAACTAAGTGATAGGGGTTTTGTGAAATCTTCTAAAATGTTAATGGGTAAAAGAATTGGAGTTGGTTGAATGTATTTACTGAAATACCCTAATCCTTTTTTGGAAAGACCCGCATAGAAATATGCTACTGACGTGAGTAAAGCTAAAGCAACAGTAGTATTTATATCATTCGTGGGTGCGGCTAACTCTCCATGAGGTAATTGTATGATTTTCCAAGGTAAAAGAGCACCCGACCAGTTAGAAACAAAAATAAATAGAAGAGTAAAAACTAATTTTAACTCGATTCGTTATCATCTCTACGTACAGATGATGAAATATTATATCATGAAAAAAATAAAATAAAATAAATTCATTTTATTTGTTTCATGATATGATATTATCTTTCTAAAATGAGATGCCTAAACACTAAAATCTAGATTTGATAATTTAAAATATGATATAATAATATGATAAGATTAAAGGTAATGTAATTTAAAATTTTAGCAAAATTGTTATGGATTTAACAAAATAAAAAAAAAATTTATATTTTCATATCGACACGACTTATAACAAAAAAATTTCTTATAAGCACGATACAAATACATGAATTTTAATATTTTATATTATACAAATATACGAATCATCAAATCAACTTAAATAAAAAAAAAGATTTATGGATATATTGAGTCAATTTCTAAACTCATTTATCTTAAAAGCAATATGAAATGTTTTAAATTGAAAACTTAATTTAATTAATTTATGTAATTATTTTTAAGATAAAATTTAATAGGTCCAATAATTTGAAGTTTAAACATTTATAACCTTTTTTCTATTTTCAAATTATCACTTTTTTTATAAAAAAAGAAAGTGACTGATTTTCAATTTGAGTTTTTTGAATAATTTTTAAATTAAATTTGTCAATATTTTTTATTATTAATCATATAATATTAAAAAGTTTTATATTTTTTTTAACACAAACAAATTCATTATATTACAACATTAACAAAAGAAAAAGATGAACAGAGAAAACGTGATGTGAACATGAGATTGCCTACTTTATTACGTGGCAGAATATAAATGGCTAGACAACTCCGCTTTTTAAGGATGACGTGGCAGGTCCTTGTATGCATTATATGTATACAAGACGTTGACAATCCGCCACGTCACGGTCAAACTTCTGGTATTCATATGCTTACAAATAATTTATTCTTTTAAGATAATAATTTAGTTTTGTCTTTAATTTATTTTCATGAAGTGACATCGATTTTGAAATTATTAAAAATAATAGTAATAATAAAATTAGTATTAAAATTAGGAAAATGACAATAAGATTTAGAACAGAAAATAAAAATTAAATTAAATTTGTATATATAATAAAATTTATAGTATATATTTGCTATTTATGAAACTAATAGATATTAAAATTTACTAAAATTGTTTTTATATATCAAATAATAATTTTTTAAATAAAGATTTATAAATAATTAAATTTTATTATTTAATACTAATTATTCTACACAAAGCAAATAATATTTCAATTTTTCAAAGGTTAACATATAAATTAATTAATAAATTATATCACTTTTCATGATTTGATACATATAAACAAAATTTAATGATTTGATAAATATAGAAAAAAATTCACTTTAACTTTGCTTTCTTATACACTTTGTACTATTGATTAACAATTTTAAGTAAAATGATGATAATATATATTAACCAATAAATATCATATTTCATAATTTTATTACCAATAAGTGATTGGTTTAATTGATTAGATTCGTCCTCTTCGACGAATAGGTATTGGGCTCGAGTATTGTCGATGGTCATTTGTTAGGGTCATATATAATGCATGATCTGTAGCTATTTATCTTAAGCTGTCATATATGATACATCTTGTTCTGATCTTAGATATTGAACAACCTATCTACTTTTATATTTTTTCGACCTCCATATTTCGTAATTTTATTCGCTTATTTCTTGTCATATCAACATATTATTAATGGATTTGCCATGACAAAATGAAAGTCAAATAAAAGTTATCATAAATTTTTTTTAAAATATTAAATCGTCAAAAGTGATATAATTCCTTACAAAATTACATATTAAGCATTTCCATTAAAAAGGTTTTTTTTTTTTGCATGATCCTATAATTATAATTTAAATTATTAAATATTATGCAAATTCTATTATTTAAATAAAATGTGAAAAATAAAAAATTTATTGTTATTATAAAATAAAGAGAAAATAATCAATGATCAAAATTTCAAGATTTTGAATGTAAAAAATTAAATTCAAACATTTTTATGAAAGGGAGAGAATAGTATTTTATGCATTGAAAATTTTAGAAAAAATTATAGTTTAATCTATGCTTTGAGTGTAAATGATTTTTTTATAAAGTAAAAAATAAAAATTTGATTTAAATTAGGAAAAAAATATCATTTTGTTTTAATTGGATATTGGAATGTCAAAATCTTCCTTGGTTGGATTTCTATCTATTACTTTTTCTTTTGGATATGAAAGTTTTAGTAAAAGAAAAAATTTCAAGTTTTGAGTACAAATGATTTATTTATTTATTTTTTTAATGATGTAGAAATGGAAATTTGATTGGTAGGTTTTCAAATTATAAAAGTGAATCCCATTTTTGTTAAGGTAGAATAGATTCCATTTATAATTTTTTTTGCATTTAATAGGGAATGTCAAGCTAGATATTGAGCTTCCATCTATTACTTTTTAATATTTTCATTACACTATTATGTAAAATCATTAACAAAAAATATAAATATATAAATTATTATTTCAATGTATCATTATTTAATAATATTAAAATCGATTTCAAAATTAAAAGTTTCAAATCTTAATCTCAATCATAGATTTATAAAATTTATAAAATGGATGAGATAACTTAGAATAAAAATTTATAAATTTGTTATTATATGAATCTAATTTGATGTAAAATCTAATTTTTTTGATAATTTTTTTTGAAAATTTAAGTCTTGCTATATATAAAATAAATTATAGTATGTGAATATCATATATTTATTTTATTTTTTAAATATATTTAGTGTATTGTAAATGATTTCAAATTAAAATTTTAACAATAATATGTTAAATTTTATGACATTAATTTAACTTAAAATCAATTATTATACTTAATTTAACACATGCCTTGGTTATAAAAATGACAAAAAATCAGGGTAGGATGAGTTTTTATTCGTCTTAACTTTGATCGACTTAATAATATTATATTTTTTATACTCAATTTGTATATGTATAAAATTATAATTGATTCAATTTGATCAAAAATTAATTTAATAATTTTAATGTAGTGCAATATTTATAACATAAATTATATCTTAATTTTTTATAAATATAATATTTTTATTAAGCTAATATCTTATTTTAAAGCATTAAATAATAATTTTATTAGTATAATATATAAAATTAAAATTAAATAAATAATAAAAATATATTATATATATTAAATCGGGTCGAGACGAATTTGTCTATATTCCTACTCTTATCAAATCTCGATTATAAAAAAAAAAATTTAATTGGCTCAATTCAAAAATTAATTTTAAAATATACAAACCTTGCAAAATCAGATAAATTGAAACTTGATGAATTCGTACAAATTTTCTATCCTTGAATATCAGTGCAAAATTAATAAGTTTATTCAATCTATTGTATCATATAAAGACTAATGAGCAAAGGCAAAAAAAAAAAATCAAGTTTAATTTTAAAATGAATATTTAATTTAAAATTAATTGATAATAAATAAATATATATAATATAATTAGTGAACTACACCGTATTAATATTCTAATAAAATTTAATATTTACTTCTCAAATAAAACTATTCTTTAATCTTGCCCATTTTGAACTTCTGATCCCTCCTCTTTATTTGTTTAATGAATTTTCTTATTTTAAAAAAAAAAAAGAGGGAAAGCACCTCTTGGATTTTGAGTAAAGAGTGACGGCAAATTGAAAAGGATTCAAGGCAATTTTTAAAAAATATATGTAATTAATTTTTTTGTTGTATTTTAGGCCATCATCAAATCAATCACTATCAGCTATCACTTTCAACCAAAAAAAAAGATTTGATGACTCCTATCCAATTTTTGTAGCATATAGACATGGCAAGATATTGTTTTGTTTCTCAAATTAAAACATTATTATAGCATTTCATAGGGTTTGTACATATTTTAAAATTAATGTTAATGAGGGTTTAACCTAATGGTAAAATGAGGTTCTATAATTTTATAATTTTAAGTTTAAGTTTAATTGTTTATGGGGTTTGATTATTTAGTAATTTTTTAATTTTTTAATTAATTATTTAATGATTATAATATAATTATAATTATAATTGCAACTTTAAAAAATTGATATATCCAATTGGTTAATGAAAAATGCCATTTATAGAATCCCATAGGGATCTTTTTCATATATAGGTATAAATTAAAAACTAATAATAATAATAATAAATTTTATTATTATTGCTATTTATGAAATTTATTTATAGTTTCAATTATTGAATACTATTATGAAGTGGAGAATCAAAGCAAGATTTAGGTTTGGTAGCTTTGGATTTCTAATTGTCTAAAAAAATTATTAAAATTATTTTTTAGGAATGGGATTCAACTTTTCATCTAAAGCACAAATTCATATTGTTTGCTTCACATTTTAAAGTAAAAAGTATTGCTTTAATTTGCAATAACTTCTTTTGTTTTTTTATAAATGAAATAATTTTTTATTAAAAAAATGCTTTAGTATCACAAAATTAATTTGAGAAGATAAAAATTAAATTATAATTTGAAAATGTTCATATATATATTTTTATTGAACTTTGTTGAAAGATTGGAAAGGTCCCAAAAAATAATTGGAATTAAAAAAAAAACTTAAAAGCTTATCTTAATAATTTTATTTATTTTTTAAGTATTAATTAAATTCCACATGCATATACATAAAAGTATATTTTAATTATATGTATAATGATAATAAAAATAAAAAAATAAAACATAGGCACTTGGCTTGAAATTATTATTTTTTCTTTTTTGTCTCTTAAATAAATAATATTATCAATCTTTGTTTTTTTTTTTTTTTCCAATCCAAAACAGAGGGAAAAAAACAAGGATTCGCTGGAATAAATAATAATCGTAATATTATATATTTTTTAAAATTTTTTTGGAGGTTTCTTTTATATTGTAAACTAAATAATAATTGAAACAATAATGTTGGACAATGCTAAAATGTAGGTTTGTAGCATTTACAATTATCAAATAATATAATTATATTTAGTATTTAATTTTTAATAACATATAAAATAGTTTTTAATACAAATTTAATATTTAATATTTCAACATTTAATTTTTAATTTATCAAATAATATATTATTATATTTAGTATTTAATTTTCAATAACATAGAACATAGTTTTTGTAATACAAATTTAATATTTAATGTTTCAATACTTAATTTTTTAATTTATCAAATAATATCTTACTTTGGCCAAATTAGAAGTCCCTTGAAAGTTTGAAAAGGCACCAAAACGAATTTTTGATCAATTTTAGGTCCGATAATAGGGATTAAGGTGAAATTCTATGATGAATCAACATTAAATTTTAATTTCTTTATATCTTTATTTTTGATGATTTTTAACATAAAGTAATAAAAAAATGCAATTTTTGTTTTCATTAATAAAATATTTCATGAAATATTTTAATTTTATTATTTTTATCCAAAATCAATGAAATTAAAAAATATATATTTTAGCAAAATTGTTCCAATTAACGAAATATTTTGAGACATTTTAATCCATTATTTTTTTATCCAAAATTCAATGAAATTAATATGATTCATGTATAGCATGAAAAAATTAAATCGAATAGAAAAATATTTGTTTAATTGTAGTAATTTCTTTGAGTTTCCTGAAAGAACAGAGCCTGAAAATGCAAAAAAAAAAAAAAAGGCACACTCTGAACCAAAGGTTGGGATAAATATAAACTTTCTAAATCAGGATTGTTAATATCGTATCTACAATGTTTTGGTTCTTTTAAAGAAATGATATACATCAATATTAATTGTTTTAATATATTATTTTAAAATTTTTGATTTAATACAAATATATTTATAAAAATATATAGATTTGTACATAATAATACTTAATAATATGTACAATAAATATATAATATCTTTAAAAATTAAATAAATAAATTTACAAATATAAAACATAATATAATCAATTTATCATTATATTTTTAAACAATTAATCTAATTATATGATATTTAAATAAATATTTTTTTCATTTAAAAATACATTAAGATACAAAAATTAATTAATTTTAACTTTCAAAATTCTTAAACTTTATAAAAAAAATACAATTACTTTCTTAAAAGAGATTGAAATACTTATAAATTTTAATCTGAAAAAATAAAAAAAACAATTTGCAGTAAAAAAATATAAAGATTATCTTATTCATTAGCTTTATTTTTATTAAGTTAAAAATAATCTAATAATGAAAAATAAATTAAAAATTACAAAATATATTTTTCATTCATGTACCGATCGAAATAAACTATTTCCTCATGATATCAAATCTGCCATGAAAATTTACCCTTTTAAGTATACTATATTTTGACATAACTAGAACATACTGACCAGTAGGATCAGTACTAAAATGAAATTAATAACAATGCTCCAGATATTAGGAGATTTGATTCCTGAAATGCCCTTAATCATTCACACTATGCAATTAGAAACACTCCCCCGAAGTAGAGTTGAATACAATGGTAGTTCAAGGAAATATAAAAGCAACATTTGAGTTGTAAAAAATGCAAGCCTATCAAAGGCAAATCATGGCAAACAATAATGTTCTATGGTAAATATTTCAAAAATCTCCACAGGATTAACACTCAAAATAAGACAATCAGGTAATACAACTAAACATCATATAATACCAAAATTGCAGTTTCCAAAAAAAAAAGGTTCAAGAACACCTAAACACTTTAGTTAAGACTAGAAAAGAAACACTGTTGAAAACCATTGGCTCTAAGATAAGCATAACCTCACTTCATCTTTCCTCCCCTTTTTGCTTACTTCTTCTTTGCTGCATCACCAGCCTTGGTCTATTGAACAAGAAAAATAGTCAGAAAATCGGTCTCATCAGTCATCAAGTATTTAAAAAATGAACGCAGTTCAAGTATGCTATCATAGAAAAACAATTAATCTTTACCTTCTTTATTCCGCGGATCTTCTTAGCCCTGTTCTTCCTTTCCTTCATTTGCTTCCTTGATTTCTCTACCTTGGTGTCAAGTCCATTCTGAAACAGCAACACCAATAATTAGCGTCTAGCATCATATCTGGAGTCCTCCAAAGAGACACCAATAAAAATGCAACTCATATCAAATATGCGTAATTGGGAACCAAAAAAAGGGAAATGCAAGAGAGGTCAGAAGGTTAAGTAAAATTCTCCGTTTGGTAGGAAGGAAAGAGAAAGGAAAGGAAAGAAAATGTTAAATGTTTTAATCTAATGGTTGAGCTATAACATAACAACTGTTATCATGTAGCTCAACTATTACATTAAAACTTCTTCTTTCCTCATTCCTTTCTTTCCTTCCTACCAAACAGAGTGTTAGAATTATTAATTAAAACATATTTTACATATCAAGCAAATTAAATTGGCAGAAAGTTAAAAACTGTATCAATGCCTTGCATGCTACCTCAAGTTTTCTTCCTAAATAGAGAGTTGTCAAGCACAAATAACAACAAAAACTTTACTTCCAAATCCAACTTTTTAGTTTTTAAGAGCTAAGTTGATTCCATGCTCTATAGTTTCACCGTCAGAAGGAGTTGTTTAAGTAAAAAGAAGGACCTGACAGTGATTAAGCATGAAAAGGGAATTCCACAAATAAACCAAGTAAGCCAAATAAACTTCAATGTCTTACTAATGAAACAATAACACCATACCAAGCAAAGGCATAGGAAATTACCCTGATCAGCCTGTACTTGGGCTCGTACTTCTTTGCATTCTCAACAGAATCATAAATCAAACCAAATCCAGTAGATTTACCACCTCCAAAATGAGTCCTGAACTTGAACACAAAGATTGAATTTGGATCCTTCACCTCATACATTCTAGAAAGCTTCTCCTTCAGCTCAGCCTAAAAATCCCACATCAACAATTAAAAAAACTTTTAACACAACCAATCCATACTTACTAGCAGCTAAAACACTACAATATAATTGGGAAACACTAAAGATTTACCTTGGAAACATTGGGCCTCCCAGGATGCAAAACATCAATGATCTACAAAAATACCAAGTGCATGACAAGTTTCAGTAGCCAAAAAATCAAAGAACTCAAACAAATATAAGCTCATATATGATTTCTAAAGCCAAAAAGCCTCTGATTCTCCAACAACAAATTAAGAAAAAGTCATAAATTATGCATCTTATCAGCAAACTAACATAAAAAAACAAAACCTTTTTCGCTTTATTTCTTATATTTGCATTCTTTAATCAGATCTAAAACAGCAACTAAACCCTACCCAAAAAGCTAATAGGAAAAAATAAATCAAAGATCAAGAGAAAAACCTTAAAACTAAAATCTAACACTGACCCATGTTTGATTACAAAGAAAATGAATGGAAAGTGAGCTAGAGAAGACAAAGGGAACTTACAAATTGTTTCCTCGCAAGAAGCCTGTTGGTCATGAACTTCCTGGTCCTAATAGTCACTGCCTTGTCCGCCATGGCTAAGAAAAGATCGTCCCTTTTTTTAGCAGTTAACAGCGGAATCACTGTGGGCTTTGAAACAACAGCAGCAGCTCAAAGAAAGAAAGTGTAAAGTGGGGAAAACCCTAGCTTTTATAGCATTAGGGTTTCAACGAGGCGGCAGAAGAATTGATTAGGATTTGTTTTGATTTGGGCTTGACTGGTTTTTTAGTTTGGGCTGAAAATTTTGGCATTTGACATTTTGAGCCTGCTATATAAAGCATGATATCCTAGTTTTCGACTGGTACAGAATTTTTTTTTATTATTTATGGTAAAAGACTAATAAATTTTTTCTTCTTTTCAAAATTCCTATAAAAAATATATTTTAGTAATCACATCATCAATATTTTGATTATCACATTATTAACATTCACACATAATTTTAATATAGATAATTGCCTATCTAATTAATCACATGATTATTCATAAGATATAAAAGAACGAATTAATGCAGGCATGCAATATTCACATAAATTTTTTTTGCTTCTTTTTTGTATATTGATTTAAACGTTAAAATGTACTCAAAATATTATTTTTAACACCTTTAATTTTATTTTTTTTTGACAAAACTGATACATTCCTCAATAGAGGTATAATCGATCGTATTCGAGTCGATATAATATTAAATTCGATGTTGAGCTCAGGCTCGACTAAAAATTTGAAGTTTAAATTTCGGTTCGAATTCAATCGAGTTTTATTTTTTTAACTTGAGCTCGATTCGAAATAAAAATCGAATTATTTGAACTTGTTTAATTAGGTTCGATTAACATGTAAAAATAAACTTGATTCTTATATTCGATAAAAACTAAATTATTTGTGCTTGAGTTTGAGTTCGATATATTTTATTAATTAAATAATTAAAATATTTTAAAATATAAAAGTTCGATTAAGCTCATGAATAACTTAAGTCAAACATAAAAATATTCAAATTTGGCTCAATCGATAAATTGAGTACTGAAAATCAAACTTAATTCAATAATAATGGAATTGAATTCAAATTTTATTCAAATCGAATCTAAATAACTTATTAATATTGATGTATCATTTATATCTTTACTTTTCAACTCAATTTTCAACAAACTCCACTCTCATTGGACTAGAAATCCAGTAAGCTCCATTCTCATTAGATCAAAAATTACATAAAAAATATGATGCGTAAAGCTATAAATTAATTGTATTTCTTTTCTTTTTGCTTTTAAAAAATATACTTTTTTATCTATTTTTTTATAATTTTATAAAAGCTATGTAAATGTAATAACAAACATCTATAACCAATTTTTTAGTACCTTTGTTTATTAGTTCATCTTGGAAGAAGATAGTCATGATCCTCTCTCTTGTAATAAAAGTTCCTATAGTTTTGAAATTAAGAGGAAAATTTTACCTTTTTAATTACCTTATTAATATAAAAAAATTAACAACTAAAACAAAAAATAATTCCGAAATTATCAAAGAATGCTTTTATTTATTTATTTGTAAAGAAAAACAATGCTTTTATTAATTAGGTAACCGAATGTGTAACTATAGCAATAAACGCGGGGCTTTGGCCTTTTTCCTCTTGTTTCCCACGTATTTTTCCCTAGGAAAATCAAGAAGGAAAATCCGATCCAAAGCCCTAGTTCTACCTCACCAAGCTACAACCTTTCCTAATCTTAAATATTATTACTCTCTGCATGTTCATATAACCCAAATTATTCTAGATCTATATGATAACTGTTGGTGTCAAACTTCAACCTGAAAGTATTTTTGAAAAGATAAAAGAAAAGATCATCAAATGCCCATAACAGTAACTATTATTTTTTATTTTCTTATAACTTCCTCTGATTACATAAACGATAAATATGTTGAACAGGCATATTCCAGCCATAACCACCAAGTCTCAGCCAGTTGAGGTGGGTTGGATATTACTATACAAATGAACTGTTATACAAGACTTGACTCATCAGGAGCACTTGAAGTTTCCATCTGTTCCTGATATCCAATCGCAGCAAGCTTCTTCCGCAGCGCCACCAAATCCTCCCCGGCATCACCTATGTAGGCTGATGCTTGCCTGCCGGACAAAGTTGCTCCTTCCGTACTATCTATATAATCCTGTACACAGTAACACCATGGAAACTTTATACCATTACCATTTTTTTGTTTTTGTTACAAAAGGTTTAAATCACTGTCAACTACTATCTTGGAGTTCAGACAACGCTATCAAGGGATCTTAAGTTTAATGTAACCTCTCACACCCAGACCAGGTATTTTCTGTTTCACAGGAATGAGCTGATGCTCGATCTTTTATCAATCAATCATGTATCTATGTGCTTCAATCATGGTTGATTGATATGGAGGCCCATATATTTTTTCTAGGAGGCTACGTTTATTGATATACAGTCTTTGGGATACTTATTGACTTCTTTCTATACTTATTTCATTCAACTAGAAGAAACAGTTTGTCTTCCTAGCAATGCAGGAATCTCAGACACTCAGCTACCCCTTTCTCATTCTTGGGTGGAGAGAAAGGATGTAGTCAGGGTTGGATAACCAAGCATTTCTAAGATGGAAAAGAAAGGTAAGTAGAAGTTACCAGCTTTGTGTAAGATCCAGCAAGAAAGAAGTTCTTTATGGGTGTCTTCTGATCAGGTCTGAATGGATCTTTACCAGGTCCTTCACGGTATAGAGATTGCCCGATTTTGACAACAGATGACCAAGTAACTTCTAAACCTCGGGATGATGGGAATAGAGCCAAAACGTGACGACAAAACAGGAACAATAAAGATGTGATGATCATGAGAGTGAAAATTCAATAAACTTGATGTAAACACCAAAGAAGGTATGAAAGGTAAACAATGGGGGTCTCTAGATCACAAGTATCCAGTGTTTCTATAGTAACAACTGCCACATTGGTAAGTGGTTCTGGTCCTCTTCTGCCATTAAACCTGGACAAGGTCCACCAACAAGCCAAACTGATGAAGTCCCTGACCATACTTGTCAATAAATCAAACACTATACTATCACTAGACCAGCTGTATTGAAGTAAATATGTAACTAAAAGAGCTTTTATGACTAATGTCTTTTCTCAACTCTTTCATGTCTCCAATCACGTTGACGTAGCTTCTCTCAGATATTATGGTGGACTTGGTCACCACTTATCAAATGTTAGAAATAGAAGCTTGTGCACTTGTGAATGAATTTAAGTATTCAACCAAAAGCATGTTATAGCAACAAGTGGAGCCAAATAGATGGGGACATTATACTATGTCAAACATGATCCGTTTCGGACAAAGACAGAACTATGCATTTTGACCTCTTGAAAGTTACAATCAACTCAAGAATAAGGGTTTCTTTAGAAGCTGCCAACCAGCTTTGCTACTCTTTTTATGATTTCATTGTTTGGCAATGGCATGTAAGGGTCACCTGGTGTCAAGACATATCTGAAAGACAACAGCCAGAGAAGAAATACAAAAAATTGGGTCAATAGATCAATAGAGGATCGTATAAAGTATCACAGTTTATCGGAATACACAACCTTAGTTGGGGTTGAGAAAAACATAGTGTTCAATTCAGATAATTTTTTTTTATTCGGTTTAGATTAAGGTTGAATATTGAATACATACTAAGTTCAAATCAAATTTCGGATTGAGATATGAAAAATAGAAAAAAAAAATCGAACTGAATTATATATTTTTATTAGTTTTTATATATATTTTAAATTTTTATAAAATAAAATAATTATTTTATGTATAAATCTATTTAAATATATTAAAATTCTATTAAAATAATATATAAAAAATAAAAAAATAAAATTTAAAAATCGATGAATCAAACGAAATCAATAAAATTCAATTATAATCAGATTGATTTAAAAAAAAAATCGATTCAAATTTAGATCGAATTTTAAAAATTTATAATACTGTACATTATCAAAAAAATCAAACCGAATTTGATCCGAGCCATTATCACTCCTAACCCTAGTGTTTTCAGGCCGTTAAAATTTTCGCCAAACCCAAATCCAACAATCAACTTGGCATAAATATTTGAGTTATAAGGCTAAGAAAATGTATGTTCTTACTGGAGCAATGAACCTTGTCCCTCAATGTAGTCATCTTCAGGAGAAGTAAGGGCTAGGTCTGCAAAGCAGGAGAAATCCGCATCCGGCGTATACAGAAGATTATCAAGGCCTATAGCTAGCCTCAATTGCCTTTTAAAGGGTTCAGGACATATGAGGAAATGAAACACAACAAAGCAATTTGTTAATTCTTAAGAGGCAAAGCAGGAGGAGGCTTTTATTAGGCTGTTAAAAAGAATCCCACTTTGTATGCAGCCATAGTACAGATGAAAGAATCAACTTGACTGCTCCAGATCCTGTAACTCAGTGACCCAGCCATTGTATCTAAGTTGCACAGTCACAGCTGGTACTCCTACGAGCTGGTAAATGTTATTAAAAAACTGTGATTCCCTCCACTGGAATGGAAGTATCCTCTTTATTCCAGGGACACCACATGCTGCCGTCAATGGAGAAATGTAAGAATCATCTTCCGTAAAATGAAAATTTTGAAGTGGAAAATCCAGCTACAGACCAGCAACGTAAGCATCAGCTTTTACAAGTTTCTTGTTAGTAGCCTGCAATAAAATGGAATTTAAAAATTAAGCCCTGAAATGCAAAACATGAACTCAAAATCTTAACATATTTAAGCAATTCAGATTGCATTTTAAATTGTTGCATCTCATGCAAGTGATTTGAACACACTAATGGTTACACAGACTCAATGTCACCAGTCGAAACTAAACCTCCAGGTTCATGCAGTTCTAGGATCTGAACAAGTATTCATTTGACATCTCAAATCAACTTAACTTAGGATCTGAACAAGTATTCATTCAACGTCTCAAATCAACTTAACGAAACTCTTATACTTAAGATCAATTATCAATTTTAATACTCAATATGCAATCCCATATCAGCCTAATTATTATAATTCATTATTCGTTTTGATTTAGATTTTATTCTACGAAAAATATATTACAAAAAAAAAACGGTGTGAACTCTTATATCTCAATATCAACTTTAATACTCAACTGATATAGGATTTTTAACTTCACCTGAGGACAGTTCATTCGACATCTCAAATCAACTTAACTTAGGATCTGAACAAGTATTCATTCGACGTCTCAAATCAACTTAACTTAGGATCTGAACAAGTATTCATTCGACGTTTCAAATCAACTTAACCAAACTCTTATACTTAAGATCAATTATCAATTTTAATACTCAATATGCAATCCCATATCAGCCTAATTATTATAATTCATTATTCGTTTTGATTTAGATTTTATTCTACGAAAAATATATTACAAAAAAAAAACGGTGTGAACTCTTATATCTCAATATCAACTTTAATACTCAACTGATATGGGATTTTTAACTTCACCTGAGGACAGTGTGACACTCGACCTGTGACACTGTTTTGATCAAAAGCATAAATTGCAACTAAATATCCAACATCTACAGAAAGCAACATAAGAGGTGATTTACTCTAGACATGGCAAGCCCTGTGACATATGTCTCTCCATCGGCGGATTTATCGTAAAGTACCTCTCTGCATCCCCACCTCATATGGAACCTGTTCTAGAAAATAAAGACATTAAACAAGAGAACTAGTCAATTCATTAAAGCAAAAAACCTATAAAGTAGTGAATCATTACTCCAATCAAATAGTTTGTAGGCCAATATTGGTAACATACCTGACTGCTCTTTCTGTTATATAGTTTCTGATGGGGCCACTCAAGTCAACATCCGGAGAACCCTTCAGCATACGCAGAAGGGAAGCGTCGGTCTTAGTGGCAAACAGTGAGAAAATAGTGAGCATACAACGAGCACTGATGTTATCACAGTCAATGAAACCTAAGGCATAAGCAACCGGATCCCACATTCTCTGGATACTCATGCGTGCACCACCTTTAGACAAAAACCAATCGGAGAAGCTTCTCTGCAAGAAGTAAATGGATCTTTGGTAATTGGGAAATGTATAGGGAAAAAGTAAAAGAAAATACCAAGAACGAGTAGTTAACTGGAAAAGGAGAAGAAGAAAACATAATTGATGAGTAACAAAGGCAAGAGAAATGGAGGGAAGCCTTAGCGCAATCAGTAAGTTGCTGCCGTGTGACCCGGTGATCATGGGTTCAAGTCATAGAAACAGCCTCTTGCAAAAATGCAAGGAGTGACCGTCCACAATAGACCCTTCCTTGGACCCTGTGTATAGCAGGAGCTTTACTGTCACGGATACAAGGAAGAATCATGAATCTTACATCGAACATAATAGGAGAGTCAATGAGGTATAAAAGTGTTCACACTATCTCTTTCTTATAAGACGACTTCTGTAAGACAAAACTGTGAGGGTCAATGAGGTATAAAAGTGTTCACACCATCTCTTTCTTATGAGACGACTTTTGTAAGACAAAACCGTGAGGTCAGAGAATTAGAGTGGATAATACCTCACAAGGGTGTGAACCGTGACGGTCAGACTAATTCGGGATGCCGGAAAGATGAATGTCCGGATTTCAGAGCCGCGCGGGTTCGAAGCTTAAGTCTCGACCCATGACATACGCACTAGGCTACCCTTTTCTTTTCTTTAACAAAAGCAAGAGAAATATGATGATGGAACAAAGTAAAGAGCAATAGCAAACAAAACCTTGTCAGAAAACACCTGTTCTTTTTCTTTTCTTCTTTTTTGGTTATATTCTAGGATAGTTTCATTTCCACTAGCTTTTATTTTTCTGATATATTGATACAAAGGGGCTTGATATGTTCTTGAAATGCTTCATTGTTTTGATGCCATTTGGGGTAGATGGGATTCCACCAGAATGGACCATAGGACATGAACATCCTCATCTGGGCAGGACTTCACATCCTCATATAAAATGTATATCCCTCTACCTGAAAATCACAAGGAAAAAAAAAAAGAGACAGCAATGAAGAATTTAACTACTATGGAGCCATGAAAATCTTTAAAATGGCAGTTGGCAATTCTAAATACAATCTTCATTCATGAAATATTGCGTGTGAATGTATGTGCACGCGCGTGTGTGTATGTATGATATGTCATGCTGCAAAACATGGCAGAAAAATGGAAAAATAAACTAAAATAATACTACAGCTTCTTCTTGGAGCTGAGCGAATCCCAAACCACAGCTTCTTCAATGGCAAGAGGAGGGATTGCAGCCACCCCATTTGGGAAAATGGAGTACTTCTTCATGGTAGGTGAAAGAAATGAAGCATATAGAGGTGGGAAAATCCAGAGAGAGAGAGAATGTTGCTTTATTTAAACAATGGTGAATTATAGATTACAATATCTAGCACCATATTCCATCTTTTTTGCAGGCTAAAGATACAAAAAGGAAAGCTAAAATTTATTGTTTGGTGCTCTGTCTTTTCATCCATCTTCACCTTGTAGCATGAGGAACCCTTCTCAGACAAATTACAAGACTCTCATTGTGATCTTCAATCTTTCTCTCTCAGATTCCCTACCTTCTACCTGAAGTCATAGTTTATCCTAACCTAAGTGTACGCTCTTGTCGGTAACATTGAAGTTGCCATCCTTTTTCTCTAGTGATCCATCTCTGAGTATGGAGGGCAGCCATGAATGCTAGTTCAGGGTCATGTCTCTGAGGGTCAGTTGAACAAGCGACTCATAAATGTTGTCAAGTCCGATGAGCCAGTGACTCAAATACATTCAGTCATATTTTGGAGCAAGAATCAATCCCAGGTTGGACAATCCAGCAAGTCAAATGTTTTCAATCTGCTTTTTGAGTATGCAAGTTACCAGAAGAGTAACAGTTTCCCAGTAATAATCAGGTCAAAACTTGGTTTGTATTTGACTGTGACAACATCTTTTTTTGCCATTGGAATTTGGAGGTTTAGGTTCAAAGAGGGGTTTGATTGAGGTTATAGGCCACCTGACAACTTGACAGAACCTTCTTCAACTGTCCAGGCATCTGGCATGTTTTTATTTATGCTATATAAGAGCAGTTTGGAAACTTCTTCTGGATAACATTAGTTTTCATGTAGCTGAATTGCATTTCAAGGTGAAATTGGAATTGTCATTTTTGAAGTGGGGAGAGAGAAAAAATATCAATCAACATATACAAGAGCTTCTTATATTTAAATTACAGTATCGACTTGTTCTTCACAAAATTGCTTCCAATATTCTCTCCGTAAATTGTCAGCAATTTTTTCCTTGCTTGCTCCCTAGGAAGCTTGGGAATTAGGATTGAACAACAACATTATATTCAAAATTGCACCAGATGATAAAAATTGCATCATTTGATGCTTCCTCTGTCCTGAAATGCCACAGACCAAACATGTAGGGATGGTCGGTTGAGTATTAGATCATATGACTGCACAGATAAGAACCAAGATAAATATAAGAGCAGCTGATCCAAGTACCGCACCGAAGATCCAGAAAACCTTCCAAAGCAAACTCAGTGAAGTAGAAGAACCACATTGTTTCATCTGCAATGTTGACGAAGTTAACAAACAATTGGAACTTATTTTCTAAACCAGTCTGCTCAAAAAAGCATTGCATACCTGTACTTGGCTTTGCGTTGTTCCATCATTAGACTGCATGGAAAAAGCAGCAAAAAGGGCCTTTAAGAATTCAGAAACTTAGGGGAAGAACAATGTTTCAAGAACAATATCCTACATAAATACTAAAACATACAATAAGAGGTTTGACAAGCTCCTCCGGGTCCTCGGTGGATGATAATGTTTTTGTTTCATCTGCATCAGTAGACGAGAAACTTAATCAAAGTTGCAAACCTAACATTTTGGCATAAAAGATGCAAATCAAAATTGTAATATTTTTATCCTTACTTCTAGATTATAGAGTTCTACCTTGCTTATGGTCATTGACAGTTGTGTTTGTTGCTTTGGTGTTTCCAGGAGTCAAGTATCCTGGCCTACAAAGAAGAAAATTGCATATGATCAGTTCATGCCACACAGCAATTACATCCAAGTAGACAAGATCGATGGACAGGTTGTAGTCCTTGGAAGAAAATTAAGGCTCAAACTGTCTCTTTTTACATAGTACTTTTCTTGACCAGTCCCATTCCCATACATATAACAGGAGATTATCAATGGCCAAGGCAAAGTCCACAATGAATCAAGTGAGATATGAGAACAACAATACCTGCTTGAAGTTGGTACTGCATACAGGCTAAGAGCTAATGTTTTTGTTCTCATCTGCATATCTGACAGCATTTTCCATCGATAATCCAGATCTTCTTTAGTTCTGCAAATGGACTGCAGCAACAGGTTACTTATGCAAGTATAAGTAAATGAAGGGCTTAAAGAAGTAGAAGCATCCATTTGAGAACATTCAAGCTTCTGCTATGAAGAGCCAATTAACCAAAACAAACAGAAACAAACAATCCCAATTCTTTTCCTATGTACCAATCAATGATCATATTGAATACTATGCCAATCCATTCATAGATTTCAAATCTTTCTTCAAAAACTTTCAGGAGACAAGCACAATTCAAATAAATTCAAAATCATATCAAATTAAGCAGGAGGAAATTAAACTGATCACCAAAAAAAGAAGCTTTCAGAGAGGGAGATATGAAACATACAATACGGGTTTGGAAGGAGGATTTCTAAGAAGTGATTCAAGACGATCGAGTTTGATCCCAGCTTCCAAAAGCTTGGAACGAGCAGCACTGTCTAAAAGCCTGTTTTCTTGGTGTTTTAGTGTTGGGTTCATGTTGTTTACTCTAGTTTCTATGTCTTCCATCAACTTTGATGCTTCTTGAGCTTCTCTCATCCATGCATCTCCCATTAAAGCTTGCTTGTACATCTTTGCAAGAAAACAAAGCCACTTCTCTCTGCTGTCTTTTAACTCTCTTCCCCTCAAAAGAACAAGAAAATAACAAAAAAAAAAAAATAACGGTTCTAAATTTCTCTCTTTTTCTCAGAGTTCGGCTCTTAGAGCAACAAGAACAGCCGGTTACATGAAGCTCTATCTGGTCTCCCTATCTTTATGTAAGAAATGACTCAAAGATGAAGAAACTGAGCCCATGGTATTGTGCCGCATCAGAGTAAAAAATATTTGGAAACTGTTTATTGAATTAATTGTCTTCCAGCTAAGTTTTTGTGTGAAATAAAAATTTTGCAGTTACTATTAGAATGGCAAATAATTGAGTTTCTGATTGTGGTTGAACAGCTAAGATCATCTGCAATAGGAAAGTTTTGTCCATGAAAATTATGTGGTCTAGATTTCTTTTTTATTTTCCTTCATGTTGCTCATTATTTTTATAAAATAAGGTAAGATAACTATTAGGGGCAGTTCCTGAAAAGGACATGACAATGGTGTCTTTTTGTGTTTTCGATCAAAGGACAATGTTGGCTTTGTTTCATCTATGACAAGGATTTGTCAGCTTCAATATAAGATTGTTCAAAGCAATAATCAATAATGGGAAATAAAGGAGAAATAAAATCATTTGAGTGAATAAAAATAATCGAATTGCTTTTAGTTCTTCCCTTCAAAATGATTTTTTTAATTAATTTAATTTATTTATATAATTATTTTTAAGCATTCGTATTTAATAAATTTAAAATTTAAATATTATTATTTATAATATTTTTTTATTTTTATATCTCATTTAAAAAAGAAGATGACGAAACTAAAATTTATGTTTATGTAAGGTTGATAATTTAATTCATATTTTTCAAGTTTTGATCCTATCTAATCTTATTGAATCGTTTTTTTTATCGAGTTTCAAATCGAATCAAATATTATTAAAAAAAATTAAGATCATATTTTATGCAAACTCTTTTTGCTTTAACTTGATATATATAATTTTTATTATTTATTTAATTATATATATTTATATATTTATTTAATTTTATATTTATATTTAAAAAAAATATTTTATATTTAAAATATATTTTATAAACTTTGAATTTGATTAATTATAAATTTAAATATATACAAATCAGATCAAATTTAAATATAATAAATAATATTTTAACATTATATCGAATTCAAATATTAAAATTACAAAAATTCGATGAGTTCAGGACAGGCAAAATTTATCTTTATCCTAATTTGTTACCATTCCTATGTTATATGTCTTAATCAAAAACTCTTAACCACTAAACTAAGAGGTGGAATGCTAGTCAATTGATTCTATAAAATATGGGAATGGATAATGGGATTCTTTGAGGCCTTTAAAAAGGCCTAGCTTACACATAAATGAAGAAAGACTATGCAAATTTGGGCCAAGTTTGGTCCAATTGAACAGCCCAATTAAGCCCAAGATGGAATTTTATGCACATATTTTCTGATCCTGAAATGTCAAAATTTTGGGATTGAAAAGGAAAAAAAAAACAAAGAAAAAGCTGGTAAAGAGTTTGGAATTATAATGATAATCTGAGTGTTTAGAATGATGATGTCAAATTCTCGTCACCACAAAACATATATATATATATATATATATATTGCTTGTCTATAAAGATAGCCAAAAAATACTAATAAGAGAATTTGAATTATAACATTATGTTTGTTAATCAAAATAATTAAATTATACAATGGATAATTAGTTTACCCTAATAAAAAAAATCTAATTGTACAAAAGCCTTGAAAATTGTGTGTTTGATTTTATATAATTGAATTCAAAATATCTTTTCTTGATATCGAGACAATGTCACAGCGATAAGTAGATTTAATAATTTTAAATATAATACGATGATACAATATGAAAATGATATGAAAAAATCGTATATATATTTTAAAAAAACATATTTTGTATTTATTCGTGTTTATACGAATTTCGATATGATATAATTTTTATCTTATATGTATTAACACGTCTAACATGATATGACACGAATAACACATTTAATTTAATCTTGTCAGAGCATATATTTAATATAATTTTTATATTTATTTTAATTTAATATAAACATATAAAGACTATTTTAATTTTTAATTATTTATTTATGATACTTAATTAGCTATTTAATATCATATAAAAATTATGTTAAACATTTAATTATGATACCCATTTAATAATTAATAAAAATTTGTTTTTTTATATTAATAATATAAATACAATATAAATATAAATATTAATCCTATATATTATTATATTATTTTTGAATTTTTAATAGTTTATAATGTTGAATTTGATATTAAAAATTAATATAATTATGTAATATATATTAAAATTTAAATATATATATTAAATACATATTAAATAGGTATTAAATTTTGTTATTTTTTTTAATATATAAGTATTTTTATATTGTTAATATGTCAAATTTATTAAGTTGTAAATGATGAATAATTTATAGTTATTTATTATGTTAGTCATATTTTTTTTATATATTTATATTAATCGTATTTATTTGTATATATCTATGTTTGTCATATCTATTTATATATATTCATATTATTCATATTTATTGGTGTCTTATTTAAATAAATTAATTATAAACGTATTAATTGTGTCGTATTCGTATAATATGTATAATAAATTTATCATATTCATATTTATAATTAAACACATTTTATAATTTATATAATTATATATATCAAATATAATATAAAATATGATATAAAAATATAAATTATCAAGTCTAGTGATGAGTTTGTTATTTTATTTTTTTCGTTGTTAAACGATAAGAATAGGGATAATTTGGTATGTTTAAGCAAATAGGTAGAAATTAATGAACCAAATTTGACTTAGAAATGGTACAAAAAAGAAAAAGCTGTGAAAACTCATGGTACAGGAGTGAGTATGAAATGCAGGATAGCGACTTGTGAAGGAATGAATGCAAACAAAAAGATTAAAGATCCAAGGAGGAATGATAAATCGATATGGTCGATGTCATGAAAAAAGGTAGATTTAGAAACTTAAAATACAATATGAAAAAATAACATAAATATAATATAATTTAAAATTTTAATAATTATATATATGAATATAATAAAATTAAAAATTTATATTAATAAAAATTATAATATAAAATTTTTACATAAAATATAATATAAATACACAAAATTTAATATTTTAATTTCAATAATCGCCAAATATAAAAATAAATAAATAAATAAATAAAAAGTCCACAAAGCTGCTTATCTTCTTTGCATCTTTTTCTATTCCTTTTGTTCCGCATTGATTTCTTTGCTGTTCATCTTTCATTATGTCCTCTCCCTATCAATCTTTTTTCTCCATCATTAGTTCATTACCTCAAAAAATGATTTTTTTTAATATTTTTTTAGACTACGATTAAAGTTTAAATTCAAAATTTTCAACTCTGAATCCGATTTTGATATCACTAAACTAATAATTCATTGGATTTTACTTAAACATGTTTAAGGGTCAGGAGTTTGAGTTAATTAATATCTTAAATTTCAAACAAATGGGCCTTATTTTAACCCTAGTTTCTTCTTTTTAATAAATTTAATGTCTCGGGTTCAAATTGAATAAGAAAATCCTTAATCAAAATCCATAAATTTGATAATTTAAAATATAATATAATGATACGATACGAAAATAATATAAATAAATGATATAAAAATAATATAATTTAAAATTTTAATAAAAATTATAAAAAAGTTTAACAAAATTAAAAATATATATTTCATATTTTTGTATTGACATTAATAGTTATATATAATTTTTGTATAAAACACAATAAAAAATACATAAATTATTAATATTTTACACTATACGAATATATAAATTGTAAACCTATAAAAAATCATTAAAATTAGTTAGTAAAAATAAAACTAAAAAAATAAGGAGAAGACAACCTTAATCCTCAAGTTTTATCAGTATCTTCTTTAGCCATATTATAATACTTTAGTACTAAAATCATGTTAATCACGGATTAAAGACAAAATTAAAGATAAACTTATGATTAAGAGGCACGTACACGCAATGTATTTGATGTACCATTGATTTAATAATGTACATTATTGTTAGAAAATTTTTGACCCGATGATTGCGGCTTTGTTGGTCCAATTATTAATCATGGAAAATGTTAAATAAACTAAGATCTATATAAATAAAGAAAAGATACATATAAATATTTGGTTTGGGTTTGTCATGGATTCCCATGCTTGATAAAATTATTGACCATATGATTAACCAAGTGATGAAGCTTGCCTATGTTTTCATATAAACATTTTTCATGCTCTTGCTTAACAAAAATATTTTAGCCATTATATTTATACTTTCCAATACCTAATTTCAGTGCAATGTATTTTGATTTTATTATCGAAAATATATTTTTAAATATGGGAATTGTAATCTTATATTAAAATTTTCAGCATAAATTTACTATCATAAAAGTTTTAAAAATAAAATGTTATACTTATGGATACCAATAAGAAAAAATCACATATGTTGAGGAGTTTTTAGATTGGTAGTATATTTGTAGGTAAGTTAGAGAAAATGGCTAGCTCTATTTGTCATAGAAAAAAGAATAGTAAAAATTAAGAGTGTTCATAATTTGATTTTAATCGAATTAACTGATTGAATTGATTTTATTCGATTAATCAATTGATCATTGAATTAATTTTGATCGATTAACGAAAATGATTTTAAACAAATTTTTATTTTTGATTAATTCCTTTCAAAAATCGAAATAATTCTTAATATAACAAAATTTAAATATAAAATTAATCATTTTATTTCATAAGTTGTTAAACTTTTTGACATAATATTTTGGTATTTAAATATTTTAGTGGATAATTTTATTTTATTTGTTTTAAATATGAGAAATTAAAAATTAAAAATATAATATAATGTATTTATTATTTAATTAATTGAATTAATAAATTTGATTAGATTAATAAAAAAATATTTTAAGTAATTCGATTTTAAATCATTCAATTAAAAACTAATTGAACTGACCAAATAAAAACTCTTAATCCAAATGACACTAAAATTAAGATTTTAAGATACACTTCCACACTCAAATAAAAAAAAAACCACAAGTTTTACTTTGTCTTTAATTAACTTTAGAAAAAGAGTGGCTTAACAAAATCATATGATTAAAACTTACATATCCCAAAATTTATAGCGAGATTATTTATAAATTTAAAATTAAAATTTAAAACCCAAAAATTATAACTTATAGCGAGATTATTTATAATTTAAAACCAAATAAAATAAAAATAAAATTTAATATATATAAATAAACAATAGCCAAAAAAATGGTAGTGGAATAAAAAAAGAGAAGTCATATCATCTATATTTAATTAAAAAAAAAAAAGAGCAAAACGGACTTTTTGAAGGCCCAATAAGGAGGAAGCGAAGAAAAAGTTGACCCCGTTTGGGCTGTAACGCATGCCAACTAATCACGGACAACAGCACGTGAATCCCACGTCTTTATTCTCAATAAAGTTAGAATTTAAATGTTTTAATTCTAAACAAAAATCTTAACCACCCCTTCCTTTTCTCACACGCCATTATTGGGCGTGGGCCACACTTCCTATTTTAGTCATTAAAAAATAGACAAAAAGGTAAAAAAAAAACTACTTACCTAAAATTTAATAATCAGTCAATTTTTTAATTAATTAAATATTCAAACATTTATTTTCATTAATTAAATTTTGATTAAAAGATAAATAATTAATTATTTTTGTCCAATCGATAATTTAATTAAATAAAAATAAAATATAAAAATTCAATTGATTTAAAATAAAAATTTTAAAATTTAATTAATTATAATAAAATATCATATTTTAAGTAATTATTAAATTTTTATTTAAAGAGTTTTTTGACCCTTACCCTTAAAAAATATCTCCATCTCGTTTTCAATTTGATATGACCCTAAACATCAATAATAATAATAATAATAAAGAATTGTGACAAGAAAAGGAAAAAAAGCAAAAAAAAAAAAATTAATACACTATAGAAACTCCACCAACATAATTAAAATTTTTTTAAATATTATTTAAGTTATATTTTAAAAATAAAAAAATTAATATAATTTGACATGTATATAATAATAATTCATAAAAAAAACCCCATATTTTTTCTTATAAATAATTCTCCTCTAAATAGAATGAAATTGAGAAGCAAAAATAAAGCAAAAATTTTTTTTTTCTTGGCTAAAATTTTTAGAGGCTTTCTTTAGCTAGGAACCCTTTGGAATCCAAATACAATCTAATTTGCCAAATGTGTTAAAGAAAAGTAAAAGTGAAGTTAGTTGAGTTAATAAAAATTAAATATTTTATTTTTATTATTAATATTTTTTATGAATAATTTAAAATTTTAATATAAATTTTTATTGAGATTTAAGGTATATTATATCCTCACCTATATTTTTGTTGAAAAAAAAGTGTTAAAAAAGTTATATTAAATTTCTTATTTGCAATTATGTTGATATTTCAATCAAATGTCACACTATTTCAATTTTCATGTATATTTTATTGCTTTGAGTTATTAATTTTATTTATTTTATAAAATAATTATCATGTTATACTTGTACCTTTTTTTATAATAATGTAAAATTATATTTTTTTAAGTATACACTAAAAAGTATATATCATTTTGTTAATCTATTTATAAAATTAAAAATTTCATTATTAGTATATTTAATAAATTTTTATTAAAAATATTTAATTATTGATAAATCTAAATTTTTTATAAAAAATGTTGAGAACAAAGGTATATTTTTATTTTTATTTAAATATTTAAAATTATCATAATTTAAAATTTAATCATTAAAATTAAAAATTTAAGGCATTTTTAACTGTAAAAAAAAAAAAAAGCATAAGCATTGTAACCATCAATCATGAAACTACCTGCATAACATGCAAAGCAATTATTCATGCTAAAGTATCAAAACCCAAATTTTATTTCAACCAAAAAGGCATATTTTATTTACTTATATAGAAAATCGTGCTTGCAATTTTCATGTTTCCTTGGACCCCATTTGATGAAACACATTCTTTCTCTTTTTTTTTCCTCAAAATATATTTATATTCTGCACAATCCATGAAACTTGAAAAAGGCCTAAGTCAAGCTCCCTTCAAATTTTTTGCTTAAAATTTGGCTTCACTGTATCACATGTGAGCATGTCAGCTACAGAAAAGTTATAAGGGAAAAAGAAAGAGAGATTCTTTTTTTTACTTTTTTTTTTGAATTTTTTGGCTTTACTTTCTTTTCTCAGTGAAGGGTAATAGTCAAAAACCAGCCTTTTTCAGCAGTACCCAGTTTCTAAAATCCTTCACATTTTCCTTTTCTTCAGAAAAAAAAAGGGAATTTTTTTTCAAGCTGTCATTGTCTGAAGGTAAAATTTTATTTCTTAAGAAAAAAATTTTGTAATTTATATTTTTATCATTGATAACGATAGCAGAGGAATTTACAGCGACAGAACTCTGCTATGTGTCTGTTTCTCTCCTTGTTGAAGGTTTTTTTTTTTTTTTTTTACTTGAAGTTGACCCCCACATTCTCTCAATTTGTCTTTAAATCTTGAAGCTTTAAACTTTTTTCATTGATGGGTGTTTTGAGTTTCTTGCAGGAAAAAATTGCACCACCCCAGATCAAAATCAAGCCTTGACAAGCAGTTTTTGTGGCAGTTTTGAGACAGCTTTGTAACTGATCAGTTTAAGGTATGGCTCTATCTCTCACTTGTGTACTCTTTGTTTCTGTTACTTTCGTCTCCTTTGTTTTGTCCTTCAAATTCTGAGTCAGTTTTGATTGTGTAGTTTAAGGTTGCAAAAAGTGGGTAGAAGAGACTTTGTGGAAAGAGTTAAAGGGAAAAAGGAATTGAATTTTAAGGAATTGCAGTTAATTTGGTAGAAAAATGAGAGATTTTCCATCTTGTTTTGGTGAAAATGGAGTGCAAGTGGCTGATTCTTCATCATCAAATGCTAGTAAAAATGCACAGAATTTAGTTACTTGTGTTTATCAATGTCGAATTCGCGGTAGGTCTTGCTTAATAACTGTTACTTGGAGCAAGAATTTGATGGGCCAATGCTTAAGCGTAGGAATTGATGATTCTGCAAATCATTGTCTTTGTAAGGTTGATATAAAGCCCTGGTTGTTCTCTAAGAGAAAAGGGTCTAAGAGTTTAGAAGCATATTCTTGTAAAATAGACATATATTGGGACCTTTCTTTGGCTAAATTTGGATCTGGACCTGAACCTTTGGAGGGGTTTTATGTTGGTGTTGTTGCTAATAAGCAAATGGTTTTGCTTCTCGGGGACATGAGGAAAGAAGCTTATAAGAAGACTGGTGCAACTCCTATTCCTTCCACCGCGGTTTTTGTGGCCAAGAAGGAGCATGTTTTTGGCAAGAGGGTATTTGGTACCAAGGCACAGTTTTGTGATAATGGTCAAGTTCATGATCTGATAATTGAATGTGACACGATTGGTGTGACCGATCCTTGCCTTATAATTCGCGTGGATGGAAAGACTTTGATGCAAGTGAAGCGGCTACGGTGGAAGTTCAGAGGAAACTATAGCATTTTGGTTGATGGAATGACTGTAGAAATTTACTGGGATGTCCATAATTGGCTCTTTGGAACATCACTTGGAAATGCTGTTTTTATGTTCAAGACATTCCTCCCAGCAGAAGAGAAGTTGTGGGTTAGCCAACCCATTCCTAATCCAAGCACGTTGCAATGGTCTTTCTCGCAGAGATTTCATGATTCCAAGTCAGAAAATCTTGGCTTTTCACTGATTTTGTATGCTTGGAAGAATGAGTAGACATATTGTGAAATTATTCTAAAATCTCAAGTGCTAACAAAAGCTTTTAGTGAGTTGTGATTTTTTCCCCCTTGAGTTACTTGAGCTATTAATGGATCAAAGACAATTTTTTCGTTCTTAGTCAGCTGTATATCGTTGATACATTAGTTTAATTCTCAATTTTTGTTATACCAAAAAAAAAACAATCTTCAATGGATAGTTGTTCAAATCTTCTTCCAGCTGCAGTGTGAGTTGGTTTAGCAGATGACAAGTTATCAACTAGCTGAGTTGAAATCTCCCATTACCTTGTAAGTATGGTACGTGTTTAACTGCAAGTATGCCTTTCTTCTTTTAAGTTCACCCTGCTAAAGTGACATGAATTGGATTCGTTCGTTTTCATTTCTTTCTTGCATTGAGTTGATTGGAATAACAAATGAAATATTTGAGGTCAACCGTCAAATTTCACGATGACTATGTCTGTATGGTGATGTAGGATTTAAAATTATGGTGAAGAGGATGCTGTTGTTCAAAATAAGTTCCCTAGCTTTAGCGTCTGATCACCTAATGTCCTAGGCTGTGAGAAGAGTTTAGTTTCATGACTTTGCTTTTGCAGAAATATTAGATTGGGGTGTATTCAACAATCAAAGGAGGTAAATCACTTCCGAGATGGACTGAAACACCCTCGATAGCTGCAACACTTTCTAGATAGATTGCAGGCTAGGAAAAATCAGATGTGAATTTCACACCATGAAGGCTTTAAACTGTTGAACTCGTTCCAGCAGTAGCAGAGTAGGCACCCTCCTTGGCATCTAGACCTTTTAATGTTCCATTGAATTTCTCAGTTGATCTTCATTTTCTGTTGTCATATAACTGCATGACTAATTTATATGCATACATCTAGGAACTCAAGGTGATCTGTTCATATTTCTCCATCACCATCACCGTCACCGTCACCGTATTCAAATGTTTGATTGTTTTCAACTTTTTATCTCCTGCCTAGGGTTGGTAATTCAACCTGAATCCGTCAGATTTCAACCTGACCTTATAGGATCTTTTTTTTTCTTTTATGAAAATCGGTTTGGATGAAAGAAGTAAGGGTTGAGGTGGGTTGGGGTTGGATTTAAAGCAAATCTGCCTTGCTTCGACCAGATATATATAAAATATATATTTATTAGTATTTATTTAATTATATATTTATATTTTAAAAATATATTTTATTAATTTTGGGTAGGTTGGTTACAGTTTTGTATATATATGGATTGGGTCAGATTTATATAAAAAAATAATATTTTAATATCAATTCGGGCCAAATATTAAGTACATAAACTCCGGTCAAGTTTAGAGGAAGCAAAAAATCTGACCCGATTGCCATTTCTACTTCTGCATGCCTTTCATGAAAGTTATTGTGAAAGTATAGCTCTGCATGAAAATCTCTCATAAAGACAAGTTCAACGGTTTTTCGGACTTGTCAATGATACGAGTGTTACCGAAGTCTTTGTGCCGATTGATGGATATTCTCACTGCGGCATACATTTGTAAACTGACGACAATTTGAGTTTTCCTTCTTACTAGTTTTGAATCTTACATCTTATAAATTACAAATCAATTGAAGTTGGTTAAGCAGTAAAAATTTTGTTTGTTTTTTTAGTTGACTCGTGTTCGAATTTATCAAGCTCGACGTAAATAAATTTATTTAAATTAATTAAAAAAATGTATTAGATAAGGTCTAAAATCCCTTTATTTTAAAAATATCGTTAAAAATAATAATTATAATAATAAAATTTTTTCTTTTTTTAAAATAATAGTAATTTTGTGTAATAAGTAATGAGTTGAAGGTCAACATCCAAGCCACGGATGATCTGAGTGGCGCTGGTACTGCCATAACTTTATATTCCCTCTCTGTCCACTGCGTTTTCTCCATGTGCAGTTTCGTCCTTTACGTCCCCGACAAATCATCTTTGGATGCCTCTCTTATCAAATTTACATTTTAATTAAATTGCTAAACTTTTTTTTATTTATTTTATAAAACCTCTTTAACTCTAGAATTTTGCAAATATATCATTAATTTTTTTTTATAAATTTGAGATTAATATTTTGTTTCTTTAAAATTTAACCTTTTTACCCTGTATTTTATCTAGTATATTATAATAATTATTCTATCTAAAAAGACCAAAATTTGGGGTAAAAAATAAAAAAATTTAAAATCGGTTTGAAGAAGATTTTTTTCGAATCAATTTTTTTTTTGGTTTAAATTAAGTTCAAATAAATGTTTATATTATGTTTGAATCAAATTTTAGTTCAAAAATTAAAAAAATTGAATTGAATTGAATTATATATATATTAATTTTTATAAAATAAAATAAATATTTATATTTAAATTTATTTAAATATAAAAAAATTTATATTAAAATAATATATAGAAAACAAAAAAATTTAAAAAATCGATATATCTAATTTATAAAATTCAATTGGATTAAAATTTAAAAATTTATCAATAAAACGAAAATTTATTAAAATGAATAAAAAATTTTGTCAAATTGTGAAGCCCAAATTGAATGACTAAAAGTTCTTTGTTCCATGCTATTTCTAGCTGGACATTTGGGAATGGGTTGGGCCGACCCAAAATTGATGAGGGTTTTTCTTTTATAAATTAAAGAAAAATGAAAAAAAAATGCTTTTGCTTTCCCGCCTTCCAGCTTGGCTTCCAAATAAAGAAAAGAAGCCTTTGCCTGTCTGTCGAGGCTCTGAGCTCTTAAGCTTTCAGCCTTGAAAGAGAGCAAAGAGAGATGAAGATATGGAGGCTTTGGTGAATATGGATATACCGGATGAAACCCAGATCACTTCAACTTCCTCTATTTCCAAATTTGAGGTCTTTCTTCTCCACAACTCTTGAACTTTCTTTTTTTTTTTTTTTTTTTAAATTAAGTTCTATGAATATGGGTTTTTGTTAGTTCTGTTTGGTTACTCAGAAATTTGGTTAATACCCTTTATTTTGTGGTTAAATTAACTCTTTTTGGGTTTTGGTCATTTGGTGTTTTAATACTTCTATGTTATGTAGGTTTTTGCCTGTGAAGATCTCTTATTTTAGGTTAATTTTGGATACTTTAGCTGAATTATTGACGGGATTTTGCCTTCATTACTGTTCATGCTGTTGGTCTAGGAGCAAGAACCTCAAATCACAAGGCCGGAGTTGTCTCCGGCGTTTGTGCTCCGACGCTCAAGTCAGCGAAATAAATGAAAAGGGGAAGAACTAAAAAATTAAAATGAGAGAGTTAAGAGAAAAATTAGCTCTCTTATCTAGAGGGATTGAGGGGATATTTATACCTGAGGGATCAGTGATTTGCCAGGTTGACATGAGTGAGGTTTGCTTAGGTTAATCTGCCATGTCAGCTTAGGTCAAATAACCAAAAAATCCAATTGTGAACCATTTTCTTATGATAAAAGATAATTATTACCTTATGAAAACAAAAGCCACCTAACAATGCCCTTTACTTTTGAGTTTTAGGATAGATTGATGCTATAACTTTATTGAAAAAAATAGCAAAAAATAATGAAGGGAAGGTGGAAATTTCCACTAATTTAACCAAACTTCATGCTGCAAAATGTTGGGATTCTCTACTGTTCTACAGTTTTCCAATCTCAACCATCTATAGTTTAGGCATCAACGTTGAACTTATGCAGAGCCATAGGGACTCTATACTCATGGTTTATTGACATACAAATAATTATAGGTGATGTGACCTTGAAAATGTTGAAGACTATGGTACTTTGTTTGTATCAGTGATATGAAAAGGATACTTTTTTTTTTCTAGTTTGGTTTATATTGCTTTATCTTGTGCGTGGTTGTTTGATTGCTTGTTTTCTAGTGCTACTTAATCCTTTGTTAGTTAAGACTTACGTGTTAGGTTTTAAAAGTTCTTTTTTTTTTTTTTCTCCCTTTTCAGGATTCGCTTGTCTTTAAGTACATTGACAGTCTTTCACCTATTGAGCTAGCCAAGTCCAGGCAGACAGATAATGTTTTCAATTCACTAGCTTTTTTGTCCCCTTCATCTTTGTTTCCTTCCCCGGAGATCAGTTGTCATAGGGAATCCAGGTTTCAGTGGTAAAACTAAAAGTGTCTTTATTGCTTTATTAAGTTCATATTTTAAGTGTTCTGCATAGTGTTCGTTTACTTTCTTTGTTGAGGCATCATTTATTGGCAGCTTCAAACTCTAGGGTTCTCCAGAGTGGAAGTGAATCAAATAGCAGTGAGGGAGCTTCAAAAGTTGTTGAGCAATCTGACTTGTATAATAAACATCTCGGATGTCTTAATAATGGCAGTTCTTCCAAAGGAATTAGCAGTGATCTACTTAATGAGCTATCAGATTTAGCAATCGAGTTGCCAAGGACCTTGAAATGTGATTGTGGGAGTCCTGATGGTAACTTGGACCCTTGTGATGAGAGACAAAAAAAACACAAGTGTGGAAGTGGCAGGACAAGTGAGATTTCCTTTCCAACACGATAGGGATGAAAAGGGAAGAGAGGCAACAGTCATTTGGAAATAAAAGAGACTTGCATAAAGTATGTCGAATTAAGCTGAGTGAAGAATCAGCAGGATGTGATTGGGTGGCAATTGTTTCTGGTGTTGACCATTAATTCATCTATCATTGATGAGAATACTGATGGGCAGGATTTGGGAACAGCAGACTCTAGGACAACCTCTGTTATATCAACTAACCTGCAGTTCCCACTAGATAATTCCAATAATTTAGAAAATGCAGAATCTGGTGATTCTAGTGGTTCTTGCAAACAAAGTGAATTGGGAGAGCCAGTAACAGATCAGTCATCTGGCATCCTGTCTACTTGTCTACTGGACAAACTAGTAGTTGGTGATTCAGGTTTGAAAAAGGATGATAAGGGGGACAGGTGCAACCAGTCCATCCGTCAGGTTAACTTAAAAAAACCATCCTTATGTAAATGCATTTTGATGAAGATTGAATGTTTAAGATAATATACAGTATAAAGTTACATATTATTGATTCTTTTTTGAGAATTTATTAAGGATTTTTTCTTTAAGAGTGTGGGTTCTGAAATGTTTACATGTTTGTCCTGCTCAGTGCATTGGCACTTTTCTCTACTTATAGTTTACATTATTCTCTCAACAGCGTAGCATACGACGACCCTGCCTGGTGTTTGAGAAGTCACCTGGTTTTAGTTTGCACTTGAATTCTCTTCCAAACACCTCAAAAGGTGGTATTTCTTAAGAGGCTCTAGTTCCTGAAAAGCAATTGATATGCAAGTTCGGCTCCTTGACATTTTCTAATTTTCTGACTACAGGTCAGAATCCTCTTAGTAAATCAAGTCTAAGCTCTATGAAGAAGAGGGGTGAGGTTCCTCAAGAAAACAGAGCTGTGGTTACAGAAAATTTTTCTGAGACACCTTCTGGTATTGGAGGCAATGAGGTTGACCATAAGAGTCTTGAAAAGAGGAGGCATGTGTAAGATTACTACTCTTGAAGTATTGCATTTTCAAACACCTTGATATACAAATTGATTTGAGTTTAATACTACACAGGCAAAAGTTTGAACTTCTCGAGGAGAGTGTGGCATGCAAGTGCTGTAACTGTAAGAGATCAAAATGCTTGAAGATGTAAGTCTGTCTTATTTATTTAAACCTATATTTAGGGTCAGTATGCATATTTTTCAATTGTTTCACCACGTCTATTTGGGTTAATTCCTCCGTTTGTGATACTCAAGACCATCAGGCCTTTAATTACTCAGAATTAAAGCTCAGGAGAACCCGCAGTTTGTAACTATACTTTCTACATCTAAGAGTATAAGATGTTCAGGCCCAACTTTATGGTGCCAAATATTTATGAAACTTGGTTCTTACAAACTCTAGCTGCATTAATATAGGCTACGCTGATGTTAAGGGTTGTCATTTTTTTGACTTTGTAATATCAAATTAAGCCGTTTCAATTTTGATATTGAAAGTTTTAAATGCTAGGAAATAATGCTTAAGCCAGCAAAAGGTGGCTCAATGATTAGAAGCCTATTAGAATGGAATGGGATTTTAATGATCATGTTTACCTTGTTTTCATCTACTTACTTATATATTTATGTTTGGACTTGTCTTAGTTCTCTGCTGCCTAGTTACTAATGCTACTCGTTGGAGTCACTGCTATCAATTGTCACCTGTTTCTTGCACTTGGCATTCACCTGCTTTTCTTATTGTTTACCTAGTTCTACTGGCTATCTTTTATGATACAGTTATTGTGACCACATTGCTGCTGGTCTGTACTGTATTGAGCCTTGTTCATGTCAAGATTGCTTCAATAAGCCAATTCATGAAAATGTGGTTCTAGAGACTCGTAGACAGATTGAATCTGGCAACCCACTAGCATTTGCTCCCAAAGTGATTAGAAGCACAGACAGTATTTTGGAATCTGGGGTTAGATTCTATTTCCACGATTGAGTTTCTGGATAGAGTAGCATCAAAATCATCAAAGTGCATAGTTCATCACCTGTTTTGGTGTTTGACCTTTTTGCAATATTTTAATAAGGCCAAAAAGAGAAAGGAGAGTTGAATCTTAGATGTTGACAATCCTTTGGAAGGTTAACAACCACTTGGCCGAGCTTGGGTTCTTAGCATGACCTCATTTGACATGGCTTAGCATTGTGATGCTTTGCCAACATAACTATGAGAAGAGAGGCCTTTGATGATGAATTTTCCAAATTTAAATTCTTTTGGCAATTCCACGTTAATCTCATCAAAATGGTGTTGCTTATGCAGGCTGAAACTAACAAAACTCCTGCTTCAGCCAGGCATAAAAGAGGATGCAATTGTTAAAAATCAAGTTGCTTAAAGAAATACTGCGAATGTTTTCAGGTTTGTTAGGTCAGCTCATTCTGCAAAGAATGTTTTCTTCACCAATCTGATATTGTTGTCTTCTGTGAATAAAGGCTGGTGTTGGAGGCTTCCCCAGCTGTAGATGTGAAGGTTGTAAAAATAGTTTTGGTCCGAAGGACAGTGAGTCTTTATCTATGGCTTTTTTTTTTTAATGTAAATACTAATGATTGGAGCTCATATTCATTTTTCCTCCCCTTTCAGTTGTAGTTCTTTTCAATTATCTTATTGTGGCTGTATGTCCAACATGGCAAGTGCATTCCACTTCTCTAGTATATTCTAATATAGCCTTTTTTATTGTTCCACTAGAAGGTAATGAATCTGAATCTGATGGGGAGGACTTAGAGGCCTCTGAAAGGAATGCATCAGAGAAAAGTTCAAGTGACATTGTAATTGATAACGGTGAAGAGTATCCAGATCCTTCTGTAACTTCCTCTGATATTTCCAGGTACTGTTTCACCTTTTCTTAGTTTAGTCAGGCTATTCTTATGCTATCTAAGATTTGTTCAAGTGGTTAAGGCTATACCATTTTACAGGCTGCCATTTGCTTACAGTGGGAAGTTCGCAGGATCTTTTCCTCATCCTTTAAGGTCATCTCCTCAGTTGTGCGCTACCCAAGAACTTATGTCAGCCCAAGTTTGATTCACATTTTTAGGCAATTCCAGAAGATGAAACTCCTGTGGTTCTGAAACATAAATGCTTACCTCTTGTTCTCAATCCAACCTCTCCAAACTGTAAGAAAGTTTCACCTCCACGTCGACGGTGCAGTTCATCCACTGCATGGAGTAGTAGGAAGTTGATACTGAGATAAGAGTTCTTCAGGAAAGTTATCATTTTTTTTCATGCTGCTGGTTTTCTCCAGCAATGAGATTTTGAGGCAATTACTTCCCGTATATAACAACGTGCTTCCACTGTATGTAGTGGGTACAACTAGCTCTTGAACTTTGAAATTTTGTATCTTCAGAATAGGCTCTGTTTATAAAGGTGGAATCGCTGTAATACTATATTCTTTTGTCCATAAATTGTAGCCGACAAGAATTCTAAAGATTTTGTTTGAGTTTATAATATTTACTATGGTATGTTGCTTAAATTTCATCCTGAAAATTTGATTAAAGCTACCGCAGAATTAAGCTAGCAAAACTTAATTGTAGTTTTGATTGTGGTATGAAAAGTTCTCCTGTTTAACAGGGGATGCTTGGTTGGATAATCAAACATTGAATGAAATGAAAATTTAGGTCAATTTGGATAAGTCCATTGCAATTAGACTTGGGAAATTTAAATACAATACGAAAAAAGATATGAAAAATAATTTATATGGATACGGCAAAAATAAAAAATATGTTTTACATGATTTTCATGAAATTCCACACAAAATAGCAAACCCTACACATTTTATTGCATCTAAGCCACTAAGCGATCCGGGCACGCTCATTTCTACATCCCTGATTCTGGGGCCGAGTCACTCTTGTAGTGGAGATGGCATCAGTGTTTTCCTCACTTGGCTGATTCAAGATTTTAGACTTGGACCTTGTACTTGGTCCAAACTTCTCCAATTCAACTTTCTTCTTGTCCTGTTTTCTTATAATTTTCTTGGTAAAGGGAAATCGGCTTCAAGCTTGCGAGGTTGAATACATTTGATCCATGCTTTCAGGGCGGCGATCTCTTTTATTATAGCCACAATTTGAGTTGGAACAGAGTCATCCTTTTGTTTGCATTCCCTGGCGGTTTTCTTTACATACCTCGAGTGATCCTGGAGAAGAGGTGGTAGTTAGAACTTGTCAGCCATGCTGAATTCTAAAGCACTAAGCTTTTCAATCAGGCTTTGGATTAAACTACAATCCTGCATTATTCTGGATTTTGATCTAGTGCAGGGTGTTTCAGGTTCATCTAAAGCTGTTGAAGAACGTTTATCCCTAGCTTATGATGAACCCATTTCTTCAAACTCTTCACTGAATCCATGCCCCTTGATAAGTTCTTTAAAATGTTTCTCTTTTGCCTGAAATTCCCTCTCATTTTTTTGAGTTTTGCTTCATGTTCAGACCTTTCTTGAGCCATCAAGAAAAGTTTCTTTTCTTGCAAGTTAAGTTTTCTCAACCCTTCCTCAAACCCTAGCTTAGCCTGCTCAAGTTCTTCCAAAAAACCATGTATCCTATCAATCTCTTTTTGACTTGTCCATGATCTTCTCATCAACTCCAATCCCTTCTCCTGAAAGTTCAAGCTCTTCACACCTTTGTTTAATTGTATCATTGCTTCAAACTCTACTTTGCTAATCTTATCATTCAGGTCTCTTACCTCAATTAGATTCAGAAATGAACAAAAGCTAAACAGAAAGAGATAGGGTTATGTACCAAAACGAAATGGAGAAAAGGAAACTGCAAGCAGATAATATGATTACCCAATATTATGCTGGAGGAAGGAAAATTTATCTCATAAAATTTCTGGTTTTTATGGCAGGATCCTGAATGATACATCAAGACCCCACATAGAGGACTAGAATGGAAAAAAGAGAAGGGGAAATCGCATGAACACCAATGCGTTAAAGACCGAAACATTTCTGAAAATTACCTTCAAACACTTTACAATTTTACAGTATGGGTAATAATGAAAGCCTTCGATCAATGCCATTGGTGTTACCTAAATTTTCAAACTTCTTAAAGCAGAAGTAAGCAGGCTGAGTTTGTCAGAAGCTCTCTGCTTGTAGTCTTTCTCCAAGGCTGTTGCTGCCAAAGATTGGAGCTCTGGACTCTCCTTGTCTTCCTTGTTTCTTCCTTTTGAAAGCTGTGCTATGGCAGAGGTACACTGAACAAGAGGATTAAACCTTATATCAGAAACTATTTTTTTGATAGGATTTCAGTTAGTATGAGGATAAAAGCTGATGCATCCATCTAATAAATAGTATGCATCTTAGTTATTAGAAGAAAGAAAAGGAGCCTACCAAGCAAATTCCAAGAAGTGCTCTGGTGTTCCTACCCCCAGTCAAGTCTATAGTGGACGCATAATATTTCTTGGCAGTCTGAAGGTTTTCTAGTCCACTGAGTGTGTAAAGCACCTGTTGATGAATGGCATTCATTGAAACAACATTTCAGAGGAGAATCAAAAGAGTTCCAGCTAGAATTCTTTTTGTTAAACCATTGCAAGATGGAAAGTATTATCTTGTACAGACTATTAACACCCATCAAGTAGTTCTGTTCATGGGTTTTTTTTTGGTCCGTATAGTTCCCTTCTTGGTTAGTCAGGAACCATTGTTGTTCTATGGTGAATTCATTGTCCTACATAACAAAAAATCACTATGGAACTGGAGCTTTGTTTATCGTCTTTATTTTATTGCAGAACCATAATAACTATGAAACCAGCTCTCCATTAGGTGGATTAATTATGAAAGAGAAGAAACCAAAAGAAGAGCATTTGCAAGGAGATATAGGATGTTATTCTCTAGAAAAATAGGAGTTTGAGAAACCACTAATGAAATTGTATCCCAGTTTCTAAATATAATAAAGAAGACACTTACATCAGCATAGGCCAAATGAAATAATGGAACTGTAGGTTGAGATAAAATAAGCTCCTCATAGCAGAATGCCGCTTGCTTGTACCTGATTTACCAACAGATACAGAAAAAAAAAAAGCTATGTTATGAATTGGCAACATAAAATGGAGATAATGTCAAGCCATATAAATTAACACTCACATTTGTAGGGAGACATATATCTCCGCAAGTTCTCTCCAAGCATCATGATCCGCCATAAATCTAGCAAATGTATAAAATGAAAATTGAGTGACATTTGCTCTTCTGTATGTACCGAATTAGGAAAAATAACCAATAAAGGACAGAGACAAAGATGTGTGACTGTGGAAAGGCAAAGAGAAAGAGATAAGAGTTTTCTGAGATATCTCACATTTCAAGATATTTATTAAGCCACTCAATAGCTCCTGAGACATTTCCCTGAGCCTTTGCCATGGCTACTCTCCTCTTATGTATTACCTGCACAAGAACAGGATCTGTTGTCATTGATCCTTTATTTCTCAATAACAAAGAACACCATTAAGATGGACTTTTTTGGGAGAGGGAGAGCGAAGATGGGGGGCAGGGAGAAGTGGGTCACATAATTTACTTGATCAAGAGGATTGTCCTCTAAAAGGCTTGAGTAAGCTTTTTCTGCCTCAGCCCAGGATCCCTTAGCTTCAAGCAACATGCCCTCCAGCCTGCCTGTAGACCATGAAAAAACAAAATCAGTACGCCATCAAATGTAAAAAGCAAATGAATACGGTCTCAAGCAACGCATCCTTTGGAACCCAAAAGAACCCAAACTAATTTAAGACCAAATTCATCCATCCTTATTCATGTCATAATACCACTAATGTTAACCCAATAATTGGCCAAGATGTTCAGAAGAAGCTTCATTCAGGAGTTTCAACTAGCAAAGGGTAGGCCATGAAAGTATGATTCACAAATCACGGAATAGCAGCATATATTAGCAGCAACATATACGCACATTTTTTGTCAGACAAACCAAAAACATAGAACGTAAATTTAATTATCATGTATACTTACCAACCCTTTTGCTCTCTGGAAATTTCTTCTGTAAAACCTTTATGCAATCCTGCAATATTAAATTGCACCAATTTAAGATAGGTAACTTCATAGGCTTACTATCAACAGGTAATCAGAAGCATCTAAGCTAAACAGCACTGCAGTTCAGAAACAATGCAAGAAACTAACAAATAAGCATAAGACTTATGTCAGTGAAGCCTAAACCAACAATATTGAACAGGAATTACACCATTATGGAAAGTAACAGAATAAAGCCAGATCTTTCTAACTAATGCCTCCCCAGAGCATGAGAATACTGTAAAAACAAGCACCAGCTTAAAAAACTATTAACATATTTTAAGGAGAAACCTGATCAACGATCAGAGCAGGCAATTCACTAGGAAAATCATTAATTAAATAGGTAGAATAATAGAATTAGTTTTGTACATAAATGCAAGTCTCAATCTCAAAAATGACTTCTTTAGTGAGAAAATCAACTTGACATAATATAGAAACAAAAGCTTAAAAGCAATCCAAAATGGAAAAACTTCACAAACAAGATTTGTACCTTTGCAACATCTGGACAATGGCAATCCATAGCAGCAAGTGCTAGCTGCTCATATAGAGTCCATTCTGTATCAAGATATAAGTAGTTGTTAGTAATTATTACTGTTCATAAAAGTGGGATATAAATTAACAGAAGTAACATGTAAAATAAGTTGACAACTAGTCATAAATAGACAACAATTTGGTTGAACTCATCACTTAAAATCACATTCTAACATTTCAAAGGGCACTGGCGCTAATGCATATTGCCCTTATTAGCTGATTCTTATTTTAATACATACCAATTAACATCAAGCTTGAAACTTTCAAATTTAAACAAAAGCCAATTAGACCACCTCAAAGTTCTCATCACACACAATTTAAATTAAATCTTCAATATTTTTCTTTAAAAATATAAAGCTTCAAGCTTTAGATTCAAGTAAATCAATAACAGGGGCAGCAATCCATAAAGCTTCAAATTGTGAAATTCAAGCAAAACCCAAGTGAGCAAATCACTAAAAGAACTAAAAGCCTAAACTCTAAAACCAAAGCAAACCCAATTACAAAAACCAATAAAAAAAACTCAAAATTCAAATTGAACACATTGAAATCATCGAATTCAAGCAAAACCCAATTTCACAAATCAACCAAATAAGCTACAAAAAGATGGAAAAAAAAGACTAACCTTCAGGGCCAAGAGCAGATCTTTGTTTGGCGTCATTTAAGATTGATAAGCCATGCTTCAAGACTTTCTCTGAACGCCTAACTTTGAGCTTCCTGACAAGGCAAAGATACTCCCAAGCACCACCTCCTCCATTGTCAACCTGGTTTTCAAGCCTATTCAGTTGGCTCTCCTCTGTTTTGCTAATCATCTCTCTCTTTTTCTTTCAATGCAGACGTTTTTCTTTTATTATGCTCTGTTTTTGGTTTGTCTCTTAGTATCTGGCCATTGGCCGGTGTTTTGGATCTCTAAAGTGGGTTAATTAATTGACCTTTCGGAGCACTTTCCTTCTTTGTTTTGTTGTGTTTGGTTCCAACTCCGAATTGTTGAAGGGCAGTGGGCTCACCTCTGATTTTCTTTTTCTTCATCAAATCTATTGCTTGGTCTAATACACCAAACCACACAATGGCCCCAAAGGCCCAAACCATGGGGAAGCCAGAAGAAAGAAATGTGGCGTTATGGAGTCTCTTTTTCTAAAACCTGATCACTACTTCCACTGCAAAAACTACCAGTAATAATCAAAATCAAACTTGACAAAAACTACGATCATCAAATCCTCAAATAACTTAACTTTAATAACGACCATCACCGAATCCAATGTGGGTATCCTCTGTTTCATGTCACACCTTCCTGGTTTCCGTGGCATCCTCAAACAAAGGTGAAAAGTCCCTTTTTTTTTTTTTTTTAACTTATGCTCTAAAACCTTTTTTTTTTACATGCTTTTGCAGATACCCATATGTTAAAATTTGTTTATTTTCACGTGCATGCATGAAAATCTGTTTGCTTGATTGATATGGTGGAATGTGGTTTAGTTTAGTGGTAAAGGGTTTAGCTTGACTGAAGCATGTGTCGTAGTAGTTGTGTAGGTTTAATGGGATTTAGCTAAAAGGGGTTCTTTGTTTTTAAAAGAAATGGAAAAAAATGTGGAATGAGGAAAATTAGAAGTTTTGAGTGATTTTTTTTTTTTTTGTTATGAATTGGTTATAATAGCGATAGGCAATGGAATTTTGTGTAATTTGATTGCTTTGATTTTGTGTGTAGGTATTCTGATTTCATTGTGAATGAAGTAGATACTGAGGGAAATGTTATTCATTTGACTTCTTTAGATGGCCCTCCAGAGGTAGTGTCACTTGAATTTCCATTTTTCAATTCATTTTTAAATTTATTTTTTGTATAGTTAATAGATGATAGATTTTTTTTTCTTTTGAATATCTACTCAGGCTGTTGAGGAATGTGAAACAAAGATATCTGATCAACTTAACAAAAGCTATGCATCTGAAATTGAAAAATTCAGATCACTTGCTGGTGACACTAATGTAGATAGAAGCTTTTATTAGCGAAATTACTTCAGGCAGAGAAGAAGATATCTCTCCCATTGTTCTATCTCCGGACTCTGATAAATCTCATTGAACAGTAAGCTTTAGATTTTTTTTTCCAGTTTATTTATCCAGTAATCTTTCTTCATCCTTAGCATGTAGGATGTTACTTAATCTAGTTTGAAGAGGGAATCAAGCTAACTAGAAGGCTCTTTCCCTTTGAGTTTGACATTTTCAGGCAATGCATAATTTCTTTAAAGAGAATCTTAGATTCCTTGTCATTGACACAGTCGATGGACCTGATCATTTGTCAAAATGCATTCGTGTGAGATTAAATTCCGGGAATAACAATAGGGGCAGAAATTCCAAGAAAAGGAAAGAGAGAGATGATAAGCCTTATGACAGTAGAGATTCAAGCCACTAGCCAGAGCATCTTGGCAAGTTCCTTAGGTAGGCATATTGCACTTCTACATCAATTCAATGCCTTTTAAGATAGTAGAAAAAATTATGCTAAGCTTTTTCCTTTCTGACTTCAATTGCTTATCTATGCCTTGAATTGTCTATTATTGCACTTGAACTACATTTTGAAGGTGCTATCTTCTATCTTAATATTCAGGTTCCATCTTTACAAGGAGAATAAAGATACACGGGAAGCCTTAGGATTGATAGGAAAGATGCTTGGCATCCAGGTATGAGGAATGATTTATTTAAAACCTGTAGTTGTACCTACTCAATGGAACCTTTTTCATTCATAGCTGTGTTTGGCAGCCAAGGTCATTTGGTTTTGCGGGTACAAAAGATAAGCGGTCAGTTTCAACTCAAAGGGTAAGTTGATCATGTTTTTTCTGCTTTTGTGCTAAATTAACTTGTGTTTTAGTTAATTTTGGGAGATTGCTTACTCTAGCTTGAATTGTATAGCTTATGTGATGTACTGTTAATTCTATTCTAAGTTTAGAAAAGCTAGTCTTTAGCATCTTGAAGAAGCTGATGGATGGATGTCACTTTTGAGAAACTTTATGAGCGACAAATTAAAACAAATTGATGCAATCTTAATCTCTTGACTACAAATCTATAACCAATAACTTTGTACTAGAAGAACTGGGACATGCCAAAGACACCCATAGGAGACACTTCATCGACTTGGTTCTTACAGTTCTATTGAAAACCATGTTACTGTTTATGCTTATGCATTTATTCGATATGATTATGCATTTCACGGGTATAGATTTTTAAGTTATGGAACACTGCTGCTGACTAATGGCTTGTTGCTCTGTCTTCATTCTAAATGCCTCCAGCACTTTCATCTGTGTATGGATGGCTCTGATGGCGCTGTTACTATTTCTTGTGTATGTACACTTGTGTGGTTTTTGTGGCATGCTCGATCACATTTAAGTGGAGCACTTTGTTGGGTTTCCAGGTAACTGTTTTCAAGCAGCATGCGAGTAGATTAGCTGCACTAAATGATAGGTTGATTGGTATTAAAGTGGGAGACTACTGGTAAGGCTGATGGATTTAACATTCTGGTTCCCTATCAAGTTATTGTTTGATGCACTGTTACTTATAGTGGCATTATCATCCAGCAATGCCAAGGATGACCTTCTTCTTGGACACCTCTTAGGAAACCGGTTCACCATCATATTGAGGTGAGATTGTTTTCACACACAAGAATTCTATTTTTATGTTGTCTTATTCTGTGAATATCCATTAATGCTACTTTTATCTTCCAATATCCCATCAGTCATTGAACTCATTTATCTCCTTAGAGGAATTGTTGCAGATTCTGAAGATACCATCAAAGCATCTGCAGAGTCCTTGGGAAGGCATGGCTTGATCAACTACTTTGGTTTACAAGTACTTCGTTGATCATCACTCTTTCTCCTGCCCTCTCCCTTTTCCCCCTTTTCCTGGTTTATTCTTTCCTTTATATTCTTTTCTAAACCTTTATAATTTTTCAGCGTTTTGGAAGTGGTTCTATACCAACTCACCACATTGGGCCCACTTTACTGCGAGGAGAGTGGAAAACTGCTGCAAGCACAATTCTTGATCCAAGAGAAGGGGATATCCTTTATTTACATTTATATTTTCTTTTCTTCTGGGCAAAGTACTCTTCATATGCTAGACTGCTCAAAGGATTTGTTGCATTCAGCTCTGATGTATAATTATAGTTATCTTCTTGACTTAAATCTCTAAATACAAAGAAATGTTATAAGTAACGCACGGGAATATTATAAAGAAACTGGTGACATAGAGGGGACTCTCAGGCATTTACCTCGCCATTTAGTTGCAGAAAGGGCTATGGTGAGTTCCCTGCTTTATCCCTCCTGCAGGGCAATGATATACATTATTTTTTCACAAGGGTGCTTAATCAAGATGTGCTTTGTGTCTGTTTATAATAAAAAAATAATAATTTTTTCTCCTTTTTCAATCTCATACAGCTTCAGTGTTTAAAGAAATGTCCTGGGAATTACTTGCCGGCCCTGAAAGCTATACCAAGGACTTTGAGAATGATTTAAGTGCTTGATGTAACAGGAAATCAGGAATATAATTTTCTTCTCTCTATTTCTAAAACAGCCAACTTTGGTAGAGGAGTGATAAACATGTTCTATGTCTCTGTGCTCTAAGTTTTGATTGCTAGTCTATTTTGTGTAATAACAGCATAAGTGGGCTCTGGCTCAATCTTTTACTTTGCATTTGAATTCATCTCTTACTGTCTCATATTTCTTTCTTAAATCCATTGGGCTAATATGGTAATGTCATGCCATTAATTTTCAGCTTTATTTTGCTGTTAACAACCACATTACCTCGAGTATGGATTGCTCTAGCATGTGGAATAGGGAAGCAAAAGATAGGTTTATAAGTCAATTTAGCGCAGCTTCCATTAATTTTCAAGAGAATAGAAACTAACTTATTGAGTGCGGATTCTTGAACTGCAGAACTATTCTATTTATTTTCCTGGAAGCATGTTTAATATGGGAGTTTACTGTTTATATGCGCAAGGCAATTAATTACTTATTTCCTGTTTCCTTCAGTAACTTGATTTGTTACTTAGAGTTCGCTCATTTCCCCTCTGTTCCAATCTTGTTAATACATGCAATGTAGTTAGTAATGTTGAGCAAAGCCTTATCCTACTTAATTAATATGGGGAATTATGTTAAGATAATTATTGAGTTCCTCAGAATCAGTTTTCTATCTCTCTCAAGAGTTGTATAGAGATAGATCCTCCTCACAATCACTTCTTTCTCTCCCTCTCACTCATACACACTCATTCACCCAACACATTTGTATTCATGAGAAAAGTGATATTGACTCTTAAATTATCTCTGTTTTGCTGATCAGGTATGTGCATAGTTACCAAAGCTATCTGTGGAACCATGCAGCAAGTATGAGAGTGCAAAAATATGGTACGCTATTTTGTTTTTACAATCCTTCTTTTTTGTGGGTTGGGGGCCAGGGGTGTCATGTATACACTAATAAAAGTATGCCTTTATAGAGTATGCTGTCATTATTTTCATTGTCGGAGCTTTATTAAAATGTTTCAAGGTAACCAATCTAACATGGTTCTGTTATCCCACCATATGCAGGAAGCAATGAAGTTGTATTGGGAGACTTGGTATATTGTAAAGGAGATGGTGCAGAAAAAGTGAAAGTTGTTCCCTCTGAGCAAGAAGATAATAGCTTTGAAGATGCGTATGATTGTAGTGAATTAGATGAAATATCTGGAAAAGATCTTTCAGAAGGGAAAAAAAATCTTGTTAAGGTCAATTATTACCTATTCTTTATTTAGAGTGTTTTAATTTTTGAATTGTAAAGTCAAGGTTTTGAAGGAAATTAATAAAAAGGATTGATAAGACTTCAAAATAT